CAAGTTTCCACGCTGCGGGGCGTGGAAACTCGGACGGGGGGTTCCCCAGGCGTGCTGCTGCTCGACACGTATTAGTGCAAAAGAACTGAGAGAAAAGCAATAGTGCAAGAGAACTGAGAGAAACAACAGGCTCCACTGTGCAGCAGCCTCAATATAAGGCATAGGCAACAGAGCTGTCAGTCAAGTTTCCACAGGAAAAATCGCGCACACGATCAAGATCACGAAGCATCGGCCAATCAAGTTCTATTCAGAGCAATCCAAGCATATCAGCATCGAGAACACAGATAGACGGTTCATATTGATACTTGAACCAAGCCAATCCGACAAGAATTCAAGGAGTAATCGGCGATCGAGTGAATCGGGTTCCCACCTACTGAGCAAGAGCCGATCGACGCGAAGCAAGCTAGAAATCGAACCAACAGCGCTACCACTACGAGACTATACAGAGATCGAAAGAAGGCATCTAGCCGCATATGCAGATATCAGTGCAAGCCTCCAATTCCGAAAATTGACCGAGAACGAGTTGATCGACTTAACAGCGCTCGAACAGTGGGAGTCAACAGGCCCCAGTGGACCGCCGACAGCTGAATCTTCACAAGAGAGCCATTCCAGCCTATGAAACTTGCTCACCAAGCCTATCTATCTATCCTACAGACATCTACAACAAGAACAAGTGCTCAAGAGGACCGACAGTAAGATTCGGTAGTATCCTCCAAGCCAAACGGTGTATTTTTCGTGTTGACCACCAGATCCACAAAGGCGACGCAGCGAGTTTCGAACCAAGGTTTCGAAGTCACCGACCAATCTGATCGGAACAAGCTACCACAACAGTCCTGCAAACAAGCAAGCCTAACATCCCAAGAACAAGGAACTAGCGATAACCGCCAAGGCAACTAGCTACCAGAGCAAGCACAAGAGGAACAAGAGTCCGAGCTTGAGAGTTCAACAACCAAGCTCGCAGGAGTGGAACAAGCGACAAGCCGAACCCAAAGCATCAAGACACACGCAAACAGTGAGAAGCAATGGAACGACCGAAAAACGCCCAAGAGCAACAAGAGAAGAATTCGAGGAAGAAGTCCGATAAAGAAGAAGAAGAAAAACAAGACGAGAGCGCTGACGGCGAAAGGAACTGTAGCGCCAAGTGGTGCCAGAATAAACTCACAGGAGAGACTAGAACGAACCGACAAGAACAAGAGTCAGCAATTGTCCTAAAAGCAAGCCTAACGTTCCAGGAAGGAACAAGCGAACAGACCGCCAAGGCGATTGCAAGGCCAGGAACAACAAGTCCAAGAGCGACGTAGAGGAAGACGTGTGATCACACCAGGAGCGACGGCATCCAAGGAACAAGAACACCAAGAGTGACCGACAGGAGTTGCGAGAACAACAAGAGAAGAGAGTCCGAGCTTGAGAGTTTGAACAACCAAGCTCGCAGGAGTGGAACAAGCAACAAACGACAAGCCAAAACGACAACGTCAAGTTCAAGGCTACAGAGACGACCGAAGCAAAGATCAAGAGCAAGAGATCGAAGCGACCATCAAGCAGAAGAGCGCCAGCGCAAAGAACAAGAGCAGTGCCAACAGAAGAAGTGCAAGCTAGCTAGTAGGAGTGTCGGTAGAAGAGGACCACGAAGACAAACCGAGAGAGCGACACCAAGAAGAGGTGTTGCCGCGAAAAGTATAGGAACTAGATAACAAGTTCCAACAGGGAGAAGCAGATCCACCGCAGAGGTGCATCTGTGGGAGTTCCAGAAGACTCAACAAGAGAGCCATCGGAATAGGCTAACAGAAGAGAGGTGCGACAGAAAATTCCAACGCATCACAAGCAAGGCAAATTACCCGACAAATCATGGAAGAACGACAGGTCCTAAGAATGGACTGTTATACAGGAAGTTGTGCTTTGAACATTAGCGCAACAGGCCTCGAAGAGTGCAAGCTTATCAGAGCAACAGGAACAGCGCTGTACCCACTACGGGAGCAGCCACCAAGAGTGGAATTTTGCGATTCTGCCAGCCAAGATCAACAGGAGTCGCACGTCAACGACCGAAGCTACCGCTACAGCAACACAAAGAACAAGAGCACAGCTGACCACAACCATGAGCAACGATTGGCAGCAGCCTTCCATGGACAGTGCGTCGGCCACACAGGAGTGTCCAACAGAAGAAGCACGTCACAACGAAGAACAAGATATCTTTTGGCAACAAGAGGATCTTACGGCGAATCAAAGCCGGATCCAGCCAGCGCCGGTACCAAAGCCAAGTCTCGCAGTACTAGCTAGCGCCATGAGCTAGCCACCTGGACCGTCCGACGTTTTTCACGCAGGATTAAAAAAACTTCAAATTGCCACGACTAAAAACAAGCCCTTAAACAAGCTCTTAAATCTTCAACAAGCCCTTAAACAAGCCCTTAAAAAACAAACCCTTAACAACAAGCCCTTAAATTCTCAAAACAAACCCTTAAGCCTTCGTGTAAACCCCATAGAACAAGCCCTTATCAGGAGCAAACAAGCCCCTAAATAAACAAGCCCTTAAATCAAACCGTTAAAGCTTCAACAAGCCCCTAAACAAGCCCTTAAAAAACAAGCCCTTATTGGTCTGGGGTCAGTCGTGTCAAGTTTTAAAGCCTGAGCGAAAAACGTCGGACGGTCCTGAACAAGAGCTTCAGGCACAAAGCAGTACAAGCAAGCAATAGGAAGCACATGAGTGCCTCCCATCATTCATGTTTTTGAGAGTGTGTATTGTGGCAACAGCCACTGCACCTCCTACCATTCTTTTTGGAGTGTGTCTTGTGCCTACACACAGCACCTCCACCACCTGAGGCCTCCAGCAGCCTCCAGGCAACAACAAAGCATTCCCCACATCTCCGATCAATCATCCTATCGAATAGCAACAATCATGCCCTTCCAGTCTTACAACAGCAAGTGCACAGGAGTGTGGAGGTACCCAAAATCCAAAACATCAACATCAAAAGCAACAACGCCATCAACAACGGCAACAACACCAACAGCCACGTCATCGAACGACAAAGGCATCATCAGCCATACCGACAAACGCATCATATCTACCACCTATCCAGGCAATGTCACAACCAACAACAGCATCAATGGTAACAACAGCATGGCCAACACAGCCATAGCCATCAGTACTAACCATCCTTTGAATTGTATCTACAGTACAGGCAACTGCAACAGCAGCAACTGCATCATCAGCAGAAGAACAACAGTGAATGATCCACCAGATCACGAGAAGACAAGGTATCATGCAAGCCTACACAAGGCCGGAGCAAGCTCACAGAAGCTACAGACTGACCCAAAGCCGTCACAGAGCGGATGTTTTGGCTGACGTCAATGAGACCGTGACACAAGAAGACAACACAAGTCGAATCAAGCCATATCAAGGCAGGGAGCAGTCACACAACGAGTGACCAATAGACCAACCAAGTCCGCCATGAAATCATAGGCCGCCTGAAACAATAGGCACAATAAGAGGAACCCCCTCAAGAGCTCCATCAAGTGTTCACCATGTCCATTAGTACAAGATCATCATCATTGCAAGATCATCATATGAGGAACCCCCTCAAAGCTCCACAGCAAACATCGAATCATCGAATTGCAAACGCCGGAGTCTCTCACACCAAACATCAAACAAGCAAGCATCGAGTCCAGATATGTCCATCCAGATCGATAGCATCAATCGAATCCATCCAATGCAAGTCAACCGCAGATACAGCAACTTCAAGTCCTACACCTACATTCCAGACAACCAATCCTACAACAGCTATCTCCCAACCTCGAGAACAGCCAACGATAAGTACCACTACCATTGACAGCTACAGGAACCAAGATCAAGATCCACCAGTATCATGACCGATTCATTTCCAATCATCCATTATCAGCCATCAAGACCATGTCCAACCAAGGTCTACTAGTAAAGTACATTTTATTCGTAGTCTCCACAACCAATCTTCCAATCAAGAGTTTACTACCTTCCAACAGTTTCCTTCCTTTCCTCCATGGGATCTCCAATCCTTACATCCCTACATCAAGTGTCAATGCAGTCCGAACCATCGACAGTTCCAACTACAAGCACATCAAGTGACGGCATCAACCGCCGCAAACCTTCAGCAGTGGACAGTCACATCAGACAACCACGTGCCATTTTCGAACGACATCATCGATACCAACATCGTTGACAGTTTCGTTCCCATTCCATCGCAAAGCATCTCACCAATCAGTGGGAATGCCAATGCAACCTTTACAATATTCATTTAGCTTAGCAAATAATCGTACCCGTGATATCCATTAGGGATCGACGCAGGAGTGTGTTGGACGGTCAAGATTTATCCAGTTTAGAAATTTAGCGTTAGCGTACCCGGAGAAGTAGAAAGACCGCATCCTCGCAAGATTTTAAGGAAATCTGAAACTCTAAAATCCAGATTCAACCTGTCCCAAGCTGGAAGATCACTTTTTCTTCCCAGCTCGCCCGAATCAGCTAGATAACCCTGATAAGAATAGTAGCTACAGTGTTTTAACCCAACAGAGCCTAGTGAAGAATTGGTAGTTAAAGTTTGTTATTAACAATTATGAGCTGCTAGAATCTAGGTGGATGTCCCATACTGGATCACACAGGCCCAGCTGGGGAGTGCCAACTCTAACAGTCTCTAACGGTATTGGGACCCTACTTGTCCTTGGGCAAGCAGGGTGAGCATCTAGTGGGCTTGCTGACATCATTATAGTGGTTGTGATGTGGCATGGGACCTAAAGACTTAAGGGTCCCTAGTGCGAGATCAACGGCTGTTTCCTCGCGGTTTCCTCGCGGTTTTCTCGGAAAAGTGGCGGAATCGACAACTGACAACTATCATTCAGATTTCTTGATGCCAATAATAGTTCTGTTTTCATCTTAATACCAGGGCCAAATAAGCCAAGCAGGCTGCTAGCCCAACTGTGCATTGTAGTTGTGGAAGTGAGCACTGGCAGGGTTACAGTGCATCAATTCGGCCCACAGTGCTTTCTAAAGAACCACTACTCGGTCATCTGTGAGCTTGAACTGCAATCGGAAAAGGTCAACAGAAGCAAATTTGCTAGAATAAAATCAAAGGGTTTGGATTTGCCCCTAGAGCTAGGATGAACTGGCTTTTGACCATTCTCTATACCATTTGATGTTGCGGGTCACTTCAACATCACATGCAGCTTGACAACAAAGGGGTGGGGGAGATTGATAAGCACACCATATTCAATCTGATTTGTGCTCCCACTGCTTCCTGGGCAAAGCGATCACATCACCCATTATTTGACATGACACAGGACTGGCAAACAAGGAGCTGGTTCCTGCTGTGCAGCAGCAGCAATAATTGACCCCAAACTACACCATCCAACGAACAGAACACAAATTCCCTGATGGACAATGCAATGGAGTCAATGCGAATACAACAGCAGCTTGTCACTGGAACAGGGTGTGCATTCTTCAGTGGCTCCATCAACTTCATTGAAATCAGCAAATGACTCGGCTCCAGAGGGCAAAAAGAACTCTTGCAACATTGACTCATCATGAACAATGACACTGGAAGCTAGACGTGCCACAATCACCTTCATCCTGTCCACAAAGAGATCACGGCTCTGAGAACAGGCAGCTTCAAAGACAAAGCGGGTGCCCTCATGTGTCACTATGCAGCAGCTTCGATCAAGCCTTGCAAACGGATAGGTTGCTCTGTCAATAGTGTTTGGCTTGAGCACGCTGGTAATAGTGAGTAGCTGGATTGAATTGGGTTCCCTTTGAATTTCCCCAACTGTGGGTCGAAACACAAACTTTGGGAATACGACCGAGGAGCTCAGTGTAGAACCATACTCATACCAACCAGTCACTGCCAAAGGTGCTGGCTGACTCATCTGAGAAGCCCCACTGGATTTTGCGAGGGATGGAGCTTGGTGCCAGACCAGCTTGTAAATATGATCCATTCCAGCCTTTAGGAGGAAAGGAAACAAGAGTGTCTATGCGTGAGATTATCAAGTGCTGAAGAGGTACATTTTATGATCGTTGACGGTGCGTCGCGTGTCTCACCTTGATGTAATCCCTTGTTTCATCATCGTCATCGTTCAAAAGATCAGGCATGTCTATGACAGACCTGGGGGAGTTAAAGAAATGGAGGTTTTGGGAAGAGTGTCTCTGTACTGGCACAGGTTCTCTTGGACAGTCGGAGGCGTCGTCTAATACCAATGGCTTTGGGCGGTGCTTTTTGTACCTGGGAGTGGAGGCAACTTCAGGTTCGCTGTCATAAAAGACAGAAGATTCACTTGGAGGAGGAGCCACTTTTCGGTGGGAAACAGTTGTCCTCGACGCCTTGAATGGGATGGGTTCAACCGGGGAATGCCATTGCTTGACTAAGGTCGCAGCGTGCGTCGCAGACTTTCGATTTCTGATGTTTCTTTTCCTGGTCACTCGCTCTGGGGATCCCTCCCACTTCCTAGGAATGCATGCTCGAGAGGCTTTAATCATATTGGATGCACCAAAAGGATGGCGGCTGTTCTGAACGCTTTCGTCCACCTGAAAGGGGCAAAGCAAGCGAACAAATCTATCGGTGACGCAGCCGGCATCGCTGGGAGGTATGGTATCATCGGCTTTCTTCGGAGCCTCGGACAAGCTTTCATCACAACTGAGTTCCTGAGAGAATGATGACAAAGATAAGGCTTCCAACGAAGGGATTGATTCAACACACGTGCACAGCTTCATTCTCGTTTTCTTTGCAGGCATTGTCGATGAATGAGACTGAGTCACCCGAACCTGCAATTGCTCCCCCGCCTTGTGTTCCTCCCCAACCAATGTCACGATTTCAATAGCATCCAGCTCATCGCGGCTGAAATCGGTAGGTAGTGGACTAGTCATCAAGCGAAGTTCCATTTTGTGTCAACGATCTTTGAGCACAGCACAGCACCAGCACAGGCATACCGGGGGTAATAGCACAGTATGCCATCTTCATTCGATGAGAGAACATGTGGCTGTGGTTTTGGAGTCTCACTAAGTCTGCTGATGCCAACCGGGAGTTCTAAATACCAAATCTCTCATCCCGAATCCAACGGACAAGAGCACGTCGACTGTCTTCTCCCGCCACACAAATTGTCGTTCCTGCGGGAATGCATCCTAACCGTAGCTTGTACCAGTAGGTACCTACCGGCACCGGTATCGTCGCTAGCCAACTACGATGTAGCGGTACAGTGTACCGGTACCGCATGTAATACTTCTGGAGCTAGTCTAATATCCATTGCAAGTCCGGTACATCGGACTGCAGAGGTCTACCGGCAGGCACGAAATGAGTGACTTGTCGTCTACTATCCAGATTACCGTAATAGTATGCTGTACGGGTTGGTGTTTGGTTCAGCAATATTTGATCGGTACAACTATGTTTCAATTCAATCCTGGAGGTTGCTACCGGTATTTGTTCAGGACAGTGTGGTCACGGTGGGACTGTTTTACTGTGCCGAATTGCAATGTCATCAATCGCTACAGAACGATTGGTGATGTGCTTGAAGGCAGGACTTCGTGGGAATTGAAAGCACTCAGCTGATCAGAAGTGACAGTATAGTAGTGAGGGCTCTCTCTTACACCACTGCCGGGCTGTGTTTCCTGGTCGAGTTAGTGCTGCAAAGTCCAGAGAATAGAGAAATAGCAGTATCTGGCAAAACCAACCATTCTAAGCAAAATAAAACAGCTAAAAGAACTCATCTATGAATTTTTCCTGAATACGAATTGCCTGGTCCATTTCGTCCATTATAGAGTCTTCCAGTAATGGTGGTGGCATCAGTTCACTGTCTCCCCGTTGCCGCTGTTGTTCCTCTACCAAAGTTGGAATATTAGATCTGAAGCTTTCCTTGCGGGAAGTCTCCACCCTGCCGTCACGGTTATAGACACGAGTTTCGTATACGCTGCTCTCATAGTATACGAATGATGGATCATCTCCCCACCCAAATATTTTTCCAAGGAGGAATGCTCCAAGCAAGAGGGATACCCCCCACAGAGGGAAGCTGAATTTGTTGTCATTTTCTGACAGCTTGACTTGCCGTCGCTTTTTGCGCCCTCCCAGTGGCCCAAAGCGTCCTTGGTTTTGCCTTGGTTTTGTCTCCTCGCTGTCGTTGCCACCGTTGCCGTCCTCTTTTTCCATGTACAATTTCCAAGATGTTTCTGTTGTTAGCGCCGTCTTGGAGTGCAGGGAAGATGCAAGCGGTTTCGCGGAAAAGAGACTGGCCTGTTGACACCAGGCTCTTGCACCAATCAGAGAAACGAGTAAAAATAAGCCATTTCGTTTCCACATTGCTGGAAGCAATCAAAGAAAATGATGATAATCAATCAGACAAAGAGAACTACTACTACCAACAGCATTAGAAGCCAGAGATCTGATCAAGAACAAGTAAGTATAGTGAACCCAATTTGCCGCAGAAATTGATATCACTTGCTTTGAAAAGCCACGTGTCGAGGATCTTGATGTCAAATAAATCTGTCAGTCATGGATACGACGGACAGAGGACGGACGGACATCACTCCACCATTCAAAATCACCTTCATGATATTATCGAAAACAAAATACAAGTACCACCTCCCACCTCGTGATGAACACAACAACAAGAATAGCTATCTATCTAGCCAGCTATACAGGTATTCCCTGGGTTCCAGCAGTGGATGAGTCAACACAGACGAGAAGGGAAGAAAAGGAATAGGAAGTGACCATGGCAGTGAAACAGAAAAGATCCCCAAAATCTCGGCGTCAAGATGACCCCGAGAAACCCGACGAACAAAACGACGCAGTCATGAAGGATGCAGAAACAACATCCGAAGAAAAGCCATTACCGACACCAACCACCACTTCAGCATCCATGGACCTGACAGTACATCGATTGAGGCACTTGGATTATATTCCGAGGCCGATTGTTTGTGCTCGAGCCACGCCACCCTTAGATGATGACTCTGTGTCATTTGTTGCACTGAGTCGAGAAAATGGGAGCATCGAAGTCAAGGCTCCAAACGAAAAGTTCCGAACGATTACCGAAATTGCCAGCTTGAAAGAAAAAATCGTCAGCGTCATGGCATGGACCTGTGGAATATGCGGAGTCGACTCATCATCGACCAACGACAACAAAAAGAACGACAGCAGCGCGAAACAAGTCACCTGTAGACCCACCTTGGTGGGAGGATCCAGTGATGGTACACTCTTTGTGGTAGACTTCGAGTCGGGAGGGCTGCTGGGAACAACCGCCAGTGGAGGAGGCGGGGTTCTTGCCTTGGCTTCGCTCTGTGAAAGGCGAGCTGGCTCTTGTTGCAGAGGTGGCAGCGGTCGGCAATGCGCTCAATTGGTCGCTGCTGGCTGCGAAGATGGATCGGTACGGATTTTTCAAGTTATCAAACCTCGGCAACACAGTTCTACAAAAAGCAAGAATCCAGCAAAGTTGGAGCTCGTCTCCGTCATCCCCTCAGGAAGTGGAGCCTCGGTATTGTCGGTTGCTTGGATGAAGGCCGAAACCAAGTTCGTGCTTTTTGCTGGCGTTTCGGACGGTACCATTCGACGATTCGACTGTGAAGATCGTCAACTTACCGCATCTGAAAGCAATCTACCGACTGCCTGGAAGTCTCGATTGCGCATGACGGTTGAAAGTCTAGGACGCAATACCCCAACGCGAGTATGGACAATGCAAGTACTGGCCGATTGCACTGTTATCTCGGGGGATTCTCTTGGCCACATTCAGTTCTGGGACGGAAATAGCGGAACATTGCAAAAGTCATTCGAACAAAATGACAGCAACGCTGATGTGCTGGACATTGCTGTAACCTCAGACGAGTGCAAGGTTTTTGCTAGCGGCGTAGACCCTCGCGTAGTCTGTATTGTGCGTACTGCGCACGAAAATCGAAAGTGGATAATTTCACAAGTCCAAAGACCACATACGCATGATGTCAAGGGAATCACGATCTGCAGACAGCGTTACAACGAAGGAGAGTCAAAAAGGACACCAATGCCTCCACAGGGGACAACCTTCAATGAAGTACTTTGTACTGGTGGTATCGATACCAAACTATGTACCTATTATGTCGGTGAATTCGGCAAGCGAAGGCCCACCAGCCTCTACCCATGGCCAGCATCACCCACCTTTGCGCAGGCAAATAAAGCAAGAGTGCTCATTATGCGTCGGGAGGGAAAAATCGATCTCTACAAATTGGAAGAGAGACCAACGCAGCAGCCGCCAGAAGACGCCTTTGCGGTTCCAGAAGACGAAACACTTATCGGCTCGATTCAGTTGGAGAGTGCCTGCAATCTAGTTTGCGCCGAAATTAGTGACGATGGACAGTACTTGGCGACTGCTGATGCCCTGTCTTTGTTCCTGTTCCGTATCAAGTATGTTAGTGAAGGTGATCGAACATCTATGATCCCAGAAAAGCTTTCGTTGAATGCAAAAGTGAGAGGATCTGTTGTGGCCATGAAGTGGCTCGGAGATGACAAGCTCGTCGCGGCCACGTCGGAGGGCTCGTTTCACTTCATCAAGATGCCTTCCAAGGATGCAGATTCAAGCACCAAGTGCTCTCAAACGATGATTGCGAAGCAAAAGACTACAAAGGTCCAGCAAAAGAAACCCTTGTTCCCTATCCATGCGATTGCGATCAGCAAAGACAATAAATGGTTGGCTGGTTTGCAGAGTGGCTTCGACTGCTGCCACATTTGCGTATTCTCACTGGAAGATGGCAACACTTGCCAACCCTGGTGGTCTGTTCCTGACCTGGAGGCTCCGGTTACCGCGCTGAGATTCCTTGATGCGAGCGGTGGCCGCCCTACGCAATTGGCTGTGTCCTGCTCGAATTACGCATTCTATTGTTTTGATATTCTTGCCCGGCAGCTGTGTCCTTGGAGCGAAACAGCAGGAGTACCCGTCTCAAAACACCTGCCACCTGAGCTCTTGAATCGCAACGATTTCCCTGTTCGCCTTGCATCCAATCCAGCCTGCCCTGCGAAGGTCCTCTTGGTGAGTTCGCTTGTTTCGCCCTGTTCGTGCATAGTTGGCCTACGGTTGATTGAGCGGCAAGACGGATTTACGGCATACAGAGTCGGCTCGCTGCTAAGGCGGCGACGACTCCCCTCTTGTTTGTCGGATTGTTTTCTCTTGCCATATGAAAAGCTTTTGCTGTACCTCGCTTCGCCCTTCAAAACTTGACTCCACGTTCTGAAGGTATAGTATGCGGTAACACTCACACCATTTTCTCATTACTTGAACATTGGATAGGGATCATTTGGCGCCTTTGCGGTTATTGATATGGACCAAAAGATTCCCAAGCGTTGTCGGCTGGCTCCGGTTGATCACCACGTTAGAAAATGGGGAAAGCGCAAGCGGTCGCTTTCCGGCGCTGAAAGCACCAAGGAAGGTCCGAAGAACTCAGAAGCTGGGACTGAGCCTGCGATTCTATGCCTCCGTTACAACAGCATCCTGTGGCTTGATTTCATTGCAGAGAATGAGATGGTCATAGTCGAGCAGCCTTGGCTCAAGGTCATTTCGTCCTTCCCAGAAGCGATGGAGCGAAAGATATTTGGCAGTTAAGCAGTTCATGCGCTGATATCCCACTGCTGCCGTGCTGGAGCAGCCCAACTCTTGAACTTGGGGAAGCAGCAGGTTTCATTCTTCGGCTGCCAACATTCACGTTGAGGTAAGAATTTTTCTTGCGCTGTGTTCTGTTGCCCCCGCGTTGTTTCCAGTGTGCAAGATGCAGCGGTGCCTTCTCAAAAAACCAACGGGAAGGCACCTCCTTTTTTCAATCCTTGCTAGAGTACATTCCTTAGTTTGAGCTGGTTCGGTGCTTTCATCACCGAAGCGGTATAGAAAAAGGGCACATTTAGCAAATGCCCACTTCCGTCTCACGTGTGTTGTCTCGTTTGTTTGTTGCTTGAACCCATGGCTCCCAAGCTGGTAACGAGTCTGCCAAGAAATAAAAACGATTGATCAAGTATCTCTGGACTCGAGGAGCAGCACGTCATTCAGCAACTCCAAGTGGGAGGACCTAGCTAGAATGCAGGGCCCACGCGGAGTCTTCCGAAACCACGGGCTGGACAAGCGACGCATCGATCAATCTATCCTCAATTTCTTGCCCCTGATCCCACGGAACCTAGTCGGGAATTTCGACTCTTCTTTGCTTATGCCTGCCCCTGGCTGGCTTCCGTAGATAATCCACCTACGCTAAACCCCGTGTCATACTGAGCCCATGGTGAACTGTTACCAAAAATCCTTGACAACGAAAAGTCCGACTGCAACATCACTTCGGCTGTATTGCTAACAAATACATGATGGCCTAAAAAGCGGATTGCTATGCCTTAGTTGCTATATTCTTTTGCTACTGCGTTGACTTGAGTCAGTCTTTCGCAGGTTTCTGAAGTAGAGCTACTGCGACGAAACTAATATCCCCCAGCACATACCTGTGTCGAAGCCTACTCTTTTTTATCTCCATCTTTCTTTTCGGCGTCATCTTTCTTCAGAGCGTTTTGAATGGCAGGATCGTTGGCATCGACACCAGGAATAGAACCCACCAGCTGAAAGATCAAGGAGAATACAAAGTCAGAACATATGCAGGTGGGAGACAACGGCAAGAAACAATAGTTGCCTTACCTCATTGATCTTGGCTTCTTCGTTGCCTTCAGCATCAGGTTGCATAGACATGGCTAATGCAGCTTGCATGGCTGCGTCTTCGTCGTCCTCTACATCCATCTGAGTATCAGCAGCCGGTGGTTTTGCAGCTTCCTTCGTTTCTTCCGTGGCTGAAGTCGGGTCGGGTTCGTTTTCATTCATCGACATGGCAAGTGCTTGCTGCAACAGAGCTTCCTCTTCACTCAGGCCCATATCCATCGCAGTCTGAGCAGCAGATGGCGCAGGTGCAGGAGCTGCATCAGTCATTTCTGCATCCTTGCTTTCACCACCCTCGCCTTCGTTACTTGCATCGTTGTTGCCTTCACTGGGTTGGTCTGCTGCGGCTGCAGCAGCACGTTCTTTGAAAGAAAGGTATTATTACAATAGAAGAGGAGTGAGTGGTTTTGCAATGAAACAGATAAATAACTACAGCCAAGCCTTGCGAGTTCTCACCTTGTCGTGCTCTTTCTTCTTCCATACTGACCCGCAACGCCATGGCCAACTCTGGATCCATATTGGGGTCGACTCCACCAAATTCAGCAAAGGTACCGCCTCCAAAGTCAGCTCCTGCGGCAGCCCCTGCCCCTGCTGCAGCCGCCGAAGCTGCAAATCCGCTTCCTCCACCGCTACCATGCACAATAGGGCTTGAAGCCAATACATCACTGGGCAACACACCTGAAGGAATCGTGACCAAGTGGCAGGTTCGTTCTCCTCCTTCTTCGGTCCGCCCATTCGCAGCATCCACCAGTTCCCGCAATTTTTCTTCATTGTCATCCAATTCGCCCATCGCCACAACATCAATAGCCACATTATTCTTTTTGAGTTGACGTCCTGCCTTGGCCAAAGCACGCGATTCCAACTTTGCCAAGGGCGACCCCACGAAAAGTACAATTCGCTGGGAACCATTTTTGTTGCGTCGATGTTTCAAGGCCAATGAAGCCACCTGAACACTGGCAGTAACATCAGGCTGTTCAGAGCGCATGGAGAGACCATGGAGCGCACCCAAAATCTTGCCGACATCGTCAGTTGGACTGACCAGCAGCTCTGTCCCAGCACTCACACCCACAGTGGATTCCGGGTGGGACTGTGTTTTGGCACCCACCAAGAGGTTGGCTGCATCCTGCTGGGCTTCGAGACGAGTGGGAATGTAGTCACCATTCCGCATATACTCGGAATTATCCAAGAGGATCATGCATGATTCCAAAGGCATTTTGACTTGTCGTTGGTTTTTGATGCAAGCCACAACTAACTAAAAGAACGATCTTCTTCCTCAACTGTTTCACCGGATGTTCAATATATAGCTCGTCTAGGATCGTCGATGCTAGCTAGAACTGACGACTAGAACTGACAAATTGGTAAAGGGGCGGTCGCTTTATCTTCCACGCTTGGACGCTTCGATGGATTTGTGCCATTGTCTCTCTCTCGAACAGGATCGTGAGCCTTCGGAGCCAATCCTTGCCCAGGGTTAGGGTTAACATAACCACGACTTTTTCGTGACTGATTCGTTCCCGATCAGATTTGAATTTGGCGGGCGGGCGTTTCCAACCACCTTCCTCCTCGACGCCCTTGGTCGTCGTCCATCATCTCACATCATTGCTGTGCTGTTGTTGTTAGACTACTACTGGCGGCCAACTTACTTCAGCTTTGATTGCCAACAAGCAGGTGTCCTCTCCAACAAGGGTTTCCTGTCTACCAACCGGAATTACGGAGGATTGTGTTGTTTTGGGTTCGACAAGAGTGGTTTTACCGACAGGATCGCAACAGACCAAGACGCCAAAGACATTCTCAGCTTTTCTTCCATCGCAGCATTGGTGCTGTCAACAATCCTCAATCATTTATTTGTGCCACCCGAGCGCCCCGACAAGGCATAGAACTCAACAACCATGGATGTGGGACATAATGAACTTGTGGACCGCTATGAGGGATTCCTCCGAAGTGAGGTAAGTAATGATGCTTCAATTTCCATGCCCATTATCTCCTGTATCCAGCTGTCTCATGATCACGTCTTTTCTCGCTCCTGTCTATTTGCCCTTCTGGCTGGTTGTTTTCTCTGCATTCCAACTTTGGATCCACCAATGACACAATAAACACAACAATTCTCAATGATGCTCCACCAGAAATTTGGCCATGTCGACAGAATTGCCACTGCCATTGATGATTTTGCACACCACACCCGTGGAGACAAGCGAGTAGCCGGCTATGGCTGCCCTCGGTTGTCAGTCAGCATGGCCGAATTGAGATCGCATGGAGATGGCTCGCTCAGTCAACAAATGCGATTGAATCCTCTGCCTCATATTCGGGCTTTAGAGGCTGCTTGCCACAGCATCGCCACAGAGGAGCGGCCTGGATACGACAAAGAAGGTAGGTTTCTATTAGAAGGTCCAGTGAATCTTGATCCCATCATTTATATCTCATCCCGCCCATTATCTTATTTCTACATTGCTCCAAAGATATCAAAATGAAAGTGGCACTTTCAGGGCCAGTGGGGGCTTCCCCTTCTTGTCCACGCAGCCTTACATCTTCTTCACTTCGCCAACTGGTTTGTGTCGAAGGAGTCGCCACCAAAGTCTCAACTGTCAAGCCAAAGGTCGTCAAGTCTGTCCATTACTGCCCAAACACCCAGAAACATCAAACTCGAACCTACGTAGATGCGACAGACCCTCAATTGGGATTAAAGGAATTGGATGCGGAAGGCCGAGAACTGCCTGACAAACACATCAACATTACCAACGCTGTTTATCCTACCAAGGACGCTGACGGGAACCCATTGGTAACCGAGTTTGGCCTGTCGGAATACAAGGATCACCAAACCATCACGTTGCAAGAGATGCCTGAAAAAGCACCCATGGGACAACTCCCTCGATCCGTTGATCTCATTCTTGATCATGACCTTGTGGACAAGGTCAAACCTGGGGATCGCATCGTCATTGTAGGAGTCTATCGCGCACTCGCCTACCAAGCAACCAAAAGACCCAGTGCAAACTCTACCTTCAGAACTGTCGTCCTGGTCAACAATGTTCAGATTTTGGGACGCGATGCCAGTCAGTTGACTTTCTTGCCGCAAGATATTCGCATGATCCGATCCTTGGCCAAACGCGACGACATCTTGTCCATCTTGGGAAGGAGTCTGGCACCTTCCATTTACGGGCACGGCGTAATCAAGAAGGCACTGGCCCTTCAATTGCTGTCAGGGTGTGAAAAGAACCTCGAGAATGGTACGCACCTCCGTGGAGACATCAACATTCTCATGGTCGGCGATCCTTCCACTGCCAAGAGTCAGTTGCTACGTTCCGCCATGACTATCGCCCCACTTGCGGTCTCTACCACTGGAAAAGGTTCGTCTGGTGTTGGTTTGACGGCTGCAGTCACTTCAGATCCAGACACCCGAGAGCGCCGTTTGGAAGCAGGCGCCATGGTCCTTGCCGACAGAGGTTTGGTTTGTGTTGATGAGTTTGACAAAATGGGGGAGAACGATCGCGTTGCCATCCACGAGGCAATGGAACAGCAAACAGTGACAATTGCCAAGGCGGGTATTCACGCCAGTCTGAATGCCAGATGCTCAGTGCTTGCCGCTGCCAATCCTGTGTACGGACAGTACGACCGGAGGCGTCGGATTCAAGAGAATATTGGCCTCCCCGACTCGCTACTCAGTCGATTCGATTTGCTTTTTGTCGTCTTGGACCAAATGGACCCCGAATGCGATCGTCGCATTGCTAGCCATGTCATCACGGGCCACCGTTACCGTCCTGATCACGGTCAAACAGGTCATGACAGTGACTACGACGATGATGATTCGGACGAGGAGTGGGGAGACGTAGGCGAAGAGTCAAAGGTGCACTCTGTTTGGCAAAGAAGTCGACATGCCTCTATGCACGCCGCGAATAATCCTAACAACGACGGCGAAGAAACAGACCCACACGCCCATGACGTTCTTCAGCATGATTTCTTGCGCAAGTATGTTCACTTTGCCAAAACTCGAGTCAAGCCCATCTTGACCAATGGCGCCCGCGATCTCATTGCAAGCCGATACGCGGAAATGCGTTGTCGCCAGGATGAACGGACATTGCCAATCACAGCTCGTAGTCTCGAAACTGTGATTCGTCTGGCAACAGCTCACGCGAAAGTGCGCCTCAGCAACAAGGTCGAAGCGGAGCCAGATTGCAGAGCGGCAATGGACATTCTCAGCTTTGCTTTGTACCATGAAAACAACGACACCGTCGACGGTGCTGCCCCAACAGCTTCACCTTCCAAGAAGAGACCCCAAGAAGTGTCTGAGGATGAGGAGGGTTTTGTGGAGGACGAATCCTCCGAGAGCACCGACCCAAAACGCCAACGTGTCTCTGCCGATTCCCTTCAAAGTATCAAGACGCTCTTGTGGGAAGAAATCTCGAAGGAAGGTGACATTGCGTTGGAAGACATTGGGGCTAACTTTGGTGACCAAGATCAAGTCAAAGCGGCGATCCAGGCGCTAACAGACGAAGGTCGGATTATCGTGGAGGACGGAACTGTGTTCCAGATCGGCTAAGCGGCAAACAATCTTGTCGCGAAGCTCTCCTGGGGAACCGGTTGTGGCAAGCAGTGACGGAACGGCAACCGTACCGTAGACGACAGAGGGGCGCCGGATCTGCTGTGTGAAGAATCTCATCAAAGAAGAAACTATAATTGTGGCTGTCAGTTAAACATTTATTAAGAAAAGTTGATTGTACGATTTTGCCCACAGAGGGGCGGTACCGGCAGAAGCTACTTGAGTAGCTGGCTACGGTACATGTTGTATTGCCATCGCTTGTTGGCACCCCACCCGCCAAGACGCGGAGGAGCCATGAGACCTCCCTTCTACTAGTACTCTATACTGGCTACATGTACAGTCGTACCGGTGGTGGAAATGGGGTCCTCGTAGCTGCTGTCAGAGAGCCAAAAGCTGGCCGTGTCATCTTCACATTCTTTACATACCCAGCCGACCCCCCTCTACTAGAGCTCTACTACTGGTACCGTACTAGCTGGAACCATCATTACTAAGAACTGATGAGGAACTACAAACAAAACAATACCGATATACCTAGCTAGCCACATGTAATAGCTTGATGTCGGCGTCTCAAGTATGTTTTCTCAAGCCACTTGAAGAAACCAAAAGCTAAACTAATTTTCACTCCTGCCAGTTGTAAGAGCTACACCAGATTGCCAGAGCTTGGCAGTTCATATATTTTGATTAGGTTCCCTCCTTTACGAAACCGGAAGGATCCATAAGCCGCGGCCAGCGCACCCAAGAAGAGAATGGCTGCCCAGTTGATAACTGATCTTGAAGGATCCGTCAGCTGAGCTCGCACTACTGCAATAGCTTGAAGTATGTAGCAGACGAACAAGGCTTCACAAACATGTCGTCGAAACATACCATCATCGACAAAGCGAATATGCCAGAGAATCCAACCACAGGCAAGTCTGAGGCATCCATAGAGTCTGAGGCATACAAAACCAGTCAGCGTCAGCTACTACAGGTATGGCCTAGACTGGTTGAAAGGCTGAAACCCTTCAGCAACAGTGAAGACCCAGGCACGGCCGCACGATTCTCACCTTAATGTTTCATGCACATTATGGTTGTACACGCCTCCGGATACCTTGGTCAGGATACCGTGGGGAGTCAAGAGAGCAACAACCCCGAATACAACTGAGGCCCCAGCGTCGACCGCGAAGAGTAGGTCCAGTTGTTGCCTTGCTCCTCCAGCTGCTCCTGGTATGATAGAATCGATCTTCATTCTTGCCTGTTGCTGCGTGAAGGCCTTCTGCTTCTACATGTACGTTCGCTGTGGTTTGGAGTCGAGTCCCTCAATTTGCTGCGGTTAGACGAGTTAGCTGACGAGTTCCTGTCCCAGCGCCAGTATCAAGATAGCCGCAGGGCAGCCAAGCCACCAGGTCAACGATGTCGCTCCCTCAATGGTACGGTACGGGACAGCTACTATAATAAGGTGTCCATTAACCAGCAAGCCTCTATTATTGAATATCAAGTCCAGTAATCTACGAGTATCTATCAATCAAGCAATCAAGGCTGCTTGCACTGTTGTTGCCTCTACAAAGACTCCTGACGTGAGATGCTCGTTAACCATTTTGTTAAATCTTTCTCGTGTCCCAGGTTTCTCGGGTTATATGCAAGCAGCTCTACAAGCATTCTGGCATTTTGATGACTGGCTGTCTGCAGCTGGCTGTACAGGTAGAAAAGAGAGCTTGGACTCGACTCGACTCGACTCGACTTGGGAGGTTTATGCAAGGAAGCAGCCTCATCTTTCAGTTAGCATAAAATCGACCCTTGTCGACCATTATCCTTCATATATTATTGACAATTGACACCAACCAACCAACCTCAAGCTAGTTACTAAATCGACAAACCACACGAAGATATGCGCGTACAATCTGCAGGGAACTTGCTTTTTGGAGCCCTCGTAACGGGGGTGCTCCTCCCGGTCGCCACTCAGGCAAAGACTTGTTTGATGCTCTATCAGATGGCCGACAATAACTTGGAATACTACATTCGACAGGATTATGCCGAGTTGACTTCCTCTCCTGTCCTTGGTTCGTCGGATTTGAGGACCTGGGTTTACTACGTAAGGACATTGCCTGTTGGACGCAACGAAACGGCCACGAATCTTTTCTTTTTTCTCACTTTGAAATTATATCTCGTCCACAGGATGCCCTCAACCAAGGAGGACAGGCTCTTCCCAACACTGTGGATAGTAATGGCAATGCTATCAGCGGCACGTTCACTGGAAGTCGCTACGTCACCTATGATCCCTCGTATCAGAAGATGAGAGTGGATGTCGAACTCTCCGGGGAACAAAACTCCGATACCCAGGCGTCCGTCCAGAACTTTTTGGATCACGCTCTTTCCGACTGTCTCTCCAATGGATACGATAGTCTCATGGCCGTCTTCTCTTCTCACGGAGGTGGATTCGCCGGATATGGAGGAGATGAAAATGCGAGGAGGAAGCTTTTGCAGACCAACTCAAACATCGCTGCTGCCATTAGGGCATCCCTGGACAGTGCCGGTGGTCCCAGCAAGGTCGAAGTGATCGGTTTCGATGCTTGTCTCATGCAGGCAGTTGGAGCCGCAGATGATTACATGTGAGTTATATAAATTATGGTTCAGGGAGGTGGACTTGTTCTCTCTCACCCATACTCATTTGCTCCGTTTTTCTGTGGCACAGGGACGTTGCCCAGTACATTTTGGCCAGCGAGGCTGTGGAACCCGGACACGGTGAGTTTTTTTCGTCGACAACAAGCTTCTGATAGATTATAGCCGCTGGCCTCTTTGGAAAACTCACTTATTGTGTTGTCTGACATGAAAGGATGGGCATACAGCTACCTCACTTCGGCTGCAAGCGCTCTGGAGCTCGCCGAGCAAGTCGTTGCAACATTCCTAAGTGCTACTCAGGGAGGCTCCCACCAAGCCCCCAAGACGTTGGCCATCTTGGACACCTCAAAGTTTGCCACTTTTATCAATTCCTTCGAATCCTTTTCTACGGACCTCTTGTCTTTGCTACAAGGGGGTGATGTGTCTTTGCATTCTTTCGTGTCGCGATCGCGTGCCGCATCGGTTGCCTACGAGGGGATTGTAGACGCTGTTGGATCCCGAAACCCCTCTGGACTTGACATTGGAAGTTGGTTGGCGAACTTCAAGGCTCTGTGCAACCCCGGTGCGCCACTCCAGGCGGATCTCGACACTGCATACGCGGCATACAACGACATGTTCCATGCTCGTGGTGTTGGGCCTGGAACATCAGCTGGTACCGGTATGCACATCACTTGGCCAAATCAGGTAAGCTTGGGAAGATTTTTCATTGCAATGTAAGCATTGGCTTGTGTCTGGGCCCTCACGCGAAAGCCTATCGGTCAATCTACTTCTAGGGCGAATATGTCGCCAATACCGCCTTGTGGAACCAGGTGCTGTTCCAGAACAGGAACTACGTGACGGAAATCACCCCCGAATTCCGGAATTTCCTTGGATGGTTTCTGCCATCTGGATCGCCAAGTGGGGGAGATGGCACCACTGTCTGCGGTGCTGGATCGGCAGAAGTTAATCCCGGCAATCAGAATGGTAACCAAAACGGCAACCAAAATGGCAATCAAAATGGTAACCAAAATGGAGGCGGAAATCCCGTGGACCCCAATGCCTTGATTATTGATGATTCGGGTGTGGAAGATGCTTCAGGCATGTTCAATCTTCAGGCCACCATCGCCCCTGCCGTTTCTCAGATGCTGGTGGAATACGGAATCGACCTCTCAACACCCTTGAAGCCTGTCCTGGAAGAGAAGGGATATCAACCCAATGATAATGAGTACCTCTACCTTCTTGGTGGTGATGTCTCTGGAAGCTACGTGGGAAACACCTTTGAGGCCTCGTGGGACCAAAAGTTCTATTTCTTGAACATCTCGGGCTCGGATGCCTTTGAAGCCTTGTATGTTTTTGATCAAGGAGATGGGTCCAAGAAGATCCCAGCTATGTATTTCCCTGAAGCGAACAGAGAAGATGTGTCGAACCTTCAATTCCTTGACTATTTGTTCTTCGATTTCAACTTTTGGATTGAACAGGGAGCAAGGTTCAGTTTCCTTCAATTCTCCGTGAACGAAACCGAAAACCGCATCAACGATAATCTTGCTCTTTTTATCAGTAATGATGCTGGTGTCTTCACCGAGCAGCCTCGCTCTGCCGGTGGATACTTGATTCCCATAGTCTACATTGATGCCTTCATCCAGGAACGACAATTGAACACTTTGCCTGGTGGTTTCAACCAAACCGTGATCCCGTGGACAGAGTCACTTGGCTACAATATTCTCGAGACACCAGCCTTGAACATTTTCGATGTTATCCCCAGCACTGATGCTGTCGTCATCAACATGTATGCCTTCGACCACGGAGATCCTAACAAAGAACCTGATGTACGATACTTCGATGTGAAGCGAGAGAGAGGCGGGGGTATCACCCTTGCAGCAGATGCTCCTGCACCTGCTCCAGTTGATTCGGCTGCCCCCGCCCAGTTCCGTATGCTTGCTAGCTTGATGGTTGGTGTGGGATGCGCGTTTGCAGGCTCTCTGCTCTAACGTGAATGGCGTATTTGATTCCAAATTTTATTTTTGACAGTGGAGAGTGAACTTTTGACGATAAGAAAGGAACGCTGATGCATAACATGTAGGGAGTAGCTTAATGAAGTAGAAACCGATTGCTTTTAGTATTCGCAAGCACAAACAGTTTGGGTTCGACAACGACTGCAAGATCTGTTTCTTTTTTGAGGTTGGGTGGGGTCTCTTCTCTCGCTTGTACGGCGGGCGCAGGAGTGGTCCGGGCTGGCCAAATGGCCAAGCAAGCAGCTTCTTTTTTTTAGAGACGGGGTATGCGACCAAGGATCGGCGTTTGGGAGTGCAACTTTTGAACTTAGCAACAGCAAACAGCCTGGTACAGTTCCATATCGCTTCTGCCAGTGAGGGACAGAATAGCGGAGACAGCACATATTGATCAGACATCTTCCTTCTGGACTCAAAGGCAATAGTGGTGCGTACGGGCCAGCTACTTTCTACCGAAGGTGCCTATGCAACTAATTATTCTGTTACTGTTACACCAGTGTCCTGGCTACTTGAATTCCTTCCTCAATTTTTCCAAGTGCTCAATCATTTCGTCAACTTTCATCTCACCTTCAACCACATTTTCTCTTGTCCTAATGTTGACGGTTCCGTTTTCGATCTCATTCTTTCCAATGACAAACTGGAAGTTGTATTGCGCCACTTGTGCATTTCGGACCTTCTTCTGGAATGTGTTTTTCGAGAGATCGACGTCGACGTAGAATCCTTTCGCATGGAGCTTGTCTCGTACTTCAACACAGTAGCTCTGGAAATCCGCGTGGACAGGAATCAACATCACTTGCCGCGGACTCAACCACAATGGCCACTTTCCTCCATAATGTTCGCACAAGACAGCAAACATCCGTTCCACACTACCCAGCATTGCACGGTGGATCATCACCGGCCTGGCAAATTGTTTTCCTTCCTCTTTGCTTTGAGTGGTGTATTGGAGATCGAAACGGATGGGAAGCTGGAAGTCCAATTGAACGGTGGCACACTGGTGAATTCGATCCATCGCATCCATTACTTTGATATCGATCTTGGGACCGTAAAAGGCACCATCGCCCGGGTTGACGCGCCAGCTACCCTTTCCAGAGAACTCATCCATAGCTGATGCAAGCGCCGCCTCAGCACGTTCCCATAGCTCCAGGTCACCAAGGGCTTTCTTCGGTCGTGTGGACAGCTCGAGTTTGTAGGTCATGCCGAAGATATCATACACGTCTTTCATGAAGTTTAGCGCAGCAAGTACTTCAACTCCGATTTGGTCCTCGCGACAATAAATGTGAGCATCGTCTTGCTGGAAGCGCCGAACACGTGTCAACCCTGTGAGAGCACCCGACAGTTCGTTGCGATGAAGCACTCCAAAGTCAGCAAGACGAAGCGGCAAGTCACGATACGATCGAATGGCACTTCCAAAGACCAGACAGTGTCCAGGACAATTCATCGGCTTCATGGCCCATTCCTGCCCCTCGACATCAAAGCAAAACATGGCATCTTTATAGTGCATGGCGTGGCCTGACTTGTGCCACAAATCGAGATTGAACACGTTGGGAGTGATGATCTCGTCGTAGCCGCGGTCCCAGTAGAAATCCTTGATGAACTGGATCAGCCTGTTGTAGATTCGGGTTCCGTGTGGAAGCCAGAAGGCAGAACCAGCCGACAAGTCGTGGAACATGACCAACTCCTGCTTCGCCATGATTCTGCGATGGTCTCGTTCTTTAGCCTGTCAGAGGATAAAAACAAGGAAATGTTAGTGACACAATTATACAACAACGAAATCTGCACAGGAGACCAGGAAACAGGCTCGGAATAATCAGCGGATTGGAAGCTTTTGTCGGTCACATTTTTTCTCCGAGAATGAGATTCGTTTTTGTCTCGTCATTGCCATTGGTTCAGATCTGAAGTGTAGGCATTACTACACAACGAATACGACCAGTGCCCTTACCTTTTCTTGGTTTTCTTTCCAGACTTTGAGCATTTTCTTGTCAGGGAAACTAATTCCGTACATGCGCTGTAAACTGTCGTTGTCGGTATCTCCGAGCCAGTTTGTGGCCGAATGACGGGTAGCGGCAAATGCCTTGACTTTGCCCGTATGAACGAGATGTGGACCGCGACACAAATCAATCAAGTCTCCACAACGGTACACAGTGGTACGTGATCCATCAGCTACCTTGGTCGATAGAATTTCGACCTTGAATGGATTGTCCGCAAAAAGCTCCAATCCCTCTTCCTTGGTAATAACCATCCGCTCGAACTTTTGTTTTTTCTTGATAATTTTGTTGACTTCGGTCTCTATCGTCTTGTCTGTTTGTTGCAAGCAAGGAATTGTCAAATACATAATTGTCAGTAAACCAAGCAAAACGCTTGTGGTGAGTTATGAAATTGGAACGTACAATCATCATCGCGCAAAGCATCTGATCCCATGTAGGAGTCATAGTAGAATCCACCGGCCAGAGGAGGCCCGATAGTGAGTTTGGATCCAAAGGAATGCTCCAATGCCTCTCCCAACATATGCGCCGATGAGTGCCAGAACACAGTCTTGGCGTCTTTATCGTCTTCAAACTTGAGCAGCTCCAACTTGGAGACAGGTCCTACTAGGGGACGTTGCAAATCCCATAGCATTGTCTTTTCGGAAGCACTATCTTGCTCCACTCCTGCATCTGCCATGGCGTCCATGAGAGTGTCCTCTCCTTCCATGCCATCTTCAGAAGCGTTGTAATCGTCAACAAAAGAAGCATAAGTGACACGGGCCACAGATACGGCATCGGCCAAACCCTGACTGATCGCCACGCCTACATCATATGGTGTGGTTTTCCAGGCCTGAAAGTTTTGTCCACTCTTATCTTGTGTCAAGACCTTTCCATCTGGCATGGTGACCGAGATATCCACTGCCTTTTTGTTGGCGAGTTCTCCTTGTCTGCGCTCCTTGATTTTGTCGTAGACGGACACACGGTCCCCGAGCCACTCAGGGTTGGGCGTACGTTTCAGAAAGGAATCACCTCCAATATGCTTTCCTCCTTCAGCATCCATGCGAGGACCCGACGACGCTTTGGCCCGCCGACCCTGGGCTCCATCCTTGGTCTGCTTTTGGGATGCAGAAGATTCCTTGCTCAAATCCGGTTGGGTGACACCGGGAACATCGAATACAGAAAACTTGGAGGTTTTATTGACTGCCACGCCTTCACCTCCTCCTTTATTGCCGCCTTTCTTGCCCATTCTTATCCTGTCTTATTATTAGTTGCTAGCTTGCCAGCTCAAAGAGTTGTCCCTTGGTTTTGTGCGGGAAGGTGGCTTTTATCGAGTGCGATATGCGAAACATGCCGACAATCAAGTCAAGTCGAAACCATCCATCTCAAAGATCCAAATTGATGCGCGCCTTCTTCGCGCTCACGGGTTTCAATCGACTTTTCAGACCTGAGTGGCATGGGTTTCATGCTATAGCTATGCTATGCTTCACATCGCATGACATCGATTGCACCCATCAATGATCAATCAAACCGTTGCATCAGCTGAATCCCTTGAATGCTGGAGTGAAAGGACATGGCGACCTCTCCAATATCCGCGTCCTCTCCAAAGGTAGATTCTGATGACTTTTACTCAGAATATTTTGGCCACAAAGAAGAGCATCTGCAGCAACTGTTGCCACTTCTTCGCTCTTCCTCAGATTCTCTTGTCTGGCTGGCAGGTGACAGCAGCCTAGATAACAAGTATTGGCAAGTCGAGAGTTGAAATCAGAGGATTCCCATTTCTTCTACTGCTTACTGGTACGATGCTGAGGGAATTCTAATGTTTGTCCAAAATGTATGTGATGCAGGTTTCAGTTGACACAGCCGGCGGTGGGAGGCTATCGCGACCTTCTGGATCCTCCTCGATCCAAGACAGACATTGCTTACTGGATGAATTTTCTTGCTTTGGAGGATCCCAGCAATGAATTACCTCGGATCGCCACTATCAACACCGCAGGTAAGGCCAGATGGCCAACGGCCTAAGCATGATGACGGAGCTCTTTTTATTATTTCTAACTCTACCAAATTCCCTCGAGTATGCAGTCGAAGAGACTACACTGAATCAACGCACATGGAGATGGCTGCCACAAGACAAGTTCATTCGAGACAAGATTTCACCCGACGATATCCTCATTGTGTCTGCTGGCGGCAACGATGTCGCCTGGGCACCTTGTCCGTGTACAATCGTGTCGATTCTTTGTCTTTTGAATCTACCAATGTTTTGCATCGAAAATGCGTTCAACTGTGGGTCAGTCCCGGTAGGTGCGGGTACAAACTCTGGTGCTCGGGTACCGTTTGGGACCTTCAGGTCTGCCTCTCACTCTCTGTTTCTCACCTGGCTCATTTTCCCCTTGAAGACGGACGACTACTGCTGTGGTTGTGGAGCGTCACTGGCATCTTGTGCCTGTGCATGCCCTCCATGCTCAGGGTACTTTAAGCATCTCTTTGGGACAAGGTGAGTGATTTCAATGTCTTGTTCTTGTAGCGATTAGTTGAATTGAATCGAATCACTTTAGCATGGGTATCCACTACAAACCGCTGCACTCTTAACTTACAGAGTGCAAAAGTATGTTGAATCCTTGGTTGCCAAGACCAAACCCAAAGCTGTTTTGATATGCATGATATATTTTCCGGATGAAGCAAAGACCATGTCATGGGCAACTCTTCCGCTGCAGCTCCTAGGATACGAAAGCAACCCTTCGAAGCTCCAGTTGCTGATTCGAAAGGCATTCCAGGATGCCACTTTGTAAGTGCTTGCTTTTGCAGATATGCTTATGTGACTACTTGTTGCGGGTGCCTTCCTTCGTTGAGTCTTTTGATGATAGTGATGCTGTACGTATTGATTCGATTCATTTTATTGCCTCTTGCGCGTCCTACAGAGCCATAAAGATACCAGGAACCAAGGTCATTCCTGTCCCCCTCTATGAAGTCTTGGATGGGAAACATTCTGAAGAGTACTGTGAACGAGTGGAGCCGAGTCCAAGTGGTGGCAAGCTTTTGGCTAGGCTTTTCTTGATGATCATACGACAGCAGGTCACTGGAAGCAGTCAAGATTCAAGAAATGAAACTGCGATCGGAGCGCCTGTGTCTCAAGCCATGGCTGAAAGGTCTTAGCTACTACATCTTGATTCGATTCCAAAATGGTGATAGAAAGGCTTGAAGGCAGCCATCATTGTATCGTACCATCCATGGATGGTTTCTGAACTACTACTCGCAGTCGAGAATCATTCCCTCTCTACTGTATCTCAGTAGTAGTATATATCTTCTGAATGGACACTACTGTAGTATTTGGCTTGTATCACCTAGCGGTAGCTAGCTTCACAAGTACTAGTATGACAGAGCTCTCAAAGGTGTCGTCTCCGGGTACAACTGTACTGGTTTGGAGAAGGGGCCCGGGAAAAGACGCTCGATGCGTGACAGCCTCGCTGGGTTATGTTTGTACAAGTGTCATCTTTCTCTTCTATTTTTTCTTGTTGCAACTGATGCCAAAGCAGTTCTGTTGATTCCATTCCTTAGTCGGCTCTGCTGTTGTTGCGTAGAAGAAGGAAGCATCCATCCTGTGTCTAGCTAGTTCCCTGAGTGATTTGACCTAATTATACGTTTCCGACCGAGATACTGAGATACGCAGACGAGTTTCGATATTGGCATTCTGGCACGACAACAATCTACAGAACGAAGATGGTATTTAGTAGGACTTCAGACCGCGGTAATAATCCCGCTGCTGGCGCTTCGATTGCCGCTTCAATGGAAAACAGCGGTGTTCATGCGATGCGCCGCCCTACTACTCGCGGGTTGCAACAAGTGGTCCCTCCTCGGCAAGCTTCTTTGAATTTCATGGGACTTTCCATGTCGAGATACCGTCAGTCTTCAGCTACGGGTGCCCGTAGTTCCAATCGAAGACTCAACAGTCATAACAACCACAACGACTCGCCAGACACCAATTCTCAGTTTGTCCATGCAGTGCGGTCGAGGGCTCCGTATAGGAGGTATCGAGTGGGAGAGAACATATTGATTACCTGCAATTCTCACTGGGCTACTTCTTTGGTTAATCGCCATGGCTTCCCTCCAGGAGAGGGCACCACGGCAGAGGAGCAGAGCGGCCCTTATTCCTTCGTCATGGCCACTGTTCTGACTGTACATTTCGATGAGTTTGCCGAGTATTACACTGTCAAACGATCTGATAATGGAGCCGAGCAGAGAGCCGACACGGGTGAGTTTTCTTTCCTTGGTTTTCTGATTTTCGTTTACCGTTGTTATTCTCACCGTGATGTCTTTCTTGCTGTGTCTAGCCTTCATGGAACCCTTCAAGACACAACGAGGGGAACAAGCTGCTCTGCGAGCCGCTACACAAAGCACCATCATGTCCCCAGATGAGGTCGTCCGAGCCTCGGGACCCTTGAACGCAAACAATAAGAATCGAAATGTGTTTATACGACACCTACAAACATGTTGCTTGTGCTTATGCATGCCACTGCTCTGGCTTTTCGACTGTTTTCTATATCTCATGGGAGAATACGTCTGTCGATTTTGTAATCGATTCTATCAGGCCACTAAGCGACAAGCCAATTTGTGTCTCAACGGAAAACAACCATGGGTGTGCTCCGTACGAGTCACATCCATAAACGTCGTTGTGCTATGTAGCACTTGGTACATGTTCAGTGATCAAGCTCGACTGGCCTTCTTTCCATCCTCGGCCGATTATGCCCTTGCAGTTATCAATTTTGTGGTATGGTGTATCCTGATCATCGAACTACTCTTTGAACTCTTCATACGACCCGATGGATATCAAGATCTCATTATATCCGACAAAGCTTACGCTCCGACAACTGTCCGATACATCAATGCCTTTCATTTGTTGGTGGAATCAGTATCTCTCCTTTGCTTCATTCCTGAATTCTATTGCCTCTTCTCGGTGGCCAGCTGTGGCGAGAGGCTCGGTTTTTCTTTCTTCAACGCGGCACTGTTGGGTGTGACGGGACCCTCGAGGGCAGATTTCTTTTTTGGCAAGGCATACTTTGCACTCATTCGATTCCGTGTGTTTGGGCTAGTTCGACACTGGAAAAAGATGTGGATCAACAATACATTCATCAATATGAGATGGAAAGCAGCCCATGGATTCTTTTCTGGGTCCTCCTCGAAACAAGTTACCTCGAATCAGAAAAACAAAAGGGACCAACACAAAAGCAACAAAACAGAGACGTCGGAGGATGCCAAAAAGAAGGAATCGGTCTTGACGAATGCTTCCAATATTGGAACAGCTCTAATGGTGACAAATTCCTACCGAGTCTTGATCATGTTGTGTGCCATTGTGGGTGTGTTCCCCGTACTTGCGTCCATCGCTTCAAGTTCGTCAATCAACAGGATCACTAAAGAAATGACCGACCAACTGCAAGCCACCAATCTGCTAGTGACGGACAACTCGAATAGCTCGTGCATGTTCCTGCGAGATTCCGTCTTGTCTTGGGTCGCGGGGCTTACTCCCAGTGAAGGAAGGCGGCTGGTGTCCACAGACACCAATGTTTTTCTTTTATCACTAACGATTGAACCAAACCACTGTCGTAGATGGTTGTACCCGCCAGAAGACGACAACAGCAACAACAACGACACGAATACAACAATCAGACCGGAGACGACCCCCCCTCGTTTAAAGAACAATACCCATGTCCTCAGCGATGTTTGTGTCTTCATCAAACGCGAAAACCCCAGCTTGACACAAAAGATCGAGGACGAAAGTGCGGACATGGCAGGCAGCAATGTTGACGAAGAAACAGTAGCTTTCTTGTTGAAGCACTGCAGGACCTGGAATAAAACAGGAGGGTCGACTTCTGCGGAAGATATTTCCAATAAAGTTGACTTGAGAATCGGATCCATCACTGTCGTCCCAAGCTCGACGGTTTACAAGAACTACACAATCTACGAAGGGAATAATACCTCATCAGTCGAAAATACCACCTACAGCGTAACAGCTGTGTTCAATGAGAGTTACGCAATCGAGTCGTCGTAAGTGATGTCTTCGCAATACTTTCGGCCGCTAGGTTGTGCTATTGTACTCACGTACATTTTGATTTTCTCTGCAGTGCCATGGCGTGCTTTTTGCTGCAATTCTGCGTCTTGATATCTGTTTTAGGAGGGCTGTCAGTGTTGAGACGAGACGCTGAGGTGCTAGTCCTGGGCCCTCTGCGTCGCATGTTAAAGATTGTTGCTGGGTATGCGAAGAATCCACTTATTCAACCCAAAATACATAGGCGCGGGGTATCTCGCAACGCCCAGGGCAAGGCAATGCCCGACCACTCTGATGCAACCTTGTCAGATAGCGACGATTCGATGGATGGTACTGAATTTCTCGGAAACGATTTAGGAAACTACGAAACAGAGCAGCTGATCAATGCAGTTTCAAAGATTACGGATTTACTTCGAAAGTGCTGGGGTGTTGCAGGTGCAGATATCATTTCCACCAATCTTGCTACTCGCGAGGGAGCTCTTACGGAAGTTTTTAACCCGACCGTTCCAGGAAAGAGCGTCTATGCGTTGTTTGGATTCGCTGCCATTAAGGGGTTTGATCACGCATTGAAGAATCTGGGAGGCGATGTCATGGTGTTGATCAATGATGTAGCAAAAGTTCTCCATGATGAAGTGTATCGATGGGGATTTGGGAACTCTGGCCAGTGCAATAAGAATCTCGGTGCAGCCTTCTTGATGGTTTTTCGAATTGGATTGGTGAAAGAAGTCATTGAAAAGCTTGAGCAGGCGACCGATGTGATTTTCTCGACTCACACGAAACACCGCACAACTTCCCAAGCTAAGCAAAAAGCGAGAATTCGCAAGGCTGTGACAACCAGCACGACGACTCCCAAGAGTGTAGCCATTGCGAAGGCAACTGCAGCGAAACTCAAGGGGAAAGTGAACAAGAGGAAAGAGGATGCATCAGTGAATGCTATGAGTGTGTCACTCCAGTCACTTCCTGGCATTTCAACATTTACTGACTGTGCTGTGATTGGAATGCTGAAGAGCTACGCCAGTATTCACAGAGACAAGAAGCTTCTTACCTGGAATGACGATTTTCGTTTGGGTGCTGGAGTCGGGGCTTTCACCGTTAGTCTTATCTATGGTATGGATGCCGGTTGGGCTGTCGAGGGAGCCGTTGGTAGCGAATACAAAATTGATGCAACCTATCTTTCGCCGCATGTCAATATGGCTTCTCGAATGATGAGTGCCTGCAAGCAGTATGGTGTGAGCATTCTGCTGAGTCAAGCAGTGCAAGAGCTTATGTCTGACGCCGCAAGATCAAAACTGAGGCATCTGGATACGGTCACGGTGAAGGGAAGCAGTGTGAAGCAAAGAATCTACACATACGATGCCCGGAACCGAGGCGTGGATTTTTTCTTGTTCAGCCGAACTGATGACCAGGCTGATTTCGAGGCAGATCGGTACTCACCGAATATGTGGAACGTGGATCAGGATCTGAAGGCCATGAGACAACACCTTGAAGACGACTTTCTGGACGAATTCAAGGCCGGACGTAAGGCATACCTGCAAGGTGACTGGCCTCTGGCGGTGGAAAAATTGAACATAGCAAACGAGATCATGTTGGAAACTGCTGTCGAGGCAGGGTACCTTGTGGACCCCTCCACGGATGCTGTCCCCCACGAAGAGGAACTCGCCGAGCACGGAGATGGCCCAACCCTATTCTTGCTCAACTACATCAAGTCAAAGGGCGGAGTTGCACCAGACGACTGGGAAGGTTGGCACCCACTCACTAGCAAGTAGAGTTGCTCAGTCGAATTTTCAGCTCGCTTGTCGTTGATATATTCTTGGGAAATATGTCAAGTCCGAGAGGAGCCTGCTTGCCGATAGATCAGTGCTACTGGTACGGTACGGTGCTGTAACGGGCAGTAGTCACAATTCGCTAATGTACATGATGTAGTGTGGGAGTGCAAACGTTGCCACCCTTTCTACTATTATCTAGCTAGCTAGAGGCAGCCCTGGACACCACACTGCCATCCTTAGCTCTTCTACGCCAGCCACGAATCTTTCAAAGTGCTGAACCTCAGAAACGGTAGTACATGTAGACCCTACGGTAGGATGGACTTGGACCAAAATGAAAGAAACACTATTACCTACTATTACCTACTAACCTCGGCAGGTAAACTGCCTGAGTTCTCAACCCCTTTAATGCTATTTCCTATTTCCTATTTCCTATTTCCTATTTCCTATTTCCTATTTTCTATTTCCTATTTCCTATTTCCTATTCCGGTGAAGCCAAAGTATAAGGATAGAGATAGTCATAAGCCAACAAAACTGAACATTGATGGTTCAATACAAGTTAGGGGTAGGAATAAATCATTAATATTTAAGGTTAGTGCAATCAGCACAGCAGCACAATAAGCCAGCAGGAGTTGTAAAGGTTAGAGTTACAATAAGGGAATGGCAGCTGGTAAATTATAGAGTAGCGGGCGGCAACACACGACGTAGTCGGGTGTTGTCGCCAGGGCTAGCTTAATAAAGAAGGTTGCAATGAGGTTTAATGCTATTTCCTATTTCCTATTTCCTATTCCGGTGAAGCCAAAGTATAAGGATATAGATAGTCATAAGCCAACAAAACTGAACATTGGTGGTTCAATACAAGTTAGGGGTAGGAATAAATCATTAATATTTAAGGTTAGTGCAATCATCACAAACAATAAGCCAGCATGAGCTGTAAAGGTTAGGGTTACAATAAGGGAATGGCAGCTGGTAAATTATAGAGTAGCGGGCGGCAACACACGGCGTAGTCGGGTGTTGTCGCCAGGGCTAGCTTAATAAAAAGAAGATTGCAATGAGGGAATGAATGATACCGAGCGGCAACACACGACGTAGTCGGGTGTTGTCGCCAGGGCTAGCTTGAAAGATGGGTGCAATCCGAACATGATCTTCCTTCTTCTATCTGTCTTTCTGCCGAGGTATCGCAGCTCCCGCTGACTTATTACCTAGTAGTCTAGCTAGCCAAAGCAACCATTCTGCTGCGGGCTACCGGAAGCTAGCCAGTCACATATCCTCTATCACCGCAAGCCACCGGAGCCCACCTGTTTGAATTGTCTGCTCAAAATCATTCATCTTGCACCATCCATATTTTGATGTCTGTCAAGCTGCTATTTTTGAAAGCCAAGACTAAGATTGATCATCTGTTTCTCTGTGTCTGCTGGTCACGATGAAGCAACGGAGTGCCCGCGCCGCAGCAAGCTGGACTGATTCTTTGGTCGTTTTGGGTTCTCTGCTCTGCTTTACTTATCATCTTCGATTACCCTCTTTCGAGTTCCCACCAATGACGTTCGCGCAGCAGATGCAGCCATCAAAATCGAGAAGCCCTGGCCTTTGGGAATACATGTACAAATCTCACAGCTCAAAAGCAAACAACCTCACAAAAGGAGCTCAAAAGTTAATCTAGCCTCCAAGATATAGCACGACGACAATGATTTCTCTGCTGGTAGCACCGCTACTTCTGTTGGGGTCTACGCATGGCCTGGTGGTTATTCCAGAGACCCGACGTCAGCTTGGGACGATGACGCTGTCTTCTTCGCTATCGAGCCACGACGCTAATATACCCAGTGATGAAATGATTCGAAGAGACATTGAATCGATGCGAGAAGAAGCGAAAGAACGGTTGCAGTCCTTGAGCGCTCAAATGGATGACATCATTCGAAAGCACGAAGAGGAACATCCACAACCGAAAGAATCTTCCTTTTTGGACTCTTCCGCATTTGAACGAGCCGAGCTTCCCATTGTCGACGTGGAGAATCTCCGACTACACAACCAACAAACACGAAGCATTGAAGAAGAGTTTGTCGTCGTGTCGCCACCCAGCTACGTTTCCGATAGCAGTCTTCTCCATGACACACGCTGGAAGGTAGTCATCCAAGTGGGAGGCAAAGGAGGCAACACGGATGAAAAGCCGCTCTTGATTCACTTGGTTATGGACTTTACCGCAGACACACTCAATGATAACGACGACCTCTTGCGCAGTGGATTCAGCACCAGTGAGGCCAAGACTCTCCGAATCAAGGAAAGTTGGATTGGCGCGAGTTCCTGGACAGAAGGTCGACAACGAGATGTTCAAATCAAGGCAACGGGAGGTTGGAAGGTGCTTCCCGGTCAGGGCCCCAAAGGTAAGAACAACGCAGGGGATCTCATGTGCAGTATCTTCGTGATGAAATTGGCCTCTTACGTCTGCTTGCACTTTCATTCCCTAAGGCATCGATATTTTGAGATTCTATATTGATGTGGAAGACGAAATCTGCCACGATAAGGAAAACAGTAGCTTGCGTTGCCCTGCCCAGCGAGTTTACTGTACCAGTGGTTTCTTTTCCATGGGCCACCACAATGAATCCGAGGCATTCAAAGACTACTTGCGAGGAGAATTGAATAGACTCGTAGAAAAATATGAAGATTTGACTTCGGAGGGAGAAAACGATGAAAGGCTGTTTTCTCTAGACGGAGTGAAGCGCGCCAAGAAAATGATCGATCTTCGCAAACAAATCAAAACAACCAACGAACGGATTACTCAGGCCCGGATTCGGGATCCAGAAAAGTCCATGCTGCGCTTGTCACGTCGAGGGGATATTGGAGTTACAAAAGAAGGACAAGTTTGTTACAAAGCTGACGCCAATGGCGCATCAGCAGAGTATCTAGTATTGGGAAGAATGGAAATGGCATCCATCAACAAACCAATCATTGAGTCACCTCCTACTTCTGCAGATACGTTGCGGCCTTGAAGAGTCGAGTCCAATCCGCAAGAAAGGAGAGAACTGAACCAACAGGCAGAAGGCCAAAAGTATATGAAGAATACAATTCCAGGATGACAGGAGAGTGAGCAACAACACACATCCTCGCAGCCATTCATGCCATACATACAAATCACGATCAATTACTAAAGGTAATAGATTGTTCATAATACTAAGAAATCGTAGCGAGTTATGCCCTGCTTTGCTATGGCCGCAGAACCAATTATTGCTTTTTAAAAAGGATTGCACCATTATGTGACTGCTCTAGCCAACCAGCCATCTATCTAGCTAGTACCGTACAAACTTCCAGTATCGCTCCAACCCCAACACTGCGAGTTAGATCTAGCAGCAGCATTAATAGTCGCTTTTATGCCGTTATTTCTAAAGTACATGTATTATTGTAGCGGTCCGTCACAGCTTATTGGATGCTAGCAATGTCCTGTAGATTTTGGCTTCATCCGCCATTTGATCTGTGGTTCGATCCTTTCGATCAGCATCGTCTGGCACATCGAGTTTGGGTTTTTCCTTTGCTTGCAAGTCATCCCGTGGCGCCCAGTTTTGAATGTCGTCATAGATATCATCGTTCCTTTCATAGTCTCCTGGTTTTCGAGGCAGAATATGGACATGAACATGAGGCACGGATTGTCCAGCATCGCGGCCGTCTTGCACGGCCACATTGAAGGCTTGACAGGATGTATAATGCTGTTTCAAGATGTCCTGAACCACTCGCACCGTGAGCCAGAGATCCGTGTATTCTTCTTGAGATAAATCAGCCAGAAGGGGCACCACGCGAAGAGACATAACCAGGACATGGCCTGGAACAAGAGGCCTTAGATTGACAAACGCAGCCGATAAGGACGAAGTGTGAAAGACGTGTTCTTTGGAGATGAGCCAGGGTCCAAAGTTAAGCTTTTTGTCGGAGGATTCATTGGATGAGGAGGCCATGGTTCGGACCAACAAGCAGGGGTATCCTTTCTTTCGAGATGATGATCTAGCGACGGAAGGAGGAAATCTATTTTGTAAGAGTAGAGCAGTGCAAGCTTTTGGAAGTCTTCCTATTAGCGTTGCTGCCATCAAGACCGACAAAGGGAGCGATAGCAGTAAAGGCAGTCCACTACAACGGCGAGTAATATGTTCAGCTGTCATGGTCGGATGGTACAGTCGTAGCGAGAAGTGGAAGGCAGAAGTGACGGGAAAGAATCTTCATCAGGGATAGGGATGTTCTTTGTCCTTCGTCGTTAAGCCTTGCTTGGGGTCGCATGCACCGACCGCGCGAGAAGTCATCCACACTGGCAAGATCCTTTGGGTGGTGCTTTTCAAGAGGGAGCATTGTTGCTCTTCATGGTCGAAGCCAATAGAGACCGTCGCTATCGTATCTAACACGAAAGCAACAACAACAACAACAAATACTACTACTACTACTAGCATTAACTAACCAACCAACCGTCAAGATGGGTGATCAGCAAGAAGAGAACATGGGCATGTCGTCCGTCCTCAAGGAGGTTCAGGAGCTCGCCGAGAAGTTTAAAGTGGAGGAAGACGAGCAGTACATTTCTCCCTATGCCCATTTGGAGAAGGCCACTGTCCTGCAGGAAGCCCGCATCTTTCACGACCCCGTCGCTGTGCGTGAAAATCCTCGCAAATGCTGCACCGTCATTGCCCAGCTGTTGCATCTTCAAAACACTGGACAGTTCCTTTCGGGCACAGAGGCCACCGAAGTCTTTTTTGGTGTGACAAAGCTCTTCATGTCCGATGATGCCTCTTTGCGCCGTATGGTCTACCTCTTCATCAAGGATGTAGCGGAAACGTGCAACCCCGACGATGTCATCATTGTCACTTCTTGTCTTACCAAAGACATGACGTGTGATGTCGATCTCTACCGTGCCAATGCCTTGCGTGTGCTCGTTCGCATTGTCGATGCGGCCATGTTGGGAGCCATTGAACGTTATGTCAAACAGGCCGTGGTCGATTCCTCTGGACAAGTCTCAAGTTCGGCATTGGTCTCGGCTTCCCATCTTTTTGTATCGTCACCCGAGTGTGCCGCCGTTGTCAGGAGGTGGATCAGTGAAACCCAGGAAGCCACTTCCAGTCCAAACGAAATGGTCCAATTCCATGCCATGCAATTGCTATACCAAATCAAATCCCATGATCGTCTCGGTGTGTCCAAGCTGGTTTCACAATTCAGTCAGCGCAACAGTCTCCGCTCGCCTTTGGCATTGGTACTCTTGGTTCGTTACACTGCCAAATTGCTTCATGATGAACACTCGGAGGGCCGAAACACTGGATCTTCCATTTCGGAAGGGTCACCCGTCACCAAGGCTGGATACCACTTTTTGGAATCCAGTTTGAGGCACAAATCGGAACTCGTCGTTTACGAAGCAGCCAGGGCGATTTGTAACTTACCCGCTACCGAGCCCCAAGATTTGAGTCCTGCCATTTCCGTCTTGCAGCTATTCCTCTCCTCGCCCAAGCCTGCGGTACGCTTTGCATCGATTCGCACCCTCGCCATGGTGGCCAACAGTCATCCTCGCATTGTGTCCAAATGCAATGAAGATCTTGAAGCTCTCATTGGAGATACCAACCGCTCCATTGCTACTCTCGCCATCACTACTCTACTCAAGACGGGAAGCGAGAACTCCATCGATCGCTTGCTCAAGCAAATCTCGTCCTTCTTGACCGATATTGCCGACGAGTACAAGATCACCATTGTTCGCAGTCTCCAAAAATTATGCTTGACGTATCCGGCCAAACATCGCGTGTTGGTCGGGTTCCTTTCCAACTTTTTGCGCGAAGAGGGAGGATTCGACTTTAAGAGATCCATTGTCTCGAGTATTGTGGCCCTTATCCGAACTGTGCCCGAAACGACCGAGAGCTCTCTCTTGCACCTTTGCGAATTCATTGAGGATTGTGAATTCACCATGTTGTCCACGCAGATTCTACACTTGTTGGGAGAATTGGGACCCCAGACGACGGCACCCGCACGATACATTCGGTTCATCTACAACCGTGTCATTCTGGAAAACTCGGCTGTCCGTGCTGCTGCTGTTTCCGCGCTGGCCAAGTTTGCTGCGAGCTGCCCTTCCCTGAGGACATCCATTATGACCTTGATGAAGCGTAGTTTGGTCGACGAGGATGATGAGACGAGAGATCGTACATCCATTGCCGTGTCTGTCTTGGAGGAGGCCATGGCCAAGTACCCGTACGTCGCACCTCCCGAGGATGCCGCTGCCGAGGATATTCCTGCCGATAAACCAGTGGATGGCGATACCGCCGCCTATCTTTTGCTGGAGCCATTGCCCATGTCGTTCGACAAGTTGGAGCGCAGCCTCAAGGCGTACATGGCGGCTCCAATGGCCATGCAGAACCCGGAACCAGTGACTTTGGCTACCTTGCCGGTGGTCGAAGATACTCCTGCCGAAATTATGAAGGCGCAATCCATGGACGCTGCCGACGCAGAGATTTCGGGTCTGGGTGATTTGAATGGGTTGGAAGACAAAAAGAAGGAAATCGTCGATCCCGCGGCTGCAGTGTACGCCATTCCCGAGTTGGCGGCACTGGGCAGAGCTTTCCGATCTTCCACACCTGTCCAACTCACCGAAAGCGAAACGGAATACGTCGTTACATGTATCAAACACATCTTTGAGAATCACGTGGTGCTCCAGTTCACCGTTCAGAACACGATCGACGAGCAACGACTTGACAATGTTACGGTCCTGGTGGATGACAGTGGCACGGATGTCTTTACAGCTTCAGGCGAGATTGCTGCTACCGGCATTCGCTGTGGAGATACGAAACACTGCTTCACCATTTTGGAACGGAACACTGAAGCGGCACTGACGTCTAGTCACTTCACGTGTGAGTTGCGCTTTACTGTTGTCCAGATTGATCCTGTGTCTGGCGAGGAAGAGGGTGATTCGTTTGAGGAGGAGTATCCTCTTGAGGATCTGGAAGTGGCAACGTCTGATTTCATGGCAAAGGTGTCAGTTCCTGACTTTCGAAAAGCATGGGAAGCTGTGGGTAATGCAAATGAAGTCATGGAGAAATTTGCATTGCAGTTCAAGAAGATGGAGGACGCTGTGAGCGCTGTCATTGATTTCTTGGGAATGCAAGCATGCGACGGTACTGCGGCTCTCAAACCCAACGCCGGCAACAAGCCCCACATGCTGCACATGAGTGGCGTCTTTATGGGAAATCAACAAGTGTTGTCCCGGGCACAGATTGCAATGCAGGGCGACAATGGCAGTGGGGTCGTACTCAAGATAGCAGTCAGGAGTGACGATCCCAACATCTCTCGGATGGTGGCAGATTGTATCCACTAAACTTACCGCACGAAGCAAAGCGCAAATACAAACAATGCAATACATACGCTCGGTAAACTGGTTTAACCTTTTAGTTATCAAAAAAAGACTTGGATTCTTATTATTTTACACAAACTGTTTTCAATCGTTCATCGCCCTCATTTGTCAATCATTATCGCGTCACTGATATTTTGTAGCTTGGATGCCATGGCATTCCTTTACTCTGTCTTCTTCTTGTCAGCCGCTGGAGCAGGCTTGAAAAAGTTCTCATAATAGCTGTGAAGGATAAAGAAAGCAGCCATGCAGACCTTGGCTTTCTTGGTTCCGTCAATGATACCCTCGCTCAAAGATGTGTTCAAGAAGAGGTGCAAAGATGTGGCGCCAATAAAGGCCGAGAGCATTGGCTGTGCAAGACCCGCCTTGATGGGATCTAAACCCTTATTCATTGGTAAGAAGGCTCCTCCACAACCAGCGAGAGTGCCGCAAAAAATGGGTCCAAAGATGGGAAAGTCGAATTCCGAAGGAGCAATGGCGTTGCCTGCAGCAATCGTGAGCTTGCAGACCACAAAAGCTCTCATCGTTTCGTAAAGAATAATGACTCCTGCCTGCAGAGGGAGTCGCGATGCACTGAAGTTCAGTCGTCTTGATATCATAGAGAAAATGAGTCAATCCAATGGTCAACTTCACTTACCTTGAAGACCTTGGATAACTTGAACACATCTCTAACGATTGGAACATAACTGTGTAGTAGGTAAGAGCACAGAATGGCAATGGGGTAGGAATCTTGTGCCAGAGGAACAGGGATTCCATTGATCAGGATAGGAACAAGAATTCCACCACCAGTCGATGCCAGCAGCAGGTTGACAAACTTATAGGTTGTGGCAGCACCAGCCGGTAACTTGGCAAATACCTTCGATCCTATTCGAAGAGGTTGATTTGGAAAGGCGGTCGATCTATTGAGGTCAGTCAAAGAAACAAATTCTTTTACAAGTGGCACCCATGGTCACTCACCATGCATAAAAGTATATCCTAACATACACATGTACTTGATTTCATCAGTGTGAAACAATACAAACTCAGCGAATGCGTTTGCCAGCATCCATGCTGATGGATCAACCACAACCTCTTCCACTTTCTTTCTTCCCATTGTCAGCTTTTTTCTCTTATGCTTCTGAGCGAAACACGGTTCAATGAGGAACAAGCCGATCGACTGAAACAAAATCTTGTTGAGCGGTGTTATGATGGCCAAGTCCTCATGTCGGAGACAACCTCAACAGCCAGCCCAAAACGAACTTGTCGAGAAGCCAAAAAATGAGGCGACAAGAGCCGAAAAGTGTCAGGCGCGGGTCGTGGCCACCGTCGGCGTCCAACGCGCCCGTCCGTGGTCATTCTTGGCGCAAGCTGTCTCCAAAGCTTCCAAACCCCCGCGACCTTCAAAGGAACGGCATCAAAGTGGCAAGGCAACCAAATCAGCATTGTCTAAAATCTTTGAGACACAACACAGCAATCTGTCCGATAGAGAGTGACTTGAGAATACTGAAACGAATACTGAAACGATGCTGAGAATGGCCAGAAAATCTAATGCATCTACTGCAAGCATTGAAATGGACCACCGTAGCCCAAGCACTGATGATCCCCATAATCTACCTACTCAAAAACTATATGGCAGTATGTGAGTAATAACCTTACCTAGTTCAGTCTCTTTTTGCTATGGTATGATAATTGCCACGGCAGGGTATTCGAAATAGCCCATTTATTTATTAAGAATAGAATCAATGTAAACACCACTAAACTATTCGTCTCTCTCCCTCTTGGCGCCACTATGTTGAGTTAGCTTCAGTGCTGCCTGATCGGTGATGAATTCCAAATCGTATCGATTGCACTGAGAAACCGTCATAACTTCACCTTGTCTGCTAGCAATGGCTTTGTGCAGTGCTCTGAAAGCACGCATGAAGATCGCTCGGTGTTTTTCCAAATGAGCGCCGTGCACCTGAAGCAATTGCAGGCACCAACGAAGAAAGAAGTCAATGTGTGGGGTCGTGGATAAGATCTTGGACAAAAACTGCATCAGCCGCTCTAGTTGTTCAGGCCCCACAGTCCGTACAACATGCGGGATGGACCTGTACGGCGTGCTGTCCAAAACTTCCTTGACAAGAGCGAATTCGTTGAGATGCACTGCCATTCGCAATCCCGTTGAATAGTCTTCGGAGCGGATCTTTGCGAAAACCGCAGAAGGAGTCACTGCTTCCGTAAGCGAGATAGGGTCGAATATCATGTCCTCATCAAGCGAGTAAACATGAAGCCCTTCCATCGATACGGTAGCCCATTCTCTGCCCGTGGACGAGAAAGCGACCTGCAAAGTTAGCACTTCCACTCTGCTGCTTCTGGAACCGTCATCACCCCGTTTTGCTCCCGGAAGTTGCAGGGCATAGGGTCCAGTTTCGGCATCTGCGTCGTCCATGTTCATGGGACCTCCGTCACCAAGATTTTTCGAATTAAGCTGAACAAGAAGAAAGCGCCATGTGAGACCGACAGCATAGATGGCGAGATAGTTCGCGTAGTCGCATGAGGCAACGCTCGGACATCCAAGGAAGTTAAAGCCACCATTGGGATCTAGGCCCGTCAGGGTGTTACTGCAAACGTTTATGGGAAAATCATCATCATAGCGTTGCCAATTCGCTGGACACAAACAGAAAGCGACGCCACGACAGTGACGTACCTCGTCCAAAACGCCGTCCAGGCTTCGATTAAAAGTGACTTGGAACTTCTTGAGTAACATTTGCTGTGACACCTCGTAGATGCATACATATTTTGAGTTGCCTCCAGCCAACACGCAAGCCCCATCAGCGGAATAACAAACTGATGTAAAGTATCTCGAAGCAGCGTTGTTGTTCGCCGTCATTCTATCATTCATCTTTCGTCCCCCAGCAATGTCTCTTCTTCCATCAATCTCATACTTCAGCTTGGCAGTTTCCACATCCCAAAAGGAAAGCAAGCCGCCAATAGAGCCCGAACATATTTCTTTTCCGTCTGGGCGAATATCCACACAAACAACATCTGTCGAATGCTGAAGGCTCTCAGTTGGTACGTTTCCCTTGTACAGATCCCAAGTTTTGACAGTGCCATCCCAAGAAGCACTTGCCAGAGTCCCTCCACTGTTTTGGAACGCCAGCCCACAAACTGGACCGGCCTGTCGTTACAAGAAAGCGGAAACAAAAACGGCTTTGTCAGAATCGGTGCAAGCTTAGCGACATCCAAGTCCATAAAGCTTTTATTCACTCTGGCATCCACTTACATGCCCTGAGAACACATCCAGTATCTTTCCCGATTGCAAGTTCCAAACGTAAATGTGGAATGGGTCTGAAGATCCAGCCGTCACAATTTCCCCACTCGGGTCGACAGCAAGGCTCAGAAACTGCACTGGAGTTGGCGTCGTGAGCGTTTTGAATGTTCTGTACCGATGCAGGTCGTGTGCTCGGACCGTCCCATCAAGACTAGCACTGAGCACGACACTGGCCTTGGCAAAGCAGACAGCCGTAATGGGTGCCGTGTGCGATTTTTCCATTGTTACGTAACAGAATCCACTGGAGGCATTCCATAGCTTCAACTTGCCATCTTCCCCACCCGTGCAGAGTACAATTCCATCGGGAGAATAAGCCATGCACCTCATCCCATAGGCATGTCCCCGTTGCTTGAGCACATAGGTTTCACTCCGCCATTCCCAAACCAGCAACTGCTGTGACGTTGGACACCCCAGTGCCAACCAGTCTCCCGTTTTATTCAATGTGCAAGTTTTGACAAGTTGCTGGGACCCCACACTCAAGGTATGAATATTGGACACAGACGGCATTTCATACAGACCGAACACACCAGAGGAGAATCCCACAGATAGCAACTGGTTTGAAGGAGAATACGAGGTCGATGTGACTCTAGCACCGTCCTGCCGAAAGTAATGTCTGGATTCAATGGACCAAGTTCCCTTGACCAAATGATGAGCTTGTGATTTTGCCGACGGTTGCTGCAGATTCTGTGGTACTCGCGCTGTCAGTGCCCCACCCGAAAAGAAATCAACAGCTTCCTCCATGACGTCCTCCAATTTTGGCTTTGCACCTTCCAACGATTCAATAGCCAGAGTTTCATCGTAGGTACACGTCCATGACACTAGAGCTCCGTCTTCACTGATTGTGAATACTGTTTGTATTCTATCATGAGTAGAAGAGGAAGCTACAAAGACTCCGACCAGAGGCGTCTTGTGTCCACTGAGCGTGCTTGGTTCGTATCCACGGGTTGTGTTGACGGTCCATATTCTCGCAGTACAGTCTCTGCTTCCCGCCAGCAAAACAGACGAATCGGGGCTCCATGTCAAGCAAGTGATATCATCGGATTGTCCCGTATACGTTCGATGCAAGACCATGGGAGCAAATTCCTTTCGATGATGATTGGGTGGCAACCATACTTGAACGTGCTTTCCATGCGTGACGGCCAGGTATAGTCCATTGGGACTAAAGACGGCTTGACGAACTCGATGCTTGAATCGGAATCGATGCAAGGCAATGCCTCTTCGAAAATTGACCATCATGGCATAATTGTCGACATCCACAACCAAGAGGAGCGCATCATCCGGCGAGAGTGCCAAGCAGCGAATGTTGGATCGAGCTTCAATGGGCAGTGTTCGAACCGAGTGGGTTTGTAGATCCAGCACTTGAACTCGATTTGCCACCGCCGAGATCAACACATTTCCAGCAGACGAAAAAACCAAGTTGGCTCCGCCCCATTGGGAACCAACAGTGCCATGGGTGGTCGACGAAGGATGGCCATAATAAGCTCCACAGAGACGCTGCAACTTGTAATTAAACTTCATTGCTTGCAATGGGTGCAATGGGTAGAGACAGGCTGCTTCATGTCCGTGCTATCTTGCTGCTTTGTTTTAGTACACAGGTATCGTTGCTTGCTTTGTGTTGCAGATTGTGATTTTGGCACTCATCTTTTCATTCATTTTTCACTGGCCTTGATTGCTGGCTCATGACCTCATGGTTCCACTCCCGACTGTCACTCCCGCGGTGGCATGATGGCATAAAATATTCGATGGGTACCAGCACCTCGAGGTAAAGGCCTCAATTGGTTCTTTATTTGTGTAAAATTCTATTTTTGAAACTTTCCATTTCATAGGGTTAAGTCATATCAGCCAGTCATAAGACAAATGGCTTAATCGTCTGACAATTAACTTATAATCGTCTGACAACTGTCTTAAGTCTTAAGACGATTCTTTCAGACGATTCTTTCAGACGATTTTGTCAGACGATTATTGGCGAGTCAGACGATTCTGTCAGACGATTATTGGCGAAGACCCCACCTTGTCAGACAAACCTATTACTATCTTGAACGCAGTACCGTTTATGACTGAGGCGAATTAGTGATTGTCTGACAAACAACAAGCGATGGTCATAATAGACTTAGTGATCGTCTGAAGAGGATTTAGTGATTGTCTGACAATCGTCTGATACTTATCTACCAATTGTCTGATTCATGGATGGTTTCTCATCAGATATTTATAAGACAGTTCTCCTTGGAAGACATTTGTGCTCTCACTGAAATCATCAAATTTACTCCCTTTCAATCAAATGGGCTTTTTACCTCGAGGTGCAGGTACCGGACTGTACCTGGCTAGCTGGTACGCTGGTACCGGTACCACAGGTACAGTCGTACCGCTAGCGCACCTAACTGTCCTCAAAGCCTCGCAAAGTACAGTACGTTCTTGCTTTCGATGCTGTGAAACGAACAGGCAACTTTGAACATTATCGTCAACCACGGCGACAGAAGAGGGAGTGGTTCCAAGGTTGGTACCACCACAAGAAGAAGAACGAGTGGGAGCTAGCTAGAGCTGCTGGGCAGTCTCTGGAAAACCAAAGTCATGCATGGCTGGATCATGCTGTGTGCATGATTCCATCTGCCCAGACCTGGCAGCAATTCAATTCGACAAGGAGCAGCAATCTGCTTGTTGGACTGGGCAAGGTACGATTTTCCTTCAAGAAGGGAATCAATCTTGGAAGCTATCCCTTTCAAAGCCAGCCAGGATATGAACATCTCAACACAGGTGTCGTGGCTGACATGCTCTTTTCCATGTAGTTCCACTGAAGCTGGGCAGGGTGTCAATCGGGCAGACAATCCAATGATCTTTTGGATACCGGTACCGGTACAGCCAGTACCGTGTTTATGAATCCAACTCCATGACAATGCTGGAAACAATGTCCACCGTCAATTCAGCGGCGTTACCAAATGAATCAACAAATATGAAGGAATCAAAAAGCAACATGCAGAATCTGATCTTCATTGCACCATGTATCATGTCTGGTAACTAGCCTGTTTGTGTCTTTTAGCCAGCCAGTCAAGTCCCTTACTCATCTGCCAAGCAGTGCGGACCCTTAAAAACAGGCGCGGAGATCAATCAGGGACAACGGGTAGGTAAAGACCATTTTGCAAGGCTTCAAGGGCGACAGATCGTGCATTGAGGCGATCGACAAGAATACCTATGGGGTGGGCTTAGTGTAGCTACCACTCGGTACCTAACAAGAAGGTGGGATCAACTCAACTCTGCCACCTGTTCAACCACTGGACTACTCAGCAGTGACTTGCTAGCTAGATAGAGGTGCCTCTAGAGTTGCAGTTTCCTTATCAAGCAGGATACCGGCATAGGTGGCCTAGCTAGTAGCCATGTTCCGAAAATGCATCCCTTGTCCCTGTTGCAGCGTCCCGCCAAGACCTCTTGTGCAGCTGGTGGGAAGGATCTTTCGTCCTTTTTGACAAGCCCTAACCCTCACCATGACACGCAACAGGTGTTCCTCTGTTCCGTCCATCGACGCTTCTTCTTCTTGGTCCAAGATTACTGCATAAAGTCGTAGAGTGCCGCCGGAACGTCCTTTTGGGTTCCCATCAATGCCATCCGGAAATCCATCACAAAACAAAGTTTCACAAAAACCAAAAGCTTCCGCCAAGCGACCAAGAAACACCAAGTCGAAGTCCAAAAGAGACACAACCACCAAGAAGAAACTGAAGGACCTACCTATTGCTGATTGAATGTTTGCTGCGAAGTATCGCTACATTCGTATAGATATTAATCAATTCGTTGCTGAGAAAGGAAAACGAAGCATCAAAGACAAAGACGTCCCTGTTGAGTTTTTGACAGAATAGACGACAATGAATTCAATTTTGATGATTTTGTGTATGTTGCCTCTGGCACACAGTTTTGTAACGACGCCAAGCTTTGTCCGCCCTCAGACCAGTCTGTTTGCCAACAAGAAAAAGAAGAGCGACAGTTTCGACATGAAGGAGCTAAAGCATCGCATCAACGAATTGACCAATCCCTACCACGAACTCTTTGCGGAGGACTGGAATGTCGAGGAACGGCCCGAACAGGTTCATGTCGTTCTCTTCAATCCCGACACTGAAGAACAAGGATTGCACTCAATCGAATACCCCGCGGGTTCTGGAAGCAACTTTGTCTTGGCCTTCTCCTCCAAAGAAGCCGTCGACAAGTTTGCATCTACATTGAAAGCCCAAAACTTTGCAGCGGATCCCTCCCCCACGGTGTACGAGCTGGATGCGTTGGAGAGCTTCTGCGACATGCTGGGAATCTTTGTACAGGTGGTGCCAGATGGCATGGAAATCCTGCCTCCCACCAAAAATGTTCAAACTCTAGGAAAGCACAACCGTCACCTGAAGGAGGAAAAGAACCGCTTGGATTACATCTTTGGCATGTTTGAAATGGAAGTCGATGAGTTGGGACTCATGGTCCCTGAAGAAGAGGAAGTTGGTGCTTGGGAGTAGCCAAACTGATACCTTCGCAATTTACGGTACATTGGCAAATGGATCTGCTTATATTTTTTTGATATCCCGCTATGGATTACACACAATTAGCTATGGAATACACAACCAACCCAGAGAATCTCCTGCAAACAGCAGAGAAACACAAATTTTAAAAGAAGTATAACTATATGATGCAGTATTACATCCTTTGTTTCTAGCTACCGGTAGGAGCTTCTTGTGCTCTCATCTTCTTGGCCCATTCATTGCACGAGAGTAGACTCGAAAGATGATGATACATCTCGTTTGCCGATGTTCTTTCTTATCCTCAGCCACTACATCATGTACACGGTGCAGCTCTGTAGCAGCAGCTGAACCTCTAGTATCTAGCTAGGCGCTTCTTCATTGCCAGAGGCAGTGCCTGCTGTGGGTGCTGGTTATGGTGCTCTACTGAAAAACGGCCACGACGCAGGATGGTGCGTCTCTCTATTATTAACCGATATCCTTTTCCTCTATCACTACCAACTCTAACGAAGCGCAAGACTGGATGGTGTTGACTGTTTCGTCCTCCTCCGTCACAGCTCCCATGGCATAGCGTCCTCCTCGTGTATCATTCAAAGATGAAGTCACAGCCAAAACGGAAAGCCCCACCGTCACCACTGCGGCCAGACATCGATACACAGTCCGGGGACCCAACCAATCATCACCTATTCCACCGAATAGGACGCCCAAAACACTCCCGAATCCGCGCAACGTATGCAGCAATCCTTGACCGGATGATTCGTACCCCGACGGCATGAGTTGCGCCACAAAATCAACCGAGCTAATGGATGCACAAGCATAGGTGATACCGTGCAGAGGTTCAAACAAAAGGACAAACCAGGGTTGTCCTTGTGGAACCAGGGAATATCCAATGACGCGAAGAACGTAACAGACCCCGGCCAAGAGAAGCAACTTGATAGGCCCCCATCGGTTCAACAGTTCTGGACCATAAGCAAACAACCCAATTTCACAAAGCACGGTCAAAAGAACCGTCAGGGAGCAAAGCGTATAGGAGCTTCCCAGCACTTCAAAGTAGAGAAAGATCAACTGCTCTACCACGGCCATACCAATAGCGAGGCAAAACACTGCAAACATAAACGCGGCCCCAGTCGTGGTGCCACAGATCATGCTGCCAATGCTCACCAGGGAGAGACGAGGTTTGTCGGGTGCTTCTTCTTCTTCTTTTACTTCATTATCTTCCTCATCCGTTGGGACCACGTGTGATTTTTGCCGCTTCAGCCCCTTGGGCAAGGGAAGTTCCCTGTTGCCTTGGTTTTCCACAGAATCCTTCGCGGATGTGTCCACATCAATATTTTCTTTAGTGTCATGGCCTAACTGGTTTCCTGTGTCTTGTCGTCTCCTTTGCCCTTGTCTACTTGCCAGCTGGGCGTTGGTAAAGATGTGGATTGTCGCAGCAACTGCCACCAGTGATACTATGGAATACAAGTAGAGTATCGAGAATCCAAGCCGGTCCAGAGAGGGTCCCATGATCAGATTGGTAATAGCCCACCAAATTGCCCCGTGCAATCGTTCTTTGCCAAAATCAGCCTTGTCTGAATGCTCATTCAAATAGTCCAAGGTGATTCCATCCAAAACTGGCCAAACAAAGGAAGTAGAAGCTGCGTACAAGACGCGAAGCACCACATGCCAGGTCACGGTGGAAACAACAGGAATGGTTGTTACATGATGGAGTCCTTGGAGTAGAAATAATGCTCCACTCATGAGGATCCCACACAATAGAACCCTGGATCTACCCAGACCTGGATGTCGCCGCTCGTAGTCATCTGCAAAGGAACCCGAAAAGCTGGAACAGAGAGACTGGACCACAGTGGAAGAGGCGAAGCAGAGTCCAATCTGACTGTCCGAAAGGCCCGCATCTTGCAGGAGGACACTGAGAAATCTACCTCCTGTCAGACTCACGTACACGAAGATGGAAGCATAGAGGATCCTTGGGCGGATGCTGGTCTCTCCGATGTTATCTTCGGGGTCAGACATGCAGTGGGGTCAATTCTAGCTAGCTATAGTCGGGTACCGGTAGCTGGGTAGCTTTCTCAAAACAGGGCATTTCATGTGGATATATCAGAGTGGGAGCTGTGAGTATCGCCTCAATGAAATCCACAATCCATACTTCGCTGCGAGATAAAACTGGCACTGCATCCAATACAACCGTAAAACGTACATGTACGTGCATTCATATTTCTAATGGCTACCAGTGCCAGCATTACGGGTATGGCTATCGGGGTGGTACCGGTACGTACCGTATCGTACCGGTATGGTTTGCTTTCATGCCCGCAGCGCTCTCACAGAAATGGATGTGACTGACGTGGTTTTTCAGAATGTTAACCGTTAAATCACATACGTGATCCACATATTCAGTGAGGCATTTGGTTGGTCGGAGCGCTCCCAGGGACGCTCCTTAACTGAAGGGAACAGGGGAGTTGGCCATCCTTCGGTTTTCGCGATCATTCAATCGCAGATCCTCACTTTTTCAATTTTTTACGTGCCGCCAATGAATGCATCTCGCTCCCAACCTCCAACCAATCCATGCAGTAGAAGCAAGAGATCTTGCTCTATTGTCAACCAAACAACACTTAAGTTGGGCTTTGATTGAACAATTCTGTCATTGTTCTTTCGTCGTACCAACGCATTCGCCGTCGTGGGAAAACTCTTGTCTCCCATTGATGCCCTGCTATTATCGGGATCTGTCCGTTTCATCGTGCCAGGAACTGACAGCTAGCTAACTAACTGTGCACATGTGCCAGACCACAAGCCGCTCATCAACGCCACGATGGCCACCAACACCTGTTGAAAAGCGACATCATCATCCTCTTCATCAACAACACCAACAACAGTTCGGGGCTGGTTACGTGATGAAATTTCTTGGATCGTTCAAGCAACGGCGGAGACAACGTCGAATACCAACATTCACTTGCAACGAAAATGCGGCGCTTATATCGTTCATGATCATTTTCCTTATCTTCATGTGGCTATGTTTTGTGTTCTCGACAAGTCTTTCTTCCACCAGTGTCGTCGACGACATAGAAAACAGATTGCAAACGCTCACATTAACACAAAAAGAACAAGACGACATACTCAAGATGCAAAAGCTTGGCAGCGATGACGCGAAGCGTGTGCTGCTCGTCGGGTTGATCAAGTCGGTACGAGAGCTTTACGAAACTTCGGTAGTCGATTCCATCAGCAAGATTTGCTTTCGATATCAAAGTAGAGCGTCTGAGACAATGGACGAAGGATTTGTCGAACTTCAAGTCCTCTACCAACAAGAGGGCACGGACAATCCCAACTCCATCATTGGACCGCTGACGGAAAGGCTACAATCAGCAGGGTGCAGAACCAACTTTATTCGTGAAGATCGAATTCTTACAAAGTCAGACATGGACCATATCGAAAGATCAGCGTCCGACACCATGTCGCGATACCGAAAGCTGGCGAGATTACGGTCCGTTCAAAGAAGCCACATCCTCAGCGAACATTCCGTTCACGACTACGATGTCGTTGTTAATGCTGACTTGGATATTGTGCAGTTCCCGCCACTGGATGCCATGATGGAGGCAATCGATAGGGCCTCGGAGGCCACGAAGCAAGGTGTCGGCTCTGTGGTTTGTGCCAACGGGCACGAAACATGGACCGTGGGATCTTCCTTGATTCAACGGCGCCTATACTATGATACTTTTGCTGCGATCGACATTGATGGAGATTGGTACTATACCAAATACGCTGCCGACTTGTGGCAAATCATCACGTTCGGACAGACAAGACTTTTTCGGAACATACTCGAGCAACATCCGTCGCTGTGGCAAATGCAAACTTGTTTCGGAGGTCTCGCCTTGTATGATTACCCTTCTTGGGCGAACAATGACTGCGATTACGATCAGGACAAAATTGCGTTGAGGGCGACGGGCGATGATGACGCATTGGCCATCTCTACTAGACAAATACGGGGAGTCCCCGCATTCGAACAGAAAATAGAGCACTTTCAAGATGGTGTGAAAGCTCAAATACCGTGGAAACTGCCATCCAGATATACGATAAATCATACACCCAACGGCGATGTTTGTGAACATGTGGTCTTCCAACAATGTCTGCAAGCTTCGGCGCGCTCACGAGCCGAACCATTGCCGCATGTGGGTATACAACCGAATTTGCTTATTGGGAGAGAAGCAGCTATTCTGTCCAAGTGGGAGGACAAGGTGAACTTCTGCAGGAAGGTCTTGCTCGTGCTGCTCGTGCTTTATATCATCTCCATTCTTGTTAATCATATGCGAGAATTTCTGGAGCAGAAATATCGAAACTATGGGGTCGGGGCCATGAGAAGGCGTTCTTCTGATGGGCACTTCCACAAAGCATGAAGAACATACAACCGAACCTTGCTTTATTGACCTACGTTGACAGCACGTGGGACGGGCGTTGACGGTTGATTGATCATGACGTGCAAATGTCTACATGGGGTGTGAATCAGTCAATAACACATTGAGTTAAGGAGGCAACAAATGGACTTGACTCATTTTGTTTAACCATCCATTCGGATTGACTGGTATGCCCTGGGTTGGCTGAGACTTTTAAAATGCTGAGACTTTTAAAACCGGGGCGGCAAGGAAAGGGCTGGCAATTTTATTTGGTGCCTTGCAACGACGTTGACGTTTCTAGCCAATTTCGGATGCTTATTCCGCCTCCTGATCTTGGGATGTTGCAGTTCCTCAAGACAAGTGTGGGCCAGAAACCAACCAACCAGCAAGAGACAACAGGCTGCGCCCAAGGTTGTTGCACACAGCACAATGTACTAGTAATTATTTTGATAGACAAAGAATCACTCCAATGCAAACTACCGATTGAACTAAACTAGACTTTAACAAAAGAAGCATCCGTGCATTGAGCATACCATACAGCACCGTATGTATCAAGAGCCTTGTCTATCAAGATGATAGAAACAGCCTCAGCCAACCTACCCATCCTTTTTTGCGGAGATGGTGTCAGTGTGTCTGTTGCAGAGAAACCACGTACCACCAGGTACCGTACACAACGGTACACCCACCACTTCCAAGCTTCCAGCACGTCACCGGTACAGCTGGCTTATTAATTAGTTGACAAGCGTCCAAACAGTCGAACAGATCCACAGTCGTTGCACACCGTATTCGACCCTTGCGCCCTTTTTTTACTAGCTAGCTAGCTAAACTATCTTTTAAAAATAGTAATCATCTCTTCACACTCGTATTGACTTCGAGGGAGGAGGACTACAGTCTACGATCGTTGCAGTTTCTTGGTTTGTACATTTAAAAATTTTGTTAGGTGATGACTATGAAGGGCACAAGGCTTTTGTCGAAGGTTGCTCGTCGCATCAAGTGCCGAGCGACAAAATCGACTGGCCCTGGAGGATGGATGTCCATTCAAGTTCAGCACCGTCGCCACTGGCTCTCGTCGGCTTCATCCCGTGACTTTGATCCCTACGATCGCTACAGAAGCAAGACAATGACGGAAGATATCTGGGAAGAAATCCAAAAGGAAAATGAACATACCCGAAGGTCGATCGACAAGGGGCTCTATAACAGAGTCTTGGAAGAGATTCTGCACGCAATGCAACATTTGCAAAATGCGGCATCAGCGGACGAGCCTGGTCCCACTGGAAAGTTTCTTTACAGTTTTCATGACAATCCACAATTGGGACAGCGAATCTACAAGAGAAGACCCGTCTCATCATCATCAGTAGAGCCATCCAGCAATCACACTACAGTTATGGAATTCTCTCCAGATCGATCTCTGGTCGCCATGTCTCTGAGTGCAGACGAATCCTTAGTGGCGTGCCTAGTTGAAGACGAGACCCAATCAGATACTACGTTTAGTAGACCAAAAAGAGTGATTGTGAGGCATATTGATTCTGGAACTGAGCTAGACGTAGACGTTTCAACAAAACCAAAGTCAACAACAGCAGAAGCACACTTGGATATATCTTCTTTGGAAATGGGACCTCTTCAACCAAACGACACACAATATTCCCTTTTCCTGGTGACCAACGACAACCTGGGAAGACCACATGCAGTTTGGGCATGTGGAATTGAAGTGCATGACAAAGAGCAGGCAGGATTGCTCAGCCAATGCTCCCAGCTCAAGCTCTTGCACTGCAGCTCTGACCCAGCGGAAATGGTCAACGTTCAAAGAACCAAGGGATGTCACTACATGGCTATACAAGCCACCACCAAAACTTGCAATGAAGTATATCTTTGTCAGGACTTGGCCAGCACTCCTCGGTTGGTTTGTGAAAGATCCAATGGGATCATGTACCACTTGGATGTCGGGGCTAATGATGACATTTACATCTTGGTCAGCTCGGTTGGTAACACTACCAATTCTGAACTGGGCCTGGAGTATTCGTTGTGGAAAACAACAGTAGATGATCTCCCACTGCAGCTCGGCCATGGACAATGTGGTACGCTTGTTGCAGGTGGATCCGATAGCGAGTACGCCATAACAGACATGGATATCTTTGCAAACTTCACGGCACTTTACGAGAGATCCACAACGAATGGGAAGCAGCGAATCAGCATTCTACCAAAAGCAGCTGACAGCAGCGAACCATCTCTTGGCCCGAGTGATAATATTATTGTTCCAATTGCCAGTTGTCATGATGGGGACGATTGCATTCAGGTTTCGCCTGGTGGTAATATGCACTTTGAAGCGAATCACGTTCGATTCTCTTCTGAAAGCCCTTCATCGCCTCCGTCTGTCTACGAGTTCGACATCCTCACAAAGGAACTCAGGCTTGTCTCTGGGGATGCGAATGCCCCTGCAAACAGAGTACAGCAAAAGAGAGTGCATGTCACTAGCAAGGACGGCACAAAAGTTCCCCTTAGTCTGATTTATCGAGAGAAGAACGCGACAACTAGTACGCAGCAGGAGACCAGGCCAACCGTGCTCATTGGATACGGTTCTTATGGAGAACCGCTTGATCTTTCCTACAATCCAGCTCTTGTACCGTTGCTGAAACGTGGTTTTGTACTTGCATACGCACATGTACGCGGTGGTGGTTGCCTAGGCAGAGACTGGTATATGAAAGGGCGTCTGTACAACAAACACAAGGCCATTGAAGATTATATAGCATGTGCCCAGGCCTTGTCTAGTCCACCTCTTTCAATGACTGAAGCACGAAAGCTCTCAGCATTGGGGTTCAGTGCAGCTGGGGTGACAATTGGTGCCGCAGTCAATCAAACTCCAGACGTTTTTGGGACTGTTGTCCTAATAAGTTGCTTCCTGGACGTTAAGAAAACGATGGAGAACGACCAGCTCTTTCTCACCGAGCACGAGTATGATGAGTTCGGAAATCCCACAGCTGACCCAGAAGCAGCCGAAGCGATTTCATCATACTGCCCCGTTTCCAATGCACTGAATGGCAAAGAGGAGCATACTGCTCGCTTCTTGATCGCTGGCACATTTGACGATCATCAAGTTCCTTTTTACAACTCTCTCATCTATGGGAAAAAGTTGCGTGCGAAGAGCAGAGTGAAGAGCCGGGTTCACATTCACATTGAACATCACGGAGGACACTATCTCCAGCCGCAAATTGCAGCGCTGCAGGCTGCATTTCTATTGGGGAACAAGGCTTCGTACTATGGAATACTGGTCGAAGAGGAATAGCTTTGATTGACAAGGACCTAGTTTGACCTGAAGGGATAGAATTATTGGGAGTATTTCGATTCTACAAGTCTTCGAAGAGACATTGGACCCCACGAACACCTGGCGAAGCACATGAGGCCGAGAAGTCCCGAACACATGAAACAAAACGTGTGAGATTTAACAAGGAAACACATGGACTTAGCCACGGGGCATGAAACAACACTCGAAGACAAAAAGGAGTCCAGTCACGAACGAAAAGACTTACGTTTTGGAAAAGCAACCGCGGAAACACCTCGCAAGGTGCGGCCATGACACCACCACACCGAACACCGCAACAGCAACAACAACAACAACAGGAGGAGGCAACAACAGTAGAAGCAGAACTCAGAGAAATCGCCAAGACTTCCTGGATGGCATCATCATTTTTCGACGGCATGGTCTTGTCGGCGCCATGGTCTTGTAGTGGGAGAGATATTGTTGCGATTCCCGAGAAACTGAACAGAAGATGCGATACAAGGCAATGGGGAGACTGTAGAGAGTAGCCGAATAGACAATGCAAGAGGAAACGGTTAGCAACGAAGAATCAAGAAGGAACAAACAACAAAACCACCATGGTCGCACTTACAATTGGGTAACAAAAGGACAGAAATGAAGAAAAAAATCCGAGACGAAAAGGGGAAGCTTCTCCCGCCAAAAAAGCTCCACTCCATCAAATTTCGACCACCGAACGATATGGCTCCACTTTCGAACCAATGCATTATAACCCAATGAATACAACAGATGCCGAAAGAGAGACCAATGCGGAGTTGGCAAGGATAGATTTGGAGGGCTTTGAAAAGGGTGACGGAAGAAGCTTCTGGAAGAAAAAGGGAACGTTCTCGAAGTCCAGTTAAATTTCGAAATTTCCCAGAGCAAACTCCCGATGCAGGTATAAGAATTAGCAACATAGTTTTAGTCTCTCGCTGTTGATGATAGGTCAGTACGTAGCCATGTCGCAACAATGGAATAGCAACCGCTGGAATCGGAGCCAAGGGTATCACTGGAAAACGTACTACGGTCAAGGCGGTAACTTCGGACATAATGGAGCGCGATATCTGTACAATGATGTAACTACGACGGCACAGGACACCACAGCTAAAAAGCCACCAAGTCGACTAGCAAACTTTATAGAGGACGCAAAATGCAAGCTGTGCCACACGCTGAAGGATGCTCAAGCAGAGATATCTAATCATTACGGTGGGTATTACAAGGACGAATATTGCATTAAGGCTGATGGAACAGAGAAAGGCAAAGATTGCACAAAGTACAAGTATCACTGTGTAGCCACTATGCACCACCCACAAACCGGGCTGACAGTCAAATGCAAATGGAGGTGTCAGATTCGAAAGCAGACGTCCCTGAACGGAGAGACTTACCAGGTTTATTCCAAGTCGTTCCTTGAACACAACCATCCAATGAAACAACAGCCAACGTCCCCCCAAGATCAACATGGATTGCCCTTCGCTGTGCAGAGCTTTATTGAATCGATGATCCAGCAAGAGAATGCTGTTAGAAACAGATGCATATTGAAAATAAGACCGGAAGAGATTCGCCAAGTGCTTACAGAGGCAATAGAATGCAGCCGGCGTCAAAACAATGGAAACCATCCACTGTACAACCAAACCCACTTGCTCAAACCTGATTTCCGCGAACACCTGAAGGCACAAATTCGGAGCTACATCGATCATCAGAAAATCAGGTACATGGAAACCCAGTTGGGTAGCAACCGTAAGCTGGACAATGCGTATAACCTTTATCGTGCGCTGCAAAACTGGAGGATGGACTTACCTGCTGGGTATCAGCCCAAGTGTTATGACAGCGCCGACGAACTGGCAGAAGCAATTGGAGTCAGTGCGGATCAGATTTTCATTTTCGATCTATCATTTGGCGAAGTGCACAGCCGTTTCGCGAAGTCAATGAACCTCAACAGTGACACCAAGCTATCGGAATTCAAGCAGAAGATGGAACAAGCATTCCTTGCAACTTCGCCAACAGGTCTATTTATGCTGATGCACCTGGCAATGAGAACCAAGGGCACAAGACAAATCTGTGCTGACGATACAGGTGGAACCTGTTCGAACATGAGCACTCTGATTGTTATGGGGGCATTATCTGTAAAGGAACGCGAAACACAAGGGCAGGTGACATCCTCGCTTTGACCAATCGCATACCTTCATGTTGGAGCCGAAAGGTTCTATCCATACTGTTTGGCGCTGTACGTACTGAGGAACACCTGCAAGAAACTGTTCAATGTTGACTTTGAACTAGACTGGGGAACTTCGGACCGCGCAGACACTTTCATTAAAGCCCACCGTTTCTTTCGAAGTCATCCAACGTGTTGCGATACCGCTCCAGAGCATTACGTGCATGTCACGAACAACAGGAATATTAGTTCACATGAAGCCTCTGCGAAAACGACGAAAGACACTCACCAAGAACCCATGCCTGAAGAAACTGTGAGCAGTCGCCAAGATGTACCCCTCTCTATTGATTGGGTGGCATGGCGTGAACAGGCCCTCATTCCACCACACAACTACGGTGCTACCTTGTGTTATTTCCATGTGATGCAACACTTTTCCAAGAATGATGGATTTGTTAAAAAATTCAAGGACCGATCCTTTGCGAGAGTAAACAACAAGAGGAACGACAGTAAGAACATCAAGTCAGAGGCTTATCGTCAGGTGCAGCTTATACACCAGTGCAAGACAACAGAGCAACGAGCCAAGGTGGCTGAGCTGGTCCTTCGTCATTGGTCTGAGGAACGCAATGAACAAGAGGCCGCAGCTCATTATCTTCGAATGTACGCGACTGGCCCCTACTTCAACCACAATTACGCCTGCACTGGATTCTGTGGAGTCCCATGCAGTAACTGCAGCAACGAGAGCTTCAACCATCATGCAATCAAAGCGAAAGACTCACCTGTGGAGCTTAATGTATCTCTTGGGAGGCTTTTGGTTGATACGCTGGTGAGTCTCCTGAGAAGGGATGCCATGGACAGAGCCGATCCATGCACTATAGTGGTACCTCGTACCTGTTCTTTGCTTTGTCTCGTAGTATCAACCTTCATGAAAATGAACCGAGACATTGTTCCTCTTTCGCAGAACGCAATGGGAGTTCCCAATGCATGGATAGCAAACGTTGGATTTCGAATTGGACATCCCCTGACTCAAGAAAGAATTGCTCTGATTCGGTCCTCCCTGCAAGGGGACGATGAATCGTTTGAAGACCTGTACTCGGAAAGGGAACAAGGACGTGACATCATTGCAAGGAAGATGATTGCTGTTACAAGGAACAGTTGCATTCTTACCATGCGTACGAGTGATAACACAGTGGTGGGTGACTGTGAAGATTGCCGTAAAAGGAATGGATACAATTGCCCTGCAGCTGCTTTCCTTCGCAGTCGGTATGGACAATTCGATGTTCAAATCGAAGATATGCGAAAAGTCCCTTGCAACACACGGCGTCGAGGATATAAGGCTCAAGGAAGAGGAAGACGGGATGGAATGTACACAGGAGGGCTCTTGAAGGATGGCAGAGTCGCCAGGATGACACCCAAGATGCTGGAAACCAAGACGTCTTTCTTGGAAAGTCTTTCGACGGAGCATTGGTTCAAGCAGTCGATTACTTGGGCTTGGAAGTGTCCGATAAACAGAGGTCCCTTTGGCAGGGAGACCAATCGACCAAGAAGAACGCAGAACATGAAATGTGCCTTCACGAGTTGCTGCTCTTCTTGAAGGATGGTCCAATGTACAGAGACCTTCAGCGACGCATTGCTTCGAAGACGAAACAGGAATGAGAATATTCGCGTATTCGGAATAATGAGAGACCATGCCATATCTTACGTTCTTTCGCGAATGAGGTTGTGGTATTGGTGCGGTGCAGTATCGAACAGAAGTGCAGGTGGCTGAAAGCTCTCAACGCAGAGGTATAAGAGAAGACCAATATAAAGTACTTAGGCTGTTGTCACCAGCATGGCTCTACTAGATTACTCGGCGTTCCCTATCTGTGAGTTGATACTGGAGGAACCGCTGCAGGTTGGCGTCGTTTTGGTTCCCCTTTGGTTCTGCACGACATCAACAATGGACAGTGAGCAATACATAGTGTTTGTTTGTACCAAAACGGATTTGACTTACGCCTTGTGGCGACGGATCCATCCGTTTTAGAGCAACTGCACAATTCATAATCGTTCGGCCGCAGTGATTACAGTGCTCCGAATTCCTTCTTCTTCCTCATTGCGACTTTTTCCTTCGAACAATCTGCCACCATGGCCGATCCTCCACGTCGCGAACATCGTCGTACCCCTTCGCCACCCAAGAAACGAGTTGCAAAGAAAGGTGCACTTGCTTGCATTAGCACTGCTGGAAAGTTTCCCCAGTTCGTCATCGATCGTCAACGTCAACTCGTCGACCGTCAAGGAATGGGTCCAAGTAACGAATCTCGTACTCATGTGCCGGCACCAGTTCCTCGATTGCCATCTCTGTCGTTCGCCAGTGTGACGCGGGATCGAAGTTCCCCAGGTCATCGTTCCCTGCCTTCTTTGTCCCAAAAGACCAACACCATAACTGGTCCTCCCTCTGTTCCCCAGCCGATCGCGGCACATGCCGAGCTTCCTGACGATCCAATTGAGGAGTTTCCATTGGATTCTGCCATCGTCAACTTGATTCGCAAGCAAGAAAAGACTCTTTTTGGGCTTCGCTCTCTTCGTAATGCCTATCTCGGTCACCTTGGCAGCAACTTGATCCGCATTGACTTGCCTGCACGTGTTCTTGCTGCCTGGACAGAGGTTGATGATGTTCTTCGAGAGAGTCTGGACATGACCATTGCCTGGATGTTTGACCGTATCAAGGAGTTGGAGGAGTATCCTTTTTATCATGGTCAAGAGGGTGACTATCCCTTGCCTCCTGTTGGACAGCCATTGGACCTCTGTGGAGTGCCTCCTGAGTATTCCACCATCTTCATCGAGAAGCTTCGTCTGTTCCTGATGGAGATTACCTCCAACGAACGGCATTGGCCTGTTATCTGCCGTGCCATGAAGTGGTCCCGGTTTGAGTTCCACCGACGCAAGCTTTCCTTTGATGCAAAGTATCAATGGAATGGTTTCACTTGCATTCCTCTTGTTCGTCTTACCAATGCGGACATTGAGACTCGTTCTGATGACAACCATCATCTTGGATATCTTTGTCGAACACCCGAGAACTACTTGAACAATTCTGTTCTTCGTTCTGGCATGGAGCCATTCTGGCTCAATAATCCTCCCTCCGACGATGACTCTGCCATGGATGATCATGCCGATTCCGTCGACTTCATTGCCCAACTGGATGATGATGATGATGATGATGATGATGATGGCAATGGCGGCGATGAAGAGGATGATGAAGAAGGCGAGGACGACGAGGATGAAGATGGAGAGGATGGCAATGAGGAGGAGGATGATGATGTGGCCAATGAAGACAACAACAACAACAACAACAACAACAACAACAACAACAACAACAACAACAACAACAACAACAACAACAACAACAACAACAACAACAACAACAACAACAACAACAACAACAGCGAAGATGACGACCGAAAGCCAGCTGCGAAGACTGGACTTATGACTCCGAAGAAGCGGGGAACTCCTTCCCATTCGTCTCGGTTTGCCAAGCGTCATCATCAGTTGTTGCCTCCCTTGTCCAGTCATTCTGGTCATGGAAGCAGCAATGATCCAGTGATGATTGATGGGGAACACCCCGTGGCGAAGCTTCCGCCTGTTGAAGTTCGCAAAAAGAGCAAGAGCCTTTTCTCCAGTCCTGATGGCAGTATGCTTTCTGAATCAGTCAGTGGTGACAGCCCTCCCATTGATCTTCCGCCGTACCAGTCTCCTGTGTTCTCTGTGGCCTCTTCTGTCACTGGAACATCATCCGATGGAACATCCAAGGCCCATGTTCGCCGTTCTCTGGCAAGCTCTCTCATGATGACTCAGACTCTTACACGACAATCTACTAGTGATGCTGAGGAGGAAGGTTGATGTGATTGATTGATTCGAGGAGACTCTTACACGACAATCTACTGATGACGAAGACTAGAACGGCATGTTCTGGTGTCGGTGTGAGTGTATTGTGTGTGGTGAGGTAGTTCGATAGATTGATTCTGATGAGTCGAGTCGAGGGCGATTGAGTCACTCGCTGTTTCGTCAGCGATCTCTTCAAAGTATGAGTTGAAGTATGTGAGATCGCCTGTGCGTCTATGTATTCAGCGAGTGTACGGTTTAACAAGTTGGGTATTTACGTGGTGGTCAGTCGTGGCATTGTCACATATTCCGAGTTCTGGTATTTATTTAACCACCATCAATATCTATATATCCAATCAACTATATGTGACTAGCCATTTCTCTGTTATGACCAGAGACATTGTGGTGTTTGTGCAATGAGTCCCACTTTCAAAAACGGAAATCTCTATCATTCAGGGAATTACTGTAGAGGAGCCAACCCGGACCTTCAGCTTTCTAGTTAGAGCTCGTGGAGCTGCTTAAAAGCGTCATCACAGGCAATGTGACTCTCCATTTGGAGGACGTATCGACATGTGTCTGGCTCATCCGCAGACAGAACCTTGGTTTCCGCCCCACAGGTAACAATCGCAGTGGCCGATCGTTGTGGTCCATTCCAACACTTGACACCATTGGTCCATTTCAAAATGCGGTTACCAGTTTCATTGTCGTAGCTTGCGCTGTCCCAAGAGCCCAGACCAGTCCCACTCGCGGAGTCACCCTCTTTCTGTGCAGCTGACCCAAAGAGACAAACCTCGTACGTGTATTTGCCAGCCTTGACGGAATGACATTGATCTTTCAAGGCGTATAGTTCACCATCTTGGCCAAAGCGGGATTCCTTGACGCCGTCCACAACATCCACAATATCTTCAAGAGTTTTTTCCGTATTCCTTTTTTCCCGCTCGTGCTCAGATTTCTTCTTATCCAAATCATCGAGAGACTTTTGCAACGCATCATCAATCGAAAGATCCCACTCAGCCGCGATTGATTGAAGCATATCGTTCTCCTCTCTCGGGTGGACGGCATCGTAGCCGTAGTATCCATCTGGCATGACAGTTGGCAACGCATTGTCGGCATCGGCAGCACATGCTTCTGCCTTCTCCTTGGTGAAGGTGGGGGTTGTACACAGGATTTGTGCTGCCTTGAGTACAGGTGAAGGGGGCAGTGTGATGGAGCCTCGGGTCACTGCATTTGGGGGGCAAGAAGCAACCCAGGGAGATGTGGAACACGTCTTTTCGCTTTTGTCTGCGGCATTCTGATTGAACTCTGGTAGGATTGCCTGGAAAATTTGCCAAACGTGAGCAAGTGACAGTTTGGAATAGACCAGTGTTCCAACAGCCAGAGTCAGTAGGTCTTGCCGCAGCTGATCCTGGTCTTGAGTAGATTGAGCCAAACCATTCATCAATAATATTTGCGCCGAGACAGCGTAGTCATAACCCCGTTCGATAGCTTCCACTCGACTTTCCAAAGTGGATTGCACGGTTTCGTACGCTTCTTTGTCAATCGGCTCTTTCTCTTCTACAACCTTTTCCGCATTTTCCTCTGCTTCCTTCTCTTCATTGCTGCTATCGTCTTGATGCTCCTTGAGCAGTGCTTCGATGCCATCAGAAATCTCTTTGGCTCTTTGCAGAAAGGCTACTCTGGGTTGCGAGAAAAGAGACTCCTTGAGAGTTTCCATAATCTCTTGGTCAGCCGATTTGGTTTCGCTATTATCAGCATCCTGGTTTTGCTCATTGTTGTTGGCGTCTTCATCCTCCGTTTGGCTGTCTTCTGCTGCACCTTCATAATCCTCATCAATGTAATCATCTGGGAATCCATCATCATCCATGGGGCGGTAGTCGTCATCGCATTCCTGAAGCCGTCTCCGACCAGGTTTGTTGCGTCTACTAGATCGTTTTCGATGATTTCGGTTGTCGTCCGTCTCAAGGAATTTCTTGTAACGATCTTCCGTTTGCTTGGCATTCTTAATCATCAAATCTGCCAATGTCTTTCCTTCCTCTCGTACATTGGTGTGCATTCGTTTCAAAACAGCTTTTCCTTGATCCTCTCGATTCCACAAGAGCGCTGCATCAACTCCCGCTAGGCGCAGTGGGACACAGGTGGATTCGTCCATGTCGGCAGCCCGTTCCATTTCTCCCGCCATTTGGCAAGAATGTACAATCAAACTAGTGAGTTCCTCGTTGGTCAAAGGCTCCAACAATCCCGTCAAGCTGTCATTGGACGTCGTCGTCGTTGTCATTGCTACTCGTTGGGAAATTTCGGCTGCTCGATTGACCCGTTGCTGCATGAATTCATGCTTGACCTGGTCGATTTCTGATTCCACTTCACCCAATTGCTCCTGGATTTGTTCTAGCCGTTGGTCTACTTTTTCCTTTTCGGCTTGCTTTTCTTGAAGAACCAATTGGAAGGCTTCAATCTCTTTTTGTCGCTTGTTTTGACCAATAGCGAATTCCTTGGCCATTCGTTGTTGCAAGGCTCGTTCTTCGGCCAGCACTTGATCACAGATATCGGGACAAACAGAGGGCAATTCGTCCGACCCATCGCAGCAATCGCAAATGCCATCGTGGAAGCGCGAGTAGGGGATTTGCAGCTTTTTCTGTTGTGGACATTGGTACGTTTTGCTAATGTGTGTGATGAAAAAAGACAGGAGTTAGTGGTACCGTAGTAGCTAGTACAAGTAACTTCAACTACTCGACTGGTGTCCTTTTTGGAACGCTCATTTCGAGATATAAGCTAGATAGATACAACACACAATGAAGTATCGGCAGTAATACTCACCTAAACTCCGTCACTGCTGGAACCCCCGTAAAGGCGCCCATGGTGGATCCTGAGCAGGCATTGGTGTGGGGTTCATCGGCACCATCGAGAGGACAATCGCAGTAACCATCGTCAATTTGATCATCTGATACTGTATGCATGGCACTTCCGCCTTCCTTGCCCCACCCAATGGCACATTCCAAGGCGCATGCTGGAAGTGCCAAAAGCAGTGCGATCAGTGTGACAATAACTGGCTTCATGCTGTATTATTGACTCTTTCCAAACAAAAACGATAGGCCCAGCACCACAGGGTAATGCACTCTCAAGCTAATTGCTTGCTGGACCAGCACAAGAAACACACAAACTCTACTCCTGAATACAGCCTAAAGCCGCCCTCGATCTCCTTTTTTCCAAGGTTGTCTGTGCCAACTGAAAGATGTGCAGTCACGGCACCATGGTCGGAAGATCGTCGAAGACATCATGTGGACATTGGATTCGAAAGCCAGAAGAGCTGTAGAAACTGCTCTCCACAAATAACCTTAGCAATGTTGATCTCCATTCTCAATATCTATTAATAAAAGAGTATCGGTACAGGTTCCCACAGTTATGAATTGCTAGAGATTACGAATGTTACAACACCAACCCTAAATCAATGAATTACACTTGGTGCGAGCCTCAGTCCGCATCTTCTACAGCGTGAATTAAAACATTAGAACGGTGGCTGATGAGGAGGTGTAGCTCCTTCGTTGCAAGGTCGCGGCATCATTCAAACTGACCAGCAATCCAACTCTACTACGGTACTATCACTCTATCGTCTGGTGTAGAAGAGAATGTAAGCACCATCACTTGCCAGCACAGCCGCTTCATCGGTACCAGAGACGTGCTGATCGTTGCAGCAGAACCATCGACCTTGCACTTGTACATTGGAAAAATAGTGGCCACTTTGAAGGTTTCCACGGTGATTCACAGTTCCAAACAGGTCGTAAAGCACACTTGGCTCAGAACTGCTTTCATTTGGTTCACCCTTCGAAGGAACGGTGGTAACTTCGCGCCTAGTATTTTCAGGAAGAAGAGGTACGTTCGTTGGGTGACACGTAATGAGGACAGAGGAAACACTCCATGAATAAAACAATCACGTACCAGTGAGGTAGATGAGGTCCCATGTTCAGCCCCCGGGCGGGAAACTCCACAAAGTCTTCTATCTTTTTGTTCAAAGCAGGATGGAATCTCTTGAGATGGACACACAGAACCCGTGGCAGACGGGAAAACGTATGCTGCTTTTGAGTTGGCGTTTTCTTGTTGCAGGATGGGCAATCAACAGGGTCCGACAGCTTCTCAGGGGCCGTGAAATGTTGCAGGCAGCGGTCAACGTTGAGCTGGCTTCCACTGGCATTGGGGACGCTTGCTGCACTTGGAATCTGCGACGACATGATTTCATTCAACAGAGGAAGCGAGACGTTCAAGAAAGGCTCTGAAAGAGTCCGTTTGTTTCCACATTCTTGACACACAAGCACAGATCTCAGTGTTCCCTCAAACAGGTGCTTCACTACATCATGATGAACCGGTTCCTGCGGCTTTCTAAACGGATTCCCAAGCTGAGCCATTGCGATGGCTTCATCCACGCGTGCTCGGTGTTTACATATTTGCTTCCCAAGGATCTCAAGAAACGCAAGCAAAAACTCGTGTGAATCGCGTTGTTGGTATCCCTTCAGGTGGTCCATGCCGCCGCTCTTCCATGCAGCCAAAAGCATCTTGGTCGGCAACAATGGCATGCCTTGTGATGCCATCTTCTCCTCGTCCATTGAGGAGATCTCGTTGAACAATTCCACCACTCCCCGTCTTGGTCTGGCCGACAGATCGTTGAGAATACCAACAACATCGCGGCCCCTCGATCGACCGTAGTATTCCAGCATGAGCGAATCCATCTGCCAAGAGTCCAAAACCACAAGTCAGTCTACCATCGTATGTTTTCTCTCGATTCGATTCGACTCGACTCGATTCGACTCGACAACATCGGTTGCCAGGACTTACCTCACAGGCCAAACACACGTTGTCAGTCACTTTCGCCTTGTCGCTGGGGTCAACGTGACGATACTTCTCACAAGCAGCATGATGATGTCCAATGTCCTGGAAGGAAAGGCGAGGATGAAGCTTCAGACTACTGTACGTCTATGGCGCAAGATCAAATATGCACCACACTTATTTCCGCACTCACCTTCAGAAAGTAGCGCTGGAGGGGAATGCAGTGGATCAAACACTGAAGAATAGCTGTCATGAAGCAGGTATTGCCAAGGTTGAACATTCCAACCGGTGCTGTGATCTTCCAACGTTCTGCCGAAGCTGATGCAGTGTCAGTCACTTCCCAGTGGATCAGTGGCAACAAATCGTCTGCTCCCCAAACCCTTACCTTTCTTGTTCTGGTCAATCATGTAGTCCAGGGTGCGCCGTCCAAGCAGAGACCACTCTGTGTCCCACACTTTGCCCTCGAACACGGCCTGCCTGATCATGCAAAGCCTGACAGTTTCCGTGTGTTCGTCTGGAACCAGAGCTGGATACGTTGCCTTGACGCCTCTCCAGATGATACCATACTCTTCCACGTGAGCAAACTCCAAAGGGGAAAACCCCCGCATGAGTGGATGATCACTCCATGCTAACCACGGAATTTTGCTTTCCAAGTCGAGGCGCTCTCGCTCTTGATCGAAGACTCTGTGATAGACGAAGTCACCACAAGGAAAACAGAAAACTTGTGCTCGAGCCCCACAGGATACGGCTGTGCATGATGAGACATACACTACACAACGAACCGACGAGAATTCAACAGAACAACCACAGCTTACCAAACTTGTGTCCCGACAAGAACAAATGCTGAAGAATGTGCTGGTGTTTCGACTCTGGTGCTACCGACGCTGGACCGCATCCAATGAAGGAGCATTCGAGACACTGCAAAATTTCGTCCCCCGAAAACTGCCATGACTTGTTTGCGGGGCACAGCTGGCAGGTTCGTCGCGTGGTCTCGGCAGTCGACCATTTCTCTGCTGTTTCTGTTGATGACTTCTTCCGAGCAGAAGCTTCCTCTTTGATATACGCTCTCCTCGACGCTCGGAACTGATCCAACCATCGCTCAACCGTAAGACGAGCAGCTTCCTTTTCCTTCATCCACCTTTGCTGTTCTGCTGCATCAATGACAGTTATGGGACGCTCGTCTGTGTATTGTGATGCTCCCGGTAGATTTTGCAATGCACTGTTTGACGTTCCACTGAACTGTGCCTCCAGTTTTCGTTTTTTGCTCTTCTTTTTGGTATTGCCGTATCGTTTGGCTAGAAGGGATCGTATGATTTGGACTTGCTCCTCTTGCCGGCTGAGTTCCAGGAAGCGAGCCTCGGAAAGATGATACTCTGGCTTGTTGGTGGAAGAAGTAGCAGCAGTGGCTCCCGATGCAGTTGCTTCCTCAGATTTCTTTACCATTGCACTCGAGGATGTTGCGCCAGTGGGTGTTGAGGACGGAGAGGCTTGATTGGAAGGCGACGACGAGTGAGTTGGTCCACTAGTATTGATAGGTTTGGGCGGCTGTTTCCCCATATTGTGTTTCTTTGCCTTTTGTTCTGATCCCCCGTGTTCGCTGCTGCTGGAATCTTTCCCTGTGCCATCTGTCTTTGTCCCACCAGGTCGTACCGCGGGCTGTTTTTTGCCACTCCCCTTTCCTGAATTAGGATCCTTTTTGTTGGTAGCTGTTGCATCCTTCATCTCGACGTCTCCGCCTGTTGCAGCGTCGTCCTTGCCTGATGCATCTTGCAATTTGGTTTCATTTTCCTTGTCTTTCAATTTCCCCTTCCCACCAGTTGTAGTGCTGGTTGTGTGGTCCTTTGTACCCTCTTGGTCCTTCTTGTTGCCCTTGTTAGCCTTGGGACTACTGGCAGCACTTTGTGGACTATCCACTTGCATTGTTTTCACTTCGGCTACGGGTGACGCAAACGAAACCGAAGTGCTCTGGGATGCCGATGATGCTGGTTTGGCGGGTGATGATATAGCCGGGGAAGTGGCTGCTGAAGAAGCCACACCATCAGTGGGTTGATCAGTTGCTTTGGATGGCGAAGATGCCGCGCTTGTTGTCGCCTCTGCCTTGGAATCAGTGTTGTTATTGCTAGGATATGCCGCTGTGGATGTTGCGTGTATTGGTTTGGGTGCATGTGGATTGGGGGTGTTGAATTCGTGAACGACATGTTTTTTGGTGAGTGGAAAGAACCGTTCTGGAATTCCTGCCTGAGAAAAGGCCACTGTCCGCTGCTGTTCTTCCCCGTACATCCATGGTGAGCTCTTGCTGTTTCGTTGTATTTCAACGACGGTGGAGTTTTCTTCCAACTGCGAAGACAAATGCAGCGAATGCACGGGATTCAAAAGCCTCAAAGGCTGCGTCTTCAAGCCCGTGGCATTCTTGCAAAAATCCAACTCGAGCATGTTGGGCAACCATCGCTCCAAATGAGGACATTGGCAGGATTCGCTCAGCAACAAATCACAAAACCCGGAAGGAGCGTCACAGGTTTCCTTCATGCGAATCGATGCCTCTTCCACGGCAGCAGGACGCTTCAATTTCGCTTCAATTCTCCATAGCATTGCCGTTCGAGGTGGGGGCTGCTTGATCGTGTTGTTGCTGCTGCTAGACTGAGACATGCTTCAATTTGTCTATACGTGTGGTAGTTGATTGTTAGCGGTGTGGCTACTACCGCTCTCGAAGTTGGGAAAAACTGGGAAGCATGATTTGCCATGGTCGCATCATCGATCGTTGCCGTGCCGCGACGGATGAGGAGTTGTCGAATGAATCGATTACTAGTAGATTTGATTCGATTGTGTTCGAATCTTAGCTGTTGACCGCTTTGACGGCTAAATGCTCCCAAAACACGTCACATCGTCATTCTTCTTGTATGCTTGTTGGGACCGTCCTCGTTGTCCCCTTCACAACAAACTTTAAATAATTTATGGTGATCTTACAGGACCGGTATCATTCTTTCGATAGCAGCATGTCCCACTCATCCAAAGCAACTCGCATCCCTTGGCTGTCTCAGTCGGTGCTGCTGCTACCGCTGGTGTTAGTACTTTTATTCCCCTTCACAGCGGCTTTGTCCAGTCCAACCACAGGCACCAAAACCAAGGCCAGTACTCCCCAATACGACTACAATGCTCCTGGTTTGTCCATTGGAGGTGCCGACATGGCTGCCTACAGCAAAGGTCATGTTGCGAGCACTAAAGACTACGAACCCATGGCCTTGAACCTCAGCGATGATGCTCAGTCATTGCTACCCTCTGATTTCCCTATTGGAACATTCTACAAAAATGGTCCTGGTGGATACCGGTCAGAAGATGGCACGCCCTATTTGCATCCATTTGACTGCAACGGCAAGATATTGGCCCTCACATTGGATGCCGACAAACAGCAGGCCGTCTATCGCTATAAGCACATTGAAACTCCAAAGTACCAGCAAGATTGTGCCACCGGGACCATGTCGGAACGAGGCTTCTTTGGAACACAACGTTCCGGTGGTTGGCTGGGAAATATCTTTCAAGGAATGGATCCCAAAAACCCTGCCAATACAGCCGTACTATTGACTGATGATCAGCAGCAACTGTTTGCCTTGTGGGAGGCTGGTAGACCCTTTGCCATGGATCCGCTGACCTTGGAGACCAAGGGAGAAGAGTTCTGTGGATTCTTGGATACTCAGACTAGCTTCTCGGCTCATCCACGCTACGACCCCAAAGCCAAGACATACACCAACTTTTGTACCCGCCGACCAGCACCTGGAGAAGAAACCTCCACAGTGACATTCCAGGAAGTTGACTCGTCGACTTTTCAAAGCAACAAGAATGGTTTGAAGCTCGAATTGCCAGGAATCATCATGACACATGACATGGTCTTGAGTGAAAACCACATTGTGTTTCCCTGGGTCGAAGCCAAGGTGAATGGACCCAATGCTCTCAAGGCTATCCTTGGTTTACTCCCGCCCTTTGCATTGGTGGAAACCCTTCCGTTGGACATGGTACGATACATTGTCATCCCTCGAGATCTTTTGAGTGAACAAGTGATCACCGTTGAAGATGTGTTTGCAGACGACCGAATCAAAATCGTCGAAGCACCCTTTCATATGGCCGTCCACTTCACAAATGCCTACGAAACAAACGACAACAATCTGGTTTTTGAAGCAGCCTGCTTGGTTGGAAAGAGTCACAGCTATGGAGTAGATGAGATGGCTAGTTCGGGGAAGCCACTCTGGGAAGCCTTTGACTGGGATAGCAGTGACCCACAGCAGCTTGAACAGTTTGAAATTGACCTGGATACTGGCAAACTGGTGCAGATGGAAACCATCGGGAACGAGTCTATTGAGTTTGTTGTGGTGCCTCGGTACCGATTTACTCGGCCCCACGATTTCGTTTTTTCCTTGGGAGTGCACAAGGCCAGCTTTGATGGAGGCAAGGGAGCTATTTCGCCCTATGGAAGCATCCGAAAGATCAATCTCAAGACAAAGGAGCAAGATGTTTTTTCCTTTGCTCCCTATGAATTTGTGCATGATGGCGACGTGGTTCCAAAGGTTGGGGCCAACTTGGACCAGGATGAGGGTGCCGTGTATTTTGTGACAGTTATCACGAATGGAGAGGACTTGACTTCCGACTTGGTGATCTTGGATGGGGAAAACATTGCGGCGGGCCCCGTCACGCGTATTCGTCTCCCAGAGATTGTGCCCGCCAATGGCCTCCATGGATACTTCTTTGAGGGGGAAAACCGTTTCTCGTTTGACTAGAATGTTAGAGCGGAGTGGTGTAGAGAAGAGAAAGACAATAGATCATTGATAGTGCGAAGATGAGAGTGAAGACTACTGGTACTCAGTCACTCTTTGCTGAAGGGTAAAAAGAATACAGAAGTAGACGTTACAAACAGTGAGTCAAGTCCTCTGGGCTACGTAGCCCCCATGAAATTTTGCACCTACCAGGAATGTAGAGAGGGAGGTGCTATGGCGCAGATTGATGCGGCTAGCCAGATGGTACCGCACGGTACGAAGAGCGCCCAAGAAAAGCGTCCATGCTTTCAGCCAAGCTTTGTGGCAACAGTCCCCCCACCCCGAGTTTTGCGAACTTGAGTGTTGTTTGCGCTTCCCTTGAGGATGAGAAAACTATTCATGTACTGTACATACTAGCTAGTACGCTAGTTGCCTGTCCCTCCGGCTGTCGGTACCGGAGGCGGTAGGATGGAGTTGGCTCATATCATACAGCGACAACTTCTTGGAAGAATAACTACGACGTACTAGGTTACTAGCTATCATAGCTAGCTAGCTACTAGCTAGAGGGCAGGAGCCATGCCGGTCCGGTACCGGTACATGCATGGGAGGGGCAGCCAAATAAATTGTGAGATTGTGAGTGCTGTTTGCAAAGCTTATCTTGTATTCAAGGTGAGAAGTATTCAGAAAAACAGCACGTAGTCATCATGACGTCATGTTGAACTCAGGCAATGTTGTTTCTTCATGGCTGAATATCTATGCTTTGTGCAGGTGCCAGGGGGAACCTGGAAAAGATCGCGAGAATGGTACGCACTTCCACTGCGGGATTTCGACGTCGCTTGGGAGCCCTTCGTTGCCTGCTGGTGTTAGTTGCAGTTGGACTAGTTGATGCAAACATCAGGACACCGTGGCCAAGAACCAGAGAAGAAGCATTGATGGAGTGAGTGAGTGTAGCAGCCGCATGGTTTTTTCTTCCTTTTCTTCTGCTGCAACACTGCAACTTGGTCCGTGGTTCTGCTGAGCGTCGACAACAGGCGCCATCCAAAATTCAAGAACCGGGCCATGAGGCTGACAAGAGCTTTTGCTCTGCTCTCTGCCGTATCGGTAGCTAGTAGCTTATCTGCAGGGAACCAGAATCCAAGACAACCTCCAAGGTCTGAGCGGCGAAGAGGATCCCCTTTTGCTGCCAGTGATCCCAATGCAATATCCTCGGCATCGAGAAGAGCATCTCGAGCGACAACAGGTGAGTTGAGGTTTGCAGAAGCGGCATGGGCGGGATACCCTTTTACTCACCTCGTTTAGCGTGGTTTCATTCCAATGCAGACGTCTTTGCCGACGTTTCTCCTGCAAATGATAGACGGAAACAAAAAGCTCGAAAACGGGTAGCTCCACGGCCTCCTTTGGTTGATTCAGCATTGCTGAGATTTCTGTCCAAGCAGAAGCTTATAAGGGAGAAAGGCAACGAAGTTCAGCCACAGAGTCCTGCAGTTCCTCCTTTATCCTCGCCACAAGAAAGTAGGAACACTAGTCAGCAGAAAGTTAGAGCTGATGAGCCGGAGACAATACCACAGAATCCACTACGAGCCGAAGAGAAATTAGTTGCCGACCCAACTTATTCCCAAATTGAGACAGAGCTAGCAGCTAAGCTGGTAGAAGCTCAGGAACAAGCTCAAATGGATGCCTTAACGAAAGCAGATGATACTCTGGACCAATGGATGGGACAGTTCAACAAAAACCGAATAGCCAAAGTTCTGATGGCCACGGGTCAAGGAGTGGATGAACAACTGGCCATGGAAGCAGGAGATTGTGTACAACGACATGTATTGGCTCGAACCGCACGGCGTCGAGTTCGGGAGTTTCTCAAGGAGAGAGATACCATGTGGGTTAATGGCTTGGATAAGGATGGAGGCGACACCAGAAACAAATCTGTCAGCAAGGCAACGACAAATGGCAGCAGGACCACTACAAGGCAACAACCAGATTACGGATTCACTGACGTGGTAGATCTCCTGCTGGAAAACGGACTGAATGCCAAAGATATCGCGACAATCCTTACGCATACACCGAGTGTTGCTCTGATGAGACCAAAGCGAGGAGAAGAGGAATTGGGAGGAGAAACCCTTGAAGAAACAGTTCAGAGGGCGCTGTCGGGTTTGCTCTGCACTACGCTCAAACTGCGACGATATGATGCGCGAAAGGTGCTACGGAACTCTCCTGGACTTCTCACCAAGAGAGGTTCCACGTCAGCTCAGCAAGTCGTTGCAGCCATGGCCAAGGTGGGGGTCTCTACATCGTCTATTGCACGAGATAAGAATGCTTTGCCAGGACTCTTGTCAAGGCCTCCCGCAGCTCTCTTTCGTCTGATGGCATTTCTTAGCAGTGACGCTATTCGAATGCCCATAAGCCAAATAGGCCCTCTGATTCGAAGAAAGGTCGCATTGGAGCTTTTGGATGCAGTTGTACATGTTCCTCGATTCGACGTCGAGAACAATGCAACCGCCGCAGCATTTTCCCCGGGACAGGCGAGGGCCGCATCGGATTCCAAGATATTACCCGCATTTATTGGTCGTTCCATGGAAGAACGGAAAAAACTCATCGACAACACCTACGACAAAATGTCGACGACAGCATGGACGCTGCGGAATGAAATTGGAACTTCGGACCTGGGGAAAGTCATTGCAGCATATCCAGGTGTGCTTCTCTTGGATGCCTCTGAGCAGATCCTTCCAGTTGCCTCGTATCTGATGAAGGAGTTAGGTATCTGGGAAGATGACCTGGCCCGAGTGCTACAACTGTATCCTACTTTGCTCGGAATGCCCATTTCAGAGATGAAAGAAGTTGTTTCATTCATTCTTGTCCAAGGGGTTGAAGAAGAGAATCTGCCAACCATTTTCAGATCATTTCCCGCCCTGCTCACCTTGAATATTGAACGGGATATGACACCCGTTGCCAGCTTCTTGGGGTCAATTGGCATCAAGAATGTAGGTCGCTTCATTTCGAGATTGCCACCCATTTTAGGATATTCTGTGGAACGAGACTTGATCCCAAAGTGGGAAATAGTGCGAGACATATACACATACCCAAGCTTTGAGCTTTCCAAGTTCCCTGCTTTCTTTTCGTATCCATTGGATCGAATTAAGGCGAGATTTGAGTATCTTCGCGACGTGAAGCGGCTGCCCATCTCCTTGATCGCTCCAGACTTGGTGCTACGTTACGGCGACAAGGACTTTGCGGTAAAGGTTGCTGGTGACGGAGACGAAGGTCAAGCCTATGCGGACTTTGTTGAACAGAAGCGACAAGAAAACCAGGGACCTCGAAGAGGAAAGCGGAGAAGAAGAAATTTGCCACGAAAGACGACAACATCCAAGAGAAAGATGACGCAATAGCGACGAGAAGCGTCAATCGACGGAAGCAACCTTGCACATATAGTACGTTTATTTGTACATACAACAACAGCGGCTAGAAGCTACTGGCTACAACTAGACAGGCTTGCTAACAACTATAGAAACCAACGAAGGGCCTAATCGCTTCCGAGCTTTGAAGGGATCAAACAAAGAATTCGAAGTGGCTGGTGCTAAGGTTTCATGAGCTCGTCAAAGTATGGCTCACTTTCCCTCATCACCCCAGTCTACATGACGCTGCGGTTTCCACATACAGGATTCCATTATGAACTGAAGTGGAGGAAGTTGAGTAGCAGTGCTAGCAAGTAGGAAGAGGCTGCTGGATGCCAATCATGCCATTGAACCAACGGCGTCGTGGTGGGTTTGGTGAAAGCACCTTCTTGGGCATTTCAATTACCGGTGCTCTGGTTGACAACAAGACGATGAAGCAGAGGATCTGCAGCAAAGTACTGCGAGGGATATTGTCCCCAAGCTCAAAATTTTATTTGCAACAACTCTGCAGACATTAGTGCCAGCAAGAAAGCAGGCTCTTGTCTGGGTATGATGTTGTCTACCAGTTCGGAGTTCGGCCCTTTCAATGCACTCACAACCAAGGCAATTCATCTCTCCCTATTTGGTTCTTAACAAATCAGACATACGACGTCAAGATTGGCCCCGCAGTTGGTTCCCCCATCCCACAGAGCCTTTCCCTGAGTTTCAGGTTCTATTCCCCCAAGCTTGGCCCATTGCTGGCTTGGGGACAAATCGAAACAGTACAATCATGATCGTATCAATCCAAGATAGCTATCTGTAGTTCCTGACCGGTGTTTTGCATCTCTGCTGGATTTTATTTTAGTCACGTGATTATTCGTGACTTGAAGTCTGTCCTTTGTCCAATGCATTCGTCATCGTGGAGAACTTGCTTTGAAGAAGTGCGTGTTGTTGCTCGATGGCGGCCATGTAGCAGTTGAAGGATCCGCAGCGAAGAACCCGCAAACTTGCTCACAACTTTTCTATTACATTGAAACCATGAAGCTTTCTGCCGTTGCTGCTCTCCTTGCCCTTTCGGGCGCCTCTGCCTACACCACACCCAGCCGTGCTTCCCTTCGAAGCATGGGACAGAAGTCTGTTGGCGTTAGCAGTGGACCCCAGCGCAATGCTGGCTCCACCTTGAAGATGGAAGGTGAGACGGATATATCCTGTCTACTAGCTAGCAAGCTAGTGATCTCTTGTGCTATGAGATAATGAAGCCAAAATGCTACTTATGAGTCTCCTGAAGTAGTTCAAAGGCTGCGGATTGGTGCTTGTGGCCCATGTCTGGACACCATCATCATAGAATTGTTTTCTGATGGTCTGGTTAGCTTAGCTTTGTACCTGTAGTGTGGGACTCACCTGTCCAATGTGCTTTGTGTTTGTTCAATGGTCTTGTGACTATGTAGATTTCGGTCTCTTCAAGGGCACCAAATTGAGCTTTGATGATGCGTGGGCTGGTGAGGTTGTCATCTCCGAGAGTGCCTTGGAGTCCAAGCTTAACGAGGACGGTCTGCGATTCCGAATGAACAGAACCCCAGAGGAAGCCGCCGAGTGTGGAGACATGTACGACCTTCCCGGATTCACTGTCAACCTCCCCTTGATTGGAGAGACCTACCTTGGACCTCCCAAGGTTGCTGACATCTGGGAAGCTATTGGTTTCACTGCCACATCCAACAACGAGGCCCGACAACAAGAAAAGCTGAAGGCCATTGAAAAGGCCCGCAACTCCAACAAGGGTGTCTTGAACGGACCCGGAAAGGAAATCCGTGCCGAATGGCTCGAGAAGTACGGATACCCCCGTCTGGTAGGATCTGGAGGTATCTTCTACGCTGATCAGCTCTCCACCGACAAGCAGCCCATGGGAGGATTCAACATGGGAAAGAGTGGAAGCATCTGGCCCGTTCCCGAAGTTGTTGAAGAAGGACAATACGGAGGAGAGAAAGGATGGGGAATGAAAAAGGCCGGACGTGCCGTCGATGATCTTCCCCCAAACACCAAGTTCTAAATAATGTACATCTTTTAGAAACAAAATGGCCATGTTGGCAATAGCTAGCCTGCAGCAGACAATTTTTCTCTCATTTGTTTTTAACAAACGTATTACTTATCAACGCTACCAGTATCTAATGCTACTTCAACTAATACAGAGCATTCAAGGCATAGGAGATGCTGTTTGAAAGAACCTTCCACCCTTACCATCAACTTGAAAGAGAGTCATCAGGAGGACGAGAACGCAATTCTGTAACCACTTCACCCAGGTGCATGGGCTGGGTTACTGACCTCAATAGCTTGTTGCTCATCCCTGAAGTTCCTTTGGCGCATCTTGAAGCAGGGGCGGTTTCATAGCAGCAAACGATAGCAAATCCCTCTCCCGTCCATAATCGCATGCGCCACTAATTTTTTAGCGGTACTCTGGCTAGCTAGCTACTAGCTAGTACACCAGCAAAGGTGGGGATGTGGGGATCATCAAGGCGATCGAAAGGTCTTTGATTTCCTCATTTAAAACCGCAAAGCTGTTAGTTTTTGCCATCAGATATAAATACAGTAATGTTGTGTGGTGATGTCAGTCAATCTTCCGCCGTTCGAGGCTTTTGGTTGGCTGTTCATTCAGGCTGAGAGAGACTTCAGAAGTCACGTTCGTTGACAGACATCAGCTCATGGGAAGAAAGGCAGGAGAGGACAACATTCTCGGTGGAATTGGTCTTTTTATGCATTCTTCATTGGAGTGTGGTACTAGTAATCTAACTAAAGAGAGGTGAGCATGGTGTTATCGGTTGCTTTGCTGCTCGTCTGTTTGCTGCATTTGATAGATATTTTGGAGTTGTTCGCTACCTTTTTTGCTGAGGAGTGACTCCAATGCTTCTTTTGAGGCGAAAGCGTTATTTGGTTTCATGAGTCTTGTGGGAAAGATGGAAATATTCCCAGTCATCTCACTTTTTGCTGCATTTGGTTGACAGATTTGTATTGGAGAAAGAATATGACCAAGATGAGCTACTACATGGCATCCAGAACGCTCTGGTTCTTCTTGGCGCTTGTTTTTACGTCGCAAGGTGGAATCGCCTTTACGGCTCAAGCAAGCGACCGAACTACCTTTCTCGGCAAGACAGCCTTTGCCAGAGGGGGAAGTACTGCTACCAGATCTCCCCTCACTGCCACCAAGGAAACTAGCAGTGCCGGTGAGATCAAACTGGGGGATGTGGATGCTGTGAGTAGCAAGACGGGAGGAAACCATCCCTGCATTGGGATATACCGTATAGTTCAGGCCCCTCACCACTTTGGTTTTCGTTTCCTGTTGCCCACAGAACGACAGGGGTCCATTGAAGGTTCTGTTTTTGTCGGCTGATACTGGAGGTGGCCACAGAGCGTCTGCGGAGTCATTGGCTGCACAGGTTTGTAATCCCCATTCTGTTTTTCAATGCTGATATCCACTTTTTCTCACAGCTTCGACTTCCGTTAATCACTTGCTTGCACCCAACCAATAGTTCCTGAGGCACTTTCCTGGCAGCACCTACGACCTTCTCGATGTTTGGACACCTTGTGGAGTCTACCCATGGAAAACTTTAGTAGACAGCTACACACACATGTCGGCACATCCCAGGCAATGGAGGTTTTTCTTCCACACATCCAATATGTTCCTGTCGGAGAAGGGCGCTGACTGGCATTCCAACCTGTTTTGTGGAAAGGGGATTCGCAAGAGGATCATTGAATATGACCCCGATGTTGTGGTTTGCGTACACCCCGCCATGACCGGGTCTCCCTCCTACCAATTGGCACGGCTCAGCAAAAAGCTCGGCAAGCACGTGCCATTCTACACAGTGGTTACTGATCTAGGAACGGCTCATGCTACCTGGTTTCGAAGCAAGCGATGCGACAAGATTTACGTTGCCTCCGATAGGATCAAAAAGCTGGCCAAACGACGAGGACGCTTCCCAGATAATAAGATTGTAGAGGCCGGACTGCCCATTCGACAAGCATTTGCCGATGAAGAAGAAAAACTAGGAGATCGTACCAGTGAGGCCGGAAGAGCCTACCAAGCATCCGTTCGAAAAGAACTTGACATTGATACAGATAGACAAATGGTTCTAGTGATGGGTGGGGGAGAAGGTAGGTTACATTTATTTGTTTTACCATTGATGCAAGGAGATCCTGTGGGGAATGTGCTGAACGGTGGCTTGTTTGCGTGAAGGTGTGGGAGGCCTGGAGACCATTGTCGATGAGCTATACACCCAATTCATGAAAGATGGTATCACTGCATCCATTTACGTTGTTTGTGGTAGAAACGAAAAGTTGAAGGAAAGCCTCGCCAGCAAAGACTGGAGCGCACTTTTGACACAGGAGAGAAAAACGAGAAAACGAGACAGGGTTGCTCGAATTTTCAAAGGAGGCAAAAAGGCAGAAGGCGAAACTCCCACATCAGCAGATGAGACTGCCAAGGGTGATGTCAAAGTTGTTGGACTTGGGTTTGTCACAAAGATGGCGGAGTACATGGTGAGTTGGGTTTCGCCGATCGATCATTCTCGAACCCGCCCGCCCTCGTTGCTGGGCGTATCTGATTTTATTTGCGTCTTTTGAATCTCCTACGGCTTAGGTTGGCGCGGATGTTCTGGTCTCGAAAGCTGGGCCAGGTAGGTTCTTACCAACAAAGGCTTCCTCAGTCATGTACGCAAATGCACCTTGGAAAGAACCTCAAAACATTTGTCACCCTTTCTTTGCTGCATATCAGGTACTATTGCTGAAGCTGCCTGTGTTGGATTGCCTGTTATGATGACCAGCTTTCTGCCGGGTCAGGAGGCTGGAAACGTCGATGTTGTGCTGGAAAACAACTTCGGAGAATACAACGATAAACCGGTCGAGATTTCCGAGATTGTCTCTGGCTGGCTTCAGAACCCAGAACTCCTAGCCGAGATGAGCAAAAACGCAAAATCAGTAGGTCGCCCTCATGCAGCTGAAGAAATTGTGATTGACATTGGAACTTGCGCCAATGCATGGAAGAGTTTGGACTCTGGTGCAGGCAGGATGTCGGACCTTTAGGTGCAACAACTTCATTTCTTCATAACTCCTTGCCCTACGGTAGCCATCACTTTGATGCAATGACAAAACAATACGCATGGGGGTTGCACCCTACGGTACCGAAGTTAGATGGAACGGGGTGATTTTTTACACACCACACCACCAGAAACTCAATTTCTCATGTACAAGTACCCTTGAAAAAACAACTTGTGGTATGCCACATCCTCTGCAACACCTGTCAATGTACTTGTACACTGAATATATCTCGTGTAGCTACACTGGTTTCTACTTTTTATGTCTTTCATCCTATTTAGTTCCAATTACGGGGTGCCAAATGCAGACAACCCAGACAACCAGTGCCTGCAACGATGATATGCATATGCATCTGACTTTTCTCGCCAGAGACACTGACAGTGGCAAGTTTGGTGTTGTGGAGACTTTCTAAAGGATCGACCTGCCCCGAATTTCGATCGGGAGCTTTCTTCTGCTTTGCTCCATAGCTGGCTCGCCATGCCGTAGGCAACGACCGTAGCTTGGATGAGGTCGTGAGAATCCTCTCATGATTTCCCTTTGCACCATCTTGTACCCTTTCCCTGTGTGTCCCGTAGTGTACCTGAAAACCAACTCAATCGAACCATGCATTGGTTTCGGTTGGTTGTTCACGTGAAGCCCGTAGAGGTTCCGGTTCACCAATTGGCGGGCAATGACAATGATGGAAAACGAAGCTGCCGCAGTTGTAGCGGTACAAGACAGAGTTGTTTCAGTTTCTTTATAGATATTTGTAGACTATTGAGTACTCTGCATATACCTTTTCATGAAATCAGAATAGTGGGATGCTGCGTTCTGTAGTAGCAAAGCTCCTCACTATCCGCTGGTAGAATACATCTCGATCCGCACACTGACTGGCAAAACACGCACAAACAACGAACCCCCTCGCTTCGATCAATCAATTCGATCAATCAATCAAACCTTATTTTCTCGAGTCTGCTTAAATTTGAGTTTTGTATCGGTCGTGCCTATCTCGTAGCACGGCGTCGCTGAAAATAGAGTCGTCCATTTCGTCCGTCATTGTGCCTTCTGCGTCCGAGTATCCACTTGAAACTCGCTGCTTCTGTTTCCGCTTTCCCCGCCCGAAAAGGCCCAGCAGCTTCCTGCCTTTGCCCTCTTTCTTCTGTGCAGGCGGCATGCGATTCTCATCGACCGTATCAGAAAACTCAACTGGCCTGTCCTCAGGGACACTGTTTGCGTTAGTTGGAGGCGGCCTGTCCTCAGGGACACTGTTTGTTTTAGTTGGAAACGGTGGCCTTTCATTCTGAGGCGGCACCTGATCTTGTGGCTGTGGATGTGGCCTAGATTGAGTCAGTGGCGGGGGAGGAGGCGGCGGTGGTGGGATCGGCTTTTCTTTCTTTCCCGGTAGGGTAGATGGAATTCTTGGTTGTGGTTGCTCTTGCTCGACAACCTGAGGCTTTTTGGCAAGTTCAGGTTCATTATCCGCATAGTGCACATGTTGTTGTTCATCCGCATAGTTTACATGCTCAGGAGTTTGATTTAGTGTTTCGTCTTGTGCCTCTTCTGTGCGGCGTGCCTGTCCCCAGGATACTCTGTGAATCTCTTCAGCAACATTGAATGGCCTGTTGAGTGGTGGCGATGGTTGCCGCACAGGCTGCTGTTGAAGAAGTGGTGACCGCACAAAGTCGAACAGGCTGCGGGTGTTGCCTCGAGGGGTTGGGTCTCGTCGAGGCATCAGATCGTTCTGTTTATCATATGTGCTGTTGTCTGTTGACGAATGTATGCCGGAACGCAATGCAGGTGTAGCGGGCATCTGCTGTGGATACTGCTGCGACTTTTGTCCACCGTACTGATCACCGTATTGGTCCCGTTGCATGGGCGTAGGCGGAAACACATCTCTTCCTTGCACGGCAGTGATTGCATGAGCTGTTGGTTGGGGATCATGTGAATAAAAAGTCCTCTGCGCAGCGGGCTGGTACTGCTGTTGATGCGGCAGTGGAGGATGCGGCTGCTGCTGCTGTTGCTGTGGTTGGTGCGAATAAATCGCGGCCGGTGGCTCCGCTGCTGTCTTTCGCTGCTGTCGGGAACTCCACCATGATTGAACCCTCCCCTTGGGTTCGGTACCGGTATAGTCAAAGCTGGCCCTGTCGTCGATTAGATGAACACCCGTAGTTTGTGGAGGAGGATATGAACCCGTCCTCTGATTCATCGGATGCTGCTGATATACACCCGTAGTTTGTGGAGGAGGATATGAAACCGTCCTCTGGTTCATCGGATGCTGCTGATATACACCCTGTGGAGGAGGATACGAACCCGTCCTCTGGTTCATCGCGTGCTGCTGATATTGTTGCTGATTCACATAGTCGTCACGAGTCGAAAGGGGCGGTGGTGGTTGTGCTCGTTGTGACCAATGCGGTGCTGGTTGCATTGGAGGGGCTTGATGGCGATTGTCAGACGGGACAGGATAAGGATAACTAGAAGCAGGCACAAGTGGATAAGATTGCCTTCTTGACTCCATAGGTGGGGGAGGACGTTGATAACGCGCACCAGGAGCATTGAAATATGGGTCTGCGTCATAGTTCTGCCTCGGATAGTCATACTGCGGCCTCCCATTGCTGCCACTGCTGTGCGACCTCGAGTCTTGCCGGTCAAGGCTTCGACTTCTGGAAGGCTGAAGGCGAGGGTCGTGTCTCTCCAGGCTTCGACTCCTCGTCTGGCTTAGACCCTGATCTTGCCTATCAAGACTCCTGCTTCGTGATGGGCGTAGCATGTCATCATTGTCAAAGCTTAAGCGTGAGAGCCCTATATGCGACTCTGCTCGTTCGTAGCTATTGGTACGTCCTCGTTGTTGTTGTTGTTGTGGACGATCTTGTCGATCCAAACTGCGGCTACGCGACGGATGCAATGACGCTGACATCTCGACAGTGTCGAAGTCGCTCATACCTGCTCGGTCTATCGGGTCCATCTTGTCGTAGCTTTGACTCCTGGAAAGACCTATTTGACTTTGCCGTTCGAGACTGCGACCGCGACTTGGCGTGTGTGGGATCTGGCCTCCGTATGGAAGTTGACCTTGCGAAGGATAGTCCCAATCTTGGTCTCGTGCCTGCTTTCGGCCCCGAGATCCAAACCATCTTCGCTTAAGGGGCGATTTGGATGTCCTTCGTGAGGACGAATCGCCGCTCGCCATGCTGTAGTTTGCCTCTGACTCAGACGCCATTTGATCTCGCGCAGCTTTGGCTCTTGGAGATCGAGAGAACGAGCGGTTGCCTGTAATGAAGGACATTGGTGACAAGGGGAACTTTCTGTCCTTTCGGGGGTCACTGACCTTACTCTCGTCCACAACACGACCAGGAGACTTGGATCTTGATCTTCCCCGTCTTCCCGGCGATCGTCCTCGAACCCTTTGAAGAAACTTGCCCGCTTTGCTACCTCCTGCGGAAGAAGTGCCGTCGTCGGATCGCCCGGTAGGAGACGAAGGCGGCGAGGCCTTGTTCTTCTTGCTCTTTCGCCGAAACCTCTCTCGAAAGCTCCTCTTGGTGGGCGTCACTGGTTCTGGTCCCTCTGAGTCTACCGTTGTCGATTCTTCCCCATCACTGGCTGAAATAAGCGAGTTATCGGGTTCGTCGTAGCGATAGTAGTGGTTCGACTTTCCGGGGAGAGGCGGGGGTGGCGGAGGAGGGCGAGCATATCCATCGTAGTACGACTGATACCCATCTGGGTCGCCGACATCACAGTTAATGTACTTTGGGTCACACATAATCCCACAGAGGGTACCAGGAGTAGGGGACGGTACTTGCCGTTCGTAGCGATGGCGTTCCTGACGCTGTCGTGATTGCCTGGGCTTGTTCCGCGGATCATTGCGTGGATCCGATCGTGTTGGCGGTGTCGGCGTCGGAGATGGTGGTGGCCCGTACTTGGACACCTCCGTTTTGTCCTTGGTAGTCTCACCTGCTTGTGCTTCCATGACGACATTGCCCTGATCATCAAAGAGACTGCTGACATCGTCTGGGACATCGTCTTGCATGAAATGGCTATCGTCGGTCTTGGGTGAAATAGTGGCAATGCGATATGCACTAATGGGATCGTTATCTGCTTCTTTCTTGGTGGTGCTGCTGCTGCTTTTGTTGTTGTTGCCATTGCCGCTGTTGCCATTGCTGTTGCCGTAGGACGAAGGCTTAAGGCTTGAGCTTGGATTGGTGGTCCCCCCATTAACAGCTCCAGATCCCCCTTTTCCAGCTGACGGATCATCACTGATAATACCGTCATCGTCATCATCCTCATCGTCATCATCGTCGTAGTCCTTGCCTCGAATGCGTTTGCCAATTGGCTTGGGAGTTCGTTGGGATGTCAACTCGGCCAATCGTTCGGTTTCCTTTTGCAAATTGTAATCAGCATCATTGCCAGGACCACATTCAGCCAGGGCATCTTGGCATCCCTTTCCGATATCGTAAATATCAGGCGTTTGGCTCTTGTGCTGTTCATCCTTCCATCGCACGCTCTTGGCTTTTTGTCGTTTGTTTCGCTTCGGTCGAAACAGTTTGGTGGATGCTCTCAGGATGCTGCGATGTTTGCTCTTTTTACTTCCAGCCGCTTCTTGCATTTTCCGAACCGTCCTTGGATCGGGAGGTTCGTAGTGACAGAGGAGACCATTGAGTAGTTCCTCTGCTGCTTCTTCTAGGGTCGTCGCATCTTGAGGGCGCCCATCTCGAGTTGTTTCAATGTACATTGCCATGGTGCCTACCTAGCGAAGCAACGAGAAATGAACAAGGCAAGGGCTCTCGCTAGGGAAGCTCTCGCTAGAGAAGTGATCGTCCTTGTAGCGAGAGAAGGGCCGAATGTTCGGAGCGAGAGATGTTCATCCACGCCTTCGCCAATTAGTAAGAAAGAGGTGCGAAAAAATGAGCGATTTTAAAGTAGATTCTAAAGGAAACCAACTGTTTTGTGAGATGGGACACCGTCGCCGGGATTGCTACCGCCTTCTAAGTACTCTGCTGGCAGACTCGATAGGAACTTCCTGCTGGCGTAGGATGATTGAGGAATAGTTATGTGCAAATTTATGCCGTAATTGTCAAATTTGACTCAAATTCCCAATTTGCATTTAGCGTTTTTGGAGTCTAAAAAAAGACATAGAAGACAAACATGGGATTTAAGGGTTCTTGTATGACGTCAGTTGACGAATAGAATGACGTGGCCAACAACAAACCATTCTCGCGATCTTTCTCACTAAAGTTTGAGCCACCTTGCCACCCTGCCCTTGTTGACGTGTAGTTGACGACAACAACTACATGTACGACGAAGTGGCCAGCAAGAGGGAGCTTGAACAGCAAGACTACCCCACACATTAGATTCATTTGTAATAGTATCGCTGTGCTGAGGTTGTATTTTGGCTGGAATCTGGAATCGACAATGCCCCCTGCATCGAACGAAACGACAATTGACGAGACAATCTGTATCCCGGCACAGAAACCCACCATCAATGGTCCTTCTATTCACACCAATGTGCTGATCAAGAGTGCTCTACCGGCGCGTGGCATTGTGAGCTCCAACCCCCTTCGCGTGGAACGCCTTCTCCGTCAAGCCGAGATCAATGGTGTCTTGTCGCATGTCAAAGTCCATACCGACAAGGGATGGGGAGTCAAGATTTCTACCGCCACCTACAAAGGTGTGCCAATCTTTATTGCCGTGATTCCTCTTGGTAGCAGTGGAGCCGGATTTGCCTTTTTCGAAATGTTCGCCGCCGGAGCCCAGGCACTGGTCCGTGTGGGAGCCAACGATGCCACGGCGACTATGAGAGAGTTTGTCATTGTGGATTCCGTTGACAACCTCGTCGGATTGCAGTATGCCGCTGGAAACAAAAATGCCAGTCGCAACGATGCTTTTGCGGCCTCGGCGGAATTAGTGGGACTCTTGAATTTCAAGGCATCTTCACATGGATTTGATTCCAAGCAAATGATTTGCCACAACGTGGAAGACTACCACGCCTACAACTTTTCCGAGTTCTTCGAGCAAGGAGCCTCCATTCGCAACCAAATTGAAGAACGGAAGAAAAGCAACAATGCCAGCGAATGCTGCTGGGATATGGAAACTGCTGCCCTCTTCTTGCGGGCGTTGCAGTTTGGAAAGCATGCTGCCGCGGTCTTGCTTCCCACAAGATCCTCCCTGGAAATTGAAACATCCCATTGCAACATCATCTTTGAAGCCTTGTTGGATTTCACGCCTTTGGCAGAAAGCGAGGAAATCTCCATGCAACCCATCACAGAAGAAGGAGCGAGACGAATGTCTCGTGCGAATCGAACACACTCCACCAATGATCTTATTGGAATTGAGGAGCCTTTGTTCCTTCCAGAAGTAGACGTCGAAACGGGCAACGATCTCTTTGCCGATGACGAAGATGCCCCTGCGTTTTAATAAAAGCGGATGGAGCCACCAAATTTTACAGCCACGCACTGCATCATCTCTTAGGCTTGTCAGACAGTTTTGACACACACGCACACACACGCAAAGATACAGGCAGACATCCAAAAAAAAATTGCATCCAGTTCGACGAGAAGCATGAGGTAAGTCCCATGTCAAACAAAACACTTATCATTGATGCCATCATTTAATTGATGAAGGCAAGTTATAGCTCCTTTCGCGCTCTAATAAAAATGAATGCACACAAGAGGTGGGTTTTAAATACAGTATAAACGCAAATCCGTGATAAGTGCTAAACTCCATCTGGTGTATATGGACGTGACTTCCTTCACAAACATGTAATGAAGCGCCTCGCGGCTGGCCAGGGGTGTGGCGTTGGTTCTTTGTACCGGTCAATGATCGAGTTGCCCGACAAGGTACAGGTAGCATGATCACGACCCGCCACACTACACTGTGAACTTGAAGGCTGCGTCTTCTAGTCATGTCGTCGTCCCTACATGTGCCGCAGTCCTGAGCTCCCGTACACACCAGAGAGATATCTACCTCCTAGATGCAGCCTTTTAGGAACTCAATCTAGCTAGCTCCAGCGGTGGTAGTGGCAATTAGTCCGCTCAAATGATCGCCCGAAGCAGATTTTTTGGCCCATTTATGTAGTATTCGCCAAGGACAACTTTCGTTGATTACCCACTGATTCGTTGTGGCTACCTGAGCTCATGGCGCACAAACGATTCCTACCCAATGTACATGTAGTAGTAGCTTGTTCAGCTGAGAAGACCACCCAACAGTTTGCTCACCAAAGCTGGCTTGCTAGTAGGAAGCAACTGTCGCTTCGTCGTGAAGTACAACCATAAATGTATGGCCTATCCCGCTTTTGGACGCGACTCTGCATGGTCGCGAACCCGATGTCTCAAGTTGAGTGTTGTGGTGCATTCGCCTTCTTTGACATGGCCAGAAGAGACGAGCGGGCTGTGTTGTTGCTGTTGTGGCTGGCGAGTGGTACCATTGTCAATAGCTATACCACGCTCTTTTCAAACTCTACCATTTCGACTACGTTATCCATGTCTGTGGATCCCCAGCCATCATTGTTTTGTTGTTGATGTCCATTATTTGACGTTGCTGCTGATGTTGTTGTTGGCATGTCAAAAGATGATCCTTCCTCTACCAGTTCCATCCGTACAATTCTGCCTGTTGGAGCTGCTCCCGCCTTGAATTCTCCCTCGTACATGGTATTGGATCTGAAATTGAGTATTCCTCTGTATATTCCACCCGCATTGGATTCATTGGCATGACTGACATATGTCCAGTACATTTCCCCTCTTCCATTGACGAATCCCTCTGAAATGGGTCGTTGCATGGAAACGCCTTGGTTGGTTCCAGTCACCACAATCCCCCGGACTTCCCATCCACTATGGTTTTTGGTTTCCGCCTCAAATTGTAGTTGCAATTTGGATTCGGATCGAATGGATTTTCCAAAGAAGATACAGTTGTAGACAATGTGGTAAATTCCATTGGTCGGTTTGGCGGCATTGCCCGGGAGATATCGAATATCTTCGCGACATGCTCGTACGACTGGCGGTGTTTCTTCAAAGGAAAAGACGGCCATACGTCCCACGCCCTCGCCATCTTGAATCTCGTCGTCTTCGTGATGACTGGTGGAATGATCCATCTGCCCCAATTCTTCTTCGGTGAGAATGTTGGCCAAATTGTGCCGTGGATTGACGACACAAATAGTGTACACCATGGATCCAATCATGTACATTAAAGCCAATAAAAGAACGACCATGCCGACCAAAAAGAGGGCACTATCGTGCTCCCATTGCAACATGAACATGATGAGAACAAACACCATGAGCCCTCCCAGGAATTTGGCAAATCGAGCATAGAACTGCCGTTCCGACTCATAGCGAGGATTATACGCCTGTTGAGACCGATAGTCCTCGTCGTCGTCATCTTGAGAGTAGCGGTTCATGGTGCTGTTGGCTCTTTTTATTGTGCAGGTAGGTGTTGTGGGTCGAAGAAGATCTCGGGTCCTTGCTTGGCTTTATTGCCCTCAATGGACTGAGGGTCTTTCACACTTTTATCGCTGTATGTGTGTGTGTGTGTGTGTGTGTGTGTGTTTGTGTGTTTGTTGCAGCTGTTTTCGTCGCATAAGGGACACTTGCTTCGTTAAGGATAGGGATTAATCTTGTGTGTTCTGTTGGACACAGTAGTGGGTATAGTTACTGGCTGGCTATGCAGACTCGCTAGTGTGTCCAGATAAACACGGTGTAGGTTTGGACAAAGACATAAAGGACACTTTCCTGGTTAAGGATAAGGATTTATATTGTGTGTTCTGTTGGACACAGTAGTTTGTACACGTGGGTACCAGTACTGGCTGGCTATCCAGACTCGCTGGTGTGTCCAGATAAACACGGTGCAGGTTTGGCCGAAGAAGTTCATTAAGGGTAGGGAATCAAATCTCTTTTTGACAGTTGAGGGCATCAGCCTCCGGCTGCTTGTTCTTCGACGATCAACGAGAATTGTCGCTTGGGCTTTGTGCCTTTTTGGCCTCCAAATGGGTCATCGAAGCGAAAGATTCGATTCGATTCGATTCGATTCATTATTCGATTCAATTCGAATCTCATTCGATTTGACAGTCAGCCGATTGTTTCGAATTTTTGCCGGCCTTCTCTTCCCGCCATTCGACATCTCCGGCTCAACTTTCAACGAATTTGTCATTGTTGCCTTGGTCCACTATCACATAATGCTGAAACAACCATGAACGGCACTTCATCCACAGGAAAGAAGAAGAGACTTGTGTGGGTTTGTGATAACTGCAAGGAGTTCAAGCACGAAGATTGTGACATTGTGACAAGACACGAAGAGCAGTGCAAGGGACCTTTTTGCCCTACAGCAATGGAAAACCCATCCGCTGATGATGGCAAGAAAAATGAGCAGGAGGAGCTGAAAGAAACAGAGAAACCCAGTGCTTCTACTACAACATGTACGGATGATACTGGTGGCGACAATGATTCGACTGGAAGCAAGAGAAAGAGAATCAACTCGTCGGCTGAAAAAGAAGAGAATTTGGAAACCAACCAGGCTACTATTAATAGTCGGACAATGACACGGAAACTTCGATCGTCCTCAGCCAGAAGCACCAACAGCAGCACCACCACCACAGAAGAGTCGACTGATGATGAAAACCGGGGGAAGAAATCTACTGGGAAAAACAACAGCAATGGTAAAAAGAGGGAAAGAAGCGACAAGTCTAAGCAAAGATCAACGTCTGGAAAGGACAATGACGACACCACAGCAGAGGACCTCAAGAAGAAACGGCAAAAGAAACCAGCCAAGTTAGCCAGTATCTTCAATCCTGCTTCTTCAGGAGACACTGCCACTATTAATAATACCACTAGGTCCAGAAATGGAACCAAAAACACCAACAAGAACAGCACTATCAACAACAAAAAGGTTCTCAAGGAGAACAACGGCAAGGACCTTAAGAAGAAACCCACAAACAAAAAGAATGCTCTGGAGTTGTTGTCACAAAGCAGCAGTAGTGAAAATTCAAACCAATCCACCAAACGAAAACCACCAGCCAACAAGGAAAAAACAAAAACAACGCAAAATTCCAAATCCGCTTCTTCATCCACAGTAGCAGCATCCAAAAAGCAAAAGACAACCAACACCAAAAACAGCAATGCGTCACTGGCCGCCATTTTTCAGTCACAACGCACCAAAGGTGACAAACCCATGGATGAAAAGGCACTCATGGCAGAACAACGGGCTGTCGAGTTTCAAGCCAAAATGACCAAACGACGAGAAATGGAAAGGGAACAGCAACGAAAGCGGGAAGAACTCTTCTTTTCCAAAAAGAAACCAGCTGCTGGCGGCGTCACTGTAGCAGCTACTAGAACCACCGCCAGCCGCATGTACCCTTGTCCAAGATTTCCAGTGCCATCCTTTGTGTTTCCCAGTCAACAACAAGACAAAACAACCAACAACGACAATGATCAATCCACAAGCAAGAAAACAGTGTCCAAGGAAATGCTTCAACAGGCTCAACTTGCACTTCAGAAGGCAATGCATTGTCTTCACTCCAAAACAGAGGAAGCTGAAAGCTCATCGCCCTGGGAGTGGACCTACTCATTGCCGTCAGCAGCAACCATGACTGCAGATGACTTTGACGCAGAGCTAGCCAAAATCCTGGCGAGTGCAGGAGCACCGGGTGTGTCAAAAGCAAGTGGTCAATCGTCGCTTTGGGCGGAGACATACTACTCTTTGGTCAATCTTGACGACATTTGTGGGCAGCAGAATCAACTGGTCGCCAACGATCTGGTGGCGTTTGTCAGAGACTGGATGGTACACCGACAAGATGCCCATGAACGCATGGCCGAACGACAAAGGGCTTTGCAAAAGAAACGACGAGCCACAAAAAAGAAAAAGTCCACCAAGTATGCGGACGATGAGGACCTGTGGTCTGATTCCGACAATGAAGATGGTCTGGCACGACTTTGTCTCATTGATGGGCCTGTGGGAACCTGCAAGTCGGCTTTGGTCCATGCCGTAGCACGCCATTGTGGTTGTCAGATAATTGAGCTGAATACATCTGATAAACGCGGCAGCGCTGATCTTCGAAAGGCATTGGAAGAAGCAACCAGGAGCCATTCTTCGCTCGCGATGCTCAAGAAACAACAAACCAACTTTTTTGCCAAGCAGGAGTTGGTCGACAGCGATGATGAGAATGACGACGACGCCAATAGCGATTGTGATAGCGACGGAGAAGTGCAACCCAAAAAGAAGGGAACCTCTTTGACCATGATACTGATTGACGAAGGTAGGCTAGCTTTCACTTTGGGTCGTCTTGTAAGAAATCTTTGCTCTCATGCCTCTGACTCTTGTTGTTTTGTGCCGCTAGCTGATATCACTTTCGAGACTGGCGGAGACTCTGCATTTTGGTCCGCCTTGAATGACCTGGCTCGGAAAGCGCAGTGCCCCATCTTTTTGACTTCAAATCGTGTCCCAAGGGAGCTGGACTCTATGTTGTACAAATATGTGGCCACTTCACGACCATCTCCTACAGAGTGCGCAAAAGAATTGAAGCGTTTTCTAACTGAAGAAAGCATTTTGCCCAAAGAAGTGAATGTCGATGTCCTGAATGGTCTAGCCCTGCTTGCCGAGCTGTGTGACTGCGATCTACGTCGTATCCTACATCGGCTCCAGCTCTTTTGTTCCGCCAAATCAAAAGTGACGACAAGAGATGAACAATCAACACCAGCGTCCACCACCATAGAAAGGGATTCAACTCAGGACCAGGCTGTCAACATCGTAAAAGTTTCACCAAGACAGATCTCCTCTGAAACCGAAACGCTACTCACCATCAGGGGCAAGAACTTTTGCAGGCTCAAGAGTCACGCGACAAAACAACCTGAAGTACAAGTGTTCGTTGGAGAGCAGCTCTGCCCAGTGGCCAAGATTGTAGACGATAAAACCATCCTGGCGGTGTGCCCAGCTCTTGTTCGGGATGCCAATGTCGACAAGTATGGGTTGAGGAGTGTATCCAAGTATGTCAAACATCAAAGCTTGGGTTCTTGCTACTCGCCAGTCTCCTTGCACTCCTTGCATCCAAGTGGATCTGGCCACGTTGCCTCTTCGCATGTTTTCTCGCACACCTTGGTGGACGGTACAACCGTCAGTGCCCTGATACCTTATAATGTGGAGTGGTTGTTTCCAGAGGAAGAGGATGAAAGTGATGTTGAATTTGATGACGCCTATCATCAACACGCTGCCCGTCCATCCTGTCTCTTGAAGAGGAAAGCGGTTGCTTCAACCGACACTGACAAAGCCCATCGTATGCTCGAGGCTGCCCTTGAGGAATGGGGACCCGACGCCGTGGACGAGGTCAGCACGAAAGCAGCGTCTGCCAAAGGCTTTGGCAACACAGACATTGCAATCCAAAGCCAATGCGAGTTGGATTCACTAGCAAAGGATCTGGAGCTTGCCAGTGATGCCTCGCTTCTCGATGACTTCTGCGGGCTTCCGTTCCTATCGGGGGCTACGCCTGGCTTTGGATATCAATTCACGCCGGAAGGTTCCGAGTCCAATTTTTCCTCGACATCATTGAAACTACATGGCAATTCTACTCAGTACGTGTGATTTGATGCATGAATTGATTGGTTGTTTCATTGGTCTGTTCACGATCTAACCCCTTCGTCCGGATGTCCCCACAGTTGCAGCGAAGAAAGATTGCTGTTTTCCGGGTACAAGGACACTGCTGCTTTCTACGGGGATAGCGATGCCTGGATGTCGAACCCAACGAGCGCCAGGGATCGCGAGTTGATTAGGACTTCTTTAGGTGCACGCTTTGCTGACGCTGCATCGACATCGGCATCTGCGGTGCAACAGGAGGACGAGGAGGATGTGGACGACTTGACGCTGTGGTCCCCTCCCTGTTCTACGGATGTTGACGAAGATGCCTTTCTTCTCCGGCCGATTCCAGCTCCTCTTCAATTTTTGCCCGCCCTGCTCCTAGAAACACAGCAATCTGCAGTCTGCCGTCATGTGAGAGGAAGCGTCTTCTTGCAACGGCGCGTGGAAGAAAGCTCAAGCGCACAGCTAGACGCCATCAATGTGGTGTGCACTCATGATGCTCATGTGCGCATGCGTTACAAGGGTTTGCATGATGCGAACCTGAGCCTTGACTACATCCCCATTCTGCGGATGATGGCAGTCTTCGAGCGGGCGATATTGAGCATAGAGGACAACGAACCCGCGAACATGCCACGACGAAGGACACGGCGATCGAACAAAGGACGTAGCCATTACTTGGAATCGCTGAACAAGATTATCACGTGGGGCGAAGAAGGCGTCCCTTCAGCCTCTGAAGCTGGGGAACGTCTTGCAAAGTCCTTCTTACAGTACCAGTACGGGACTACCGGTACACTATCGGTTTCTTCCGACTTTGGACTCTAGCAACGGTAGCTAACTCAATTACCTAGACTACTTCAGCAGAGTTTACCCCTTGAATTGGCTGGATGGATTGAATCATCCCCTCGTCAACCACAGCACGTAGCTTTACATTGAACACCAAATAAGCTAATTTATTTAGAAGGAAGAGGTGAAACTACATGAATCGAATCGATTGAATCTTAGGCGGCGTAGGTCCTTCCTGCTCCGTGTTCCTTCACCCAGGCATCGTTGGCGAATGGGTCGCCACTCCAGGACTTTTGGAATGCAGCTTCAAAGTCAAAGCCTTCGGGATCATCAATGCGATCCTCGATATCTTTCTTGAAGTGACGGACAAGGCCTTGCACAGGCCAGGCAGCTGCATCACCAAGGGCGCAGATCGTGTGGCCCTCGATTTGACGCGAAATCTCTTCCAACATGGGAATCTCTCTCTTGTCGGCATCTCCCTTTTCCATGCGAATGAGGATATCTTCTAACCAACCAGTACCTTCACGACAGGGAGTGCACTGTCCACAAGACTCGTGCTTGTAGAAATGCGAAAGTCTGCGAATGGCACCGACCATGTCGACGGTATTGTCAAACATGGTCACGGCTGCGGTTCCCAAACCAGATCCTTTGGCTCTCAAATCGTCAAATTCCATCAATGCTTCATCGCAAAGCGCCTTGTTCAAGACTGGGACAGAGGAACCACCGGGGATGCAAGCCTGTAGAGAATCCCATCCGTTGCGCATACCTTTGCAGTGTTTTTCGATAAGCTCCTGAAGAGGAATCGACATGGATTCTTCGACGACCATTGGGTTCTTGACATGGCCCGAAATGGCAAACAATTTGGTGCCTCGATTGTTTTCATTTCCAAAAGAAGCAAACCAAGACGCTCCACGGCGCAAAATAGTCGGAGCCACAGCGATGGTCTCTACATTGGTGACGGTGGAAGGGCAACCGAAAACTCCGACACCGGCTGGGAACGGAGGCTTTAGCCGTGGTTTTCCCTGTTTTCCTTCCAAACTCTCAATGAGAGCAGTTTCTTCTCCGCAAATGTAGGCACCGGCACCACGGTGTAAATAAATATCGAAATCATATCCCGATCCGCAGGCATTCTTTCCGATCAACCCAGCCGAATATGCCTCGTGGATGGCTTCATCCAAGACGACGGCTTCATTGAAATATTCACCACGAATGTAAATGTACGCGGCTCGAGCACGCATTGCAAATCCGGCAATGAGGCAGCCTTCCACCAATTTGTGTGGATCCTTACGCATAATTTCTCGATCCTTGCAGGTCCCGGGTTCACTTTCATCGGCATTTACGACAAGAAAAGAAGGACGGCCATCCGTCTCCTTGGGCATGAAACTCCACTTGAGACCAGAAGGGAATCCAGCTCCACCTCGTCCACGAAGTCCGGAATCCTTGATTTCTTGGACAATCCAATCAGGGCCCATCCACATGATTTCCTTGGTCATGTCATAATCACCTCGCTTCAGAGCATCTTTCAACCTCCAATCCTGTTCTCCGTACAGGTTGGTAAAGATGCGGTCTTGATCTGTCAATCCTTGAAAGACTCTGAGAAAAGACGAAAAATAAAATAGACAAGTCAGATTCTCTACTATTTCAGCATGCAGCAAGACATCACTGTTCCCACTGACGGCACCACACAAACTCACCCACTTCCAGCCAGCACTTTTGGATCTGCCGACATGTAGCGAGCACCAAGGCGTCGCCCCGCTGAACGGGATAATGCTGACCTGACGATAGTCATCTTCAGCACCCTTTACTCGCTTCAACAACAACAGCAGCAATATCACAAACCGCCAATGTGGGTTGTCGTTCGTCGGCCGCTGAAAAAGTGCCATTGTCGTCATTCAGCTCACCCAAAGAAGGCATCGCACTTGCCCGAGATATCTTTGTCAGTCAGTCTCAATAGAGTTAGAGATAAACTCTGGATTTTGACCGTTGACCTCTCACCCCATTTATTTCCTTTCATCCATCCATCCTGCCTTTAGTCTTGTGGCTGCTGCTTCCTCGTTGTTCTGCTGCTTAGGGCTGACTACCGTAGCTACTAGTTGTGTTGATTGATCCAACTGCATCAGAATGATGTCCGCCGAATCTCCCTCGAGGGCTGTTCCTGAATCGGTCTTGCTGTCTTTTTTTGCCGAGGCAACCAAGGCGTTGAATGGCTGTTCGACTCTTGAACCTCTTTCGCTTTCGCAATGTCGAGAGAAATTGTTGGAGGAACAGAATCATTGCCTAGAAAAGGTGCTCGGCGATCACAATGCGTCCCATGACGACGACATCGCCATTTCCAAGGGACAGCTTCAGGAAGCCCTGACGGATCTATCCACCCGAACCTTTGGCTCCAACACTGGTTTGAGTGAACAGCACGACAATCTCCTGCCAGAGGCCATTGAAGCCATGACGGATGCAGCACGGCTAGCGTTTGCCCGTCTAACACTGACATCTGAGTGTCTGCGAACGGGCACCACTAGTTTGAATGATTCCCCCAAGGAGAGTGCGAATGCTGCCACACCACCCAGAACCCTGAAAACAAGCCAGCTGGCACGATCCGATATGCTCGAGTTCTGCGCCCTCTGCCGAGCATCCATTCGTCTTCCTACTGTCCTAGCGCATATCAAAGATCCAAAACAGCCGTTGCTGGAAGAAGCAAATCAAACGAAAAATGCTGCCAATGACAGACCTCGCTTACACATCCCACCACTCAAGAGATTGGAGAATTTGCAACGTCTATTGCTGCAGGCTTTGGGATATGATGCGGACATGGGACTTACAGAATTGGCACGTCAAGTCAGGATGGGGGATGGAAACGACGACATCGAGTTGGTTCAGGTCATTCAACAAACCAATGCCTTCATTTTGCAGACAATTCTAGGAGACAGCAGTAATCACGGTGCCGCCCCCCTGCTCTCTGATCAAGATCAAGGAGGCGTCACGAGAGTGGTTTCGGTGCAGCATTCAGAAGCGATTGTGCAGTTGGGAGATCCATCACAAGAGGAAGCAACCATTGCCAATGGAGTCGCAGAACAAGTCTCGGCTTCCGTAGCCCCTCGTTCCCAGTCCATGAGAGCAGAGGAAGAATTGGTCACACAGCAGCAATCTACTTTTTCCATGGCACAAAAAGCCGCCGCATTACGACAATCCCTCGTGCAGGAATTAGAGCAAATGTCGGAACAGGAGCGTGGAGACCTCCTACAGCAAGCAGAAATCGCCCTCTTTGACTTTCAGGAAAAGGCCATGCAAATACCTGCTGGACCCGAACGAATCGCTTTCTTAACGTCCATGGATGCTCCTACGCAGCGGTTGCTGGCCATGCATAGGATTTGGCAGGAACAAGTAGCAACACAAGCAAGCAACCAGACATCCGAGTAATGGCCGACTCTGAAGACTATCAAAGACCGAATCCATACAATCGAGGCAATCACCAGAACCAAGCCACATGTTGGAAACCCCAATGGATTCTATGTGTGGACTGCAGCCAGCAATTCTCTTGCCGTGAGAGATCTCGTTTCCTATGAGGGGCTGTAATCACTCGCTGTTGGTCTGTGCCATCCAAATCAAGTTCTGTTGGGATGCACGATCAACCTTAACAAACAATAAAAGCGGTACCAGAAACCTGGCCAGAAAGCCACAAATTTAATGGAGAACTCTTGAACCTACTTTCATTTATTTCTTATGAACCATTTGGATACACTATCTAGGCTCACACAATCGCTGAAGGTATGAGAAGACAGCTGGAATGTAACAGATTACTATATACCTAGTGCAGATGTGGTCATCCCTGTGATAGTTGCTGCTTGCCCAAGATTGTCTCTCCAAGGAGTCTGCTCGAAGTCCCTCTTGGAAGAGACCAGCAAATCTGTGGAAAATCCTTAACTAACGGTGTCATCCGCATGGCTGGCTGGTCCTACACCATACTGCAGTTGATGATGTTCATCTACCTTCCTGTAAATGCAATCAACACCTTAGAGTGGCAATGGATAATTGCATCCTACGTGCCGATAGACACATCTTGGAGCAGGCTGTAGATATCTAGCTAGCCACTGAGGTGGATGGTGGGAAGCTTCAATTGCTCAACCACAGCATGGGCACCCCATTCAGTATATAGCTGTTCAGCAGCTTCAACTTCAATTTTTTGCATCTGAGCAGTTACCCTCACCTAGTACATAATGAAGGATGTGGTTGTGCCAGGAATTCTTCTTCACTCATTTATTCGGTTTTGGAGCCAGAGGAAGTGTCCCGCAAGTTCATGATAGCTTGTAGCAGAGGTTGAAGAATTGTGATTGTGAATTTTTGACCATATTCTTCCATTTGTTTGATGTAGATGAATGTCTCCTTTTGCATGCCATCAAGTGGCCTGCTGGCGAAAAAACTCAAAAACAAGGCAAAGCAGGCGCAGTACAACCTGTGCTCTGGGGATCCGCCCTTCATACCACTCGGGTAACCATCCATCGTCATTGGGATGAGGTTAGCCCATGGCTGGGTTCGATGCAGAATAAACTGAGGAACCCAGAAGCTGGTCTGCAGAACAGTGGTAACATTGCATTAGTTGTGGTATGTAATGAAGGCCCAAGATCTGATCTTCCACCTTTTGTTGAAATTGAATTACCTTTGCTTCAAATGCCGGACTCTCTATGCGGTTTACCATCCCGCTGCATTTCCATACATCGTCGCAGTAGCAACATCACCAACAATGGTTGCCAACGCATGCCCAATTTGAGCCAGTGCTATTGCAGAGCACCCGTTGATTCCTTTTTGAAAGCCATGGTTGAAGATTGTGAAGGCACAAGCTACCATGATCTCTGGACGGCCATGCACCAAGCTAATATGACCCAGCAGAGAAATGGTCTTGAAGGTTGCTACCAGAACTGGATCTTCTGAAATTGGTAACCTCTGCAATTCCTCTATGGTTTTTGCTGGATTCCACCTTGTCTTGAGGATGCCGGTAGCTGTGCAGAGCAGGATGGCAGGGGTAGTCCTGGGGACTTTAACCCCCTTGTTCTTCAGACTATCAAAAAACAGAAATCGATTGCTTTGTTGTAGTTTTCTTCTGTGAATGCAGCAGTTGCAAGAAGTCCATAAATGTGTGTCTGGGTACTGGCTGGAGATTTGGGTTCATTCAATACTTGCTGACAGTATCCTTTCATTTTGCTGAAGTTCCCTATGCAACACTGTGTTTCAGCTGCAGATGTGAATAGAGTCAGACTGAGTTCAAAATCTGTTGACCAGTGGTCTTCTGGCAACAGCTCCATTGCTGTCTCAAAATACTTGGTGGCGGCTTCAAAGGCTGCATAATTCATTGCCATACTGCCAGCTCTAACATGCAGCTTGGCAATCTCCTTGCGTTTGAGATTGCCAATGGGCATTTCTCGTGCTTTCTCACTCATCAGATTGGCCACAGGAAATATTAAATTTCCAAGCTCATTTCCCCCAAGATGGGTCAACAGCAAGTCCCCTATAGCGAATCGAATTTCTGGCAAAGCCTTCTCACCAAGTAAAGCAAGTGCTGCCTCTTGCACCTTGTCATGTGGAAAGGCAAACACATCACCTGGACACGCCTCCAAGAACCGTTCATCCAAACATTCCTGCAGTGCCTGTCGTACTTGTGTCGCAGTGTTGATGACTTCACCACTACTGTCCAATATGGGCGTGGCAGATTCCTGATTATTAATGACAATACAAATAGCATCAAACCCAAACCGAGCTCCAAGACATGCAGCCTTTGGAAGAATAGCTGCTGAATTGCTTTGGAGTTTTTGCTTCATGAGATCCACCACATTCTCAGTCATTTCAGATTTCACTGCCACTTCCTCACTATCCCAGGTCCAACACCCCAATCCAAAATTGAAAGGACAGCAAGCCGGCTGTTGCCAAAGATTGTATGAAATGAATCAAATAAAATATTTTTCCTCCTGTCTTGTGGTATACAATGTCAGAAAGACTCTGAATACGGTCAGGGTCCATGTTGAGGACATCAGCGATGAAAGCCTGGGCTGATTCCTGATCCAAATCTCCCAGGTGGATTTTGAGGATTTCACTGTTGCGTTCCAAGCTGAAGACTTCAATGTCTTGGGTCATTTCATCCAAATCCTTGTGTGCCTCATTGGATCGAAAGCACCCCACGATCATCAAAGATGTGTTCTCAATATCACCAATCCAGCTCTTGACCAAGCCCAAGGAAGGTCTGTCAGCCCCATTGGACATCGTCAAGAACAATTACCAGTGGAAATGAGTTACAAATCACCTTCACCAACGTCCGAAAGGCGAAGTTCAATTGGTCCAGGGTCTCACTGCCTCCCACTGGTGCGGGTGTCTCTTGCTGTTTGTTTTGTTGTGTCTCCTGTGGTCCCATGGCGCCTACTTGAAGAAGCGATGGTACCAAGTTGGAGAGCAATAGGATGTTTTCTTTGCCAAGCTCTTTGATGATGTTTTCGCTAAGGGTCACAAGGTGGTGGCAGCCGGTGCCAGATCGCAGCTCTTCCTTGAGTGCCAAGATATACCCACACAATTGGTCCATTGCAACTTTGATGCCACTGAAAGGTTCTCTCATTTGCTGAAGATCAAATTTGCCCAGTACGAGAAAGCCTTGAGCTCGTTTGATGGGTTCTTTGAGTTGTTCAGCCAGAGCCGTTTTCCCAGTTCCACTGGCACCATCAATCAAGACCAAGGTTCTACTTCCGCCGCTAGTAACTTTTTCGAGTACGTTGCCTAACTGTTCCACTTCTGTTTTTCTTCCATACAAACCCACCCGGCTCCATTTGAGTTTTTGCAGTGACATATGCTTGGTGGTCCTGGAGGCGCGTGCTTGATTGGTTATGAACTGGGGCTCAATGATATTGCGCTCGCTTTTGCGGGCCTTGAGCAAGTGGACATTTTTTATGATTTTCGCCGTCCACCGAAGCCACACTCAGCTCAGCACTAGTACTAACGAGATCGTCTGATGTAAGCCTTCGGGACGAGCGATCCTCAGTGTTCGAGATGGTGGATGACTCCTCATGAGCGCCACTCCTGATCAAGGGATCTTTCTGCATGTTACTGCCGTAACTCATCATACCGGTATGGTCGTTACAAAGGTGTACACACAGAGAGAAAGAGAAAGAGGAAAAGGTACGAGTACCGGTGCCTTGCCACAAAGTTCACGAAGAACAGATACAGTCTAAGCACTGTACTGTACTGTATCAAATCGCTGCGGCAAATCGGCCTTTGAATTAATCAATGGTTCCCCGATACGCTGTACGGTACCCGTACCGTATAATAGTTGCCGGTACCAGGCAGTAGCTAGCCCCGAAAAACAATTGTTCGGGACCGGTCGACCCGTACGCGACGCGTGGCAATTCTTGTTCCGTGACTGAACAAGCCAGCAAGGTGATTCCAGGGAACTCTTTGGAGGGTACGTCAGCGACGATCTGAAATCTTAAAATCTGAATCATTGTGTGTTGTATCTTTTGCAACCCTCCTCTGACACCCTCCTCGCTTCCACCATGCACCATCACAAAAACTAACACAGGTATTCTGTTCTAGCCCTCTAGCTAGCTTGCTGTATCAAGCTGTAGATCGAAAGATAACGACGGAGCCTTCTTGATACCTCCAGCAGTAGACAAAATGATGCGTGGATCATTGGCATTTGCTCTCCTCCTGTCGGGTGTCACAGGTTTTGCTCCCTCCTCCGTTGGCACCAAGAGTTCTCGGGTGACGTCCTTGTCGGCGTCTCGGCAAGACGACGGAGATTCCCGCCGTGAATTTTTCTCCAGATCGGTGGGAATTGCGGCTGCTGGCCTTGGTGTTCCTTTCCTACCTTTGGAATCTGCCAATGCTGTCAGTGGAGTTTCCAAGGTCAATGCCAAGCTAAAGGGGTGAGTCGAGTCAGAGATCCAATGGGAATGAATCTCCTTGACGTGTCTGCCTCGCAGCCTTCAGTATATATCCCTCATTCCATCATCTTGAAACTGCTCTGTATGTTCTTGTCGTTTTTGTAGATTTGGGCTTCCAGTTGTCAGTGAGGTCCAAAACGGTTTTTCTCCACTCCTCGAGGTTTATGGAAAAGGAAGGAATCGCTTTCCAATTTTGGTTCAGTTCAACTACCCTCTAACATGGGTGGTAACTGTGCCCAGTAACGATCAAAATGGCGAAGATGGAACTGTGCAAGCAGGTGAATACGCCAAGGGCGACACAGCTACTTTCTTTGTCTACGACGAACCAGGAAGTGTTTCGGTACGTAGTAGAAGACGTGATTTGGAATGACATGTATTTCGTGGGACTTTCGCACAGCTAACATTATGCCATTATGCGACAATAACCAATGATATATGTGTCAATTCAACTTATCAATCAATCCAACAAACATACAAACTGATCAATCAGGACGTTAACAGTCAATCCAAGAGTTTCTTTGAAAAGGCGATTATCAAGGCTATTAGCCAAAAGGGCGACAACATGTATCAGAGCTTCAAGGTAATCAAGACAGAACCCACGGAAAGAGATGGTCAACAGTACACGTTGGTTGACTTTAAGTATGAGCTGTTGACGGGTGCTGGTTTCACTGTAGACCGTCGAGGTGTTGCCTCTGTCACAAGTCAAGGAAAGGCTGTGGAAGTCTTGTGGACGGCTACAATTTCACAAAGGTACAAGAAAATGGAGGATACCCTTCGTTACATTGCAGGCAGCTTCCGTTGCTACACGGACGGCCTCAACCTTTCTGACGAACTGTACGTTGGCTACGGCGAGCTTTCGTAATTCATTGATTATTGCTAATTGGCAGCAAAGTCAGGCTATAAGATAAGCTACGTAATGTGTCTAGACTGCCATCGAACGTTCTCGTGCATGCTGGCTGCCATTTACCATACCGTACTAGCTACCGGTAGCTACCGGTAGGCAAGTGCAACCAAGGTAGACCTGCCAATGCAGTTGTTCTCGTTGGACCAGAGAACTGTCCTTTAGCAATAGGAAAGAAACCGATGCACTGGTAGCTGGCTAGAAAGGGGTGTAAACATTCGAGATCCTGAAGAGCTGCAGTCACCAATGGGCTGATAACCTTTTTTCGTGGTGATCTCGCTGTCTTGCTGTCACAGCTCACTCAACAGCGGGCTTGGATCCTGCAGCGCGGCCCGAAATCCTGAGCGTGTTTGGTAGCTTTCCTCGTTCGTTCTGTTCATCAGAGACAGGACAATGGTGTTGTTGGAGGTTCTTTGCTAAAGTACAGTCAACAATCATCTGTCAGTCAGTGAGTGTTACATGTATTATTAAGTAGTAAACTTCCAAGGTGAAATGTCCGGCTCTCCATCGAAGCAAGATATCCAACCGAAGCGATTAGAACTCTCTGTGAATCAAGAGGATGGATCCCTGCTGACAGCTCCCTTGTCGACCGTGCTGCTAGCCTCCACGGACGGCCTTTACACAGACCTTTACAATGTAGCTCATGGTGAATTGGATGTGACGACGGCAGCTCAGCAAGGCGATGGAGACGAAGATGATGCAGCTGCTGCCGCTCCGACTACCAAGAAGGAGCGTATGTCCAATCTATCCTTTGCTCAAAGACGGCACGAACTGGCGTGGCGTCTGGTACAGCATGGAAAGGGACTGACTCATGTGGCTGCTTTGACAGCTGCCAATGCGTCTTCTGATTTCTCTCGAGCCACGCAAGTGTCCACTCGAGCACTGCAGCATGCTCGAACTGCCTGGGTTCAAGCCGATGAAGCACAAGACGCTCTCTACTTTTTCCATGCACAGCTATTCCCAGCTAGACAGTCTCCTCATGATATATATGGAGCACTCGATGTACAACTCTTAGGAAAGTGGATTGACATGCCCACGGATCTCAGACTCACCGTAGATAGATTCAACAATTCACAAGAAGCACGATGGTCTCAAAAGGAGGTCGCCGAACGATGGCAAATGGCCGTTCGGAACAAACTCCTCAGTGGAGAAATTGCTTCCATGAGACGGCAACAGCAACACATACCCAAGAAACCACTCTGGAATGTCGCTTTAAAAGGAGGAATTGTCAGACTCACACATGGAACACCAAAAAGGTCCGGCAATCAACCTCCCATCTATCCCATTGAAGCAATGCTCACTGTACTGAGTACTTCCACGCCCAGCGAATGGTCCTTACTTTCCATTGAAGCACGAGTACAACCCAAAACGGGAGAATCCAATCACCAACTTGAAGCTTCCAATAGACAACGCTACAATCTCCATAGACTCGCAGCTCTATCCATGGCCAAGGAAGAAGCACGCGTACGGATTGCTCAAAAGAAGGACGATGAAGAATCTTCCGTCAAAACATCCACAACCGACGGAAAAAAGAGCGAAGCAACCGACGACGCCACTGCCACAAACCCTTCCGTTGCTTCCGGTCCGACGGCAAATTCATTGGTGGCACGACCCTTGAACAAACTCTTTGAAGTGGCACACACGTTTGCCCTCTCGTGGCAACTGGAAATGCTTTCTGCTCAAGCACAAGCTCTCAAACGAGGGAATTGGGCTGCAGGAGGAACTCAACCGATCGTCGTCACACCAGTACATTTCCTAGAAAAGAACTCGGGCAGTCTTGTCAGTGGTGTCACCAGTAGTAATAGTGCCAGCAAGGAACAAACAGCTATTGGGGTTGTATCCATGTCATTTTGGAGAGTAGACGACCAGTATGGACCTCCCTACATGGGTGACTTGATCTTGGCCGACCAACAACAAGAAACACAACAGGCGCCACCGTCCGACAACTCCACCGTCCAAGAAGAAGGCAACAGCCAGATGATCGACCCACCCGTCACCAATCAACTGACACTTTCCATCCGTGCCGAACCAAGTCTCGGCATTCGAGTTGCACTCAGTGGAGGCATGCCCAAGAATCAGGCAGAACAGCCTCATATACAGGCCACCCTGAGAGAACTTTTAGATGCAGCCTCCAATCCGTTTGCACTGTCTGCCAGTGGGGCTCTACTGGCTGCCACAAGACTCTGTTCGGAACAAAAATGCCACGCCATTGTAAATGCTATTCAACCAGAAAATGAGGCATCGATTCTGCCATCGTGGATGTACCTGTCAGTCGAGCGAACCTGCATTATTGTACACGTTCGTGTATCCTATCACGGGATTGCAAACAACAGTAGTAATGAAGAAGATGCACCAATGGCGGGGTTGTTTCGGCTGACCTGCGATGCCCGAACGGGTGGCTTTGTGTGCACGTTTTCGAGGAGCATGCATTTGCTACGGCTCGTGACGTGTGGTGATACTCGTGCCAGCGAGTCCACATCACTGCGAATCATGAGTCTTCCTCCAAAGAGACGGAGACTCGCAGGGGCCAATGCGGTCGGACGAGTGGCACGGGATGCAATGGATGGAATCACTCGATCGATGAATGCATTGGGTCATCGAGCTGGTGTTGGTGGGGCTTGGAAGGATCGAGATTCAATGTCAGCATCGTTGCGACAACGGGCGATCCAATCGGCTTGTGGCGATGTTCGAATTGCATTGATGAAAGCTTGTGGTATTGCTGCCTTGTATGGACTGTCCGCGTTGGCGCTAGGGGTCGCCACTGGCGTGACCGTCACGCACGATATGTAAGTGCCGTTGCTGGCCTTTTTTTGATCTGCCCTCGCTCTACGTCGTGCCTCATGAATGGACGCGAATCAAATCGAATCGTTGCTCTTGATGCAGGGCTGGAGAAAACTTGGATTCAGTCGATGGAATCTCTCTTCTACCGGCTCCACCCGTGAGTGTTCTCATGGACCAACAACTGATCGAGAACGAATCAAAAAGCGTTGATGGAGAGAAGAAAAAGACTTCCTACATACAACAGCAGCTGTTTGGAGTTGGTTGCTCCAGTACACCAGAAGCGCTGACGCTGTATCCGTTGGACCTATCTGTGACGTTGGATAGCCCAATCTCAGGTACGTTTCCCTCGCTTGTTACGCTTGTGCATTGTTTCAAATCTCAACTAACTCACCCGACTTCCCCAGCTCCTCGGCGGGTGTCTGCGTCGCTGGCAAAGCTAAAGCCAGAGGAGACCACTGAACCGCAACCCATTTCAAAGATAGCGAAGTTGGAAGAAGGAAACGGCAGCTCGTCCCCCCGCCCTCCTAAACTGCAAGATCTTTCTGCCGAGGTGGAACGTTTCGCCCTGCTATTAACTGATGCCATGGACTAGTAGTTTTGCTGGGAAACTCAATACACGCAAAAGCTTTCTTACAGTATAATAATAGCGCTATCTCGGCATGCTACACTTCATTGTGCAGTGCCGTACCGGTACAGGAGGGGGCCGTTTGAGTTATATCGGCTAGCGGTACAAGCGACACAAGCCCATTAGATATTGCTGTCGTTCGTCCCTCCAGTTAGTATAGTTGTTGAACTGCCCGTAGGCCTGTCTTTGTCAACCTTCTCGTCAGTTTTGTCGGAGCCATCCTTGCTTCCATCCTTGCTGCGCTCCTCGTTGCACTCCGCAAGCCATTTTGCAACGTCGCCCAGTTGTTGCACAATCTCGGTAAACTCAAGGCGATCGAGAGGGTTCTCTTCCCAGCACTTGACCATGAGTTCCTTCCAGGGACAATCCTGTGGGACTGGGGGTCGCAGGCTCTCGTTTGCTACTTTGGCAATGATCTGCGTTGTTTCCAGGCCCTGGTATACTTCTTCCCTGGTCGCCAGCTCCCAGAGGACAATACCATATCCATACACATCGCTGTATTTCGATGATCTGGCATGCTTAATAACTTCAGGCGCCAGCCAACAGGCAGTACCAACGCCATGCGTCATTGTTCTCGAGCCTGAAAGAGTGGCACGAGCGGAACCCCAATCACCAATTTTGGCAACGAGAGTAAACTTGGTCTTCATCGTCTCTGGCTTCGCAACTAGGCTTGTCCGTTCTCCAGCATCACCTCTTCCCTGCTGCTGCTGCTTGTTGTCGTCATCTTCGCCACCTTTCTTCCTCCAGCTCCTGTCTCGTTTTCTTGGAGCATCGGTCGGAGTATCGGTGAATGTTTCGTGCACAAAAATGTTGTGGCTTTTTAAATCGCGGTGAATGATCGGCGGGTCCTGATTGTGGAGGTACGCCATTCCCTCAGCCACCTGAAGGGCAAGGTTGAGCCGAAGTTCGACTGGCAGCACTCTGTCGTTGTCGTCCAGAACTTGCCGTAAGCTGCCGAGAGAACAGAGCTCACTGACAATCCATATAGCTTGTGCTGTCAGCGAACAACCAAACAGCTGGAGAACGTTGGGGTGCCGCAGGATGGCCATCATTCCTGCTTCACCAATAATCTCCTCAACAATTTCCTGTTGCATCGATGATTTCCCAGCCACAGCCGCTTGGGCAAAAACGAACTCTTTTACTGCAACACTGGCTGTGCTCCATCGGGCACTCCAAACTCTCCCGAAGGTACCCTCTCCTATGATTCTTTGCAGGAAGATCTCCTGTGGGTCAATTATTGTAAGCAAGTGAGGATGTTGGACATATCGGACCTTCATTGCTCTCTGGTATGCGTCGGTGATGTTTGAGTTCTCCAGGGCACTGTACGTCAACATGTCCAACGAGATTCCCTTCAAATGAGAGTTCTTGCCCAAGAAAGGGAAAACTCGGTTGCGATTGCAAAGGATGGCTAGAAACATACCAATAACGCAGCCGACGGCAACGCCGTACACAATGATTGAAACATTGGTTGAGAGTTTCCCCGATTCCGTGCCGTCTTCGTCTCCTGCCAGTGGCTCAGGCATCATCTGAGATATCGCCATGATGGATCCTCGAATATGTCCCCCGGAGAGCACTTCCGTGACCGGAACATAACTTGATTGTGAGCTTGTTGTCGCTGCCGCCATTCTCGTATTGAATCTCCCATCGGAATCGCTGCCGCGGCTCAGCTGATAAGACCATTTTGCGACTAGGTTGTCACCTGCGATGAATACAGTCCCTTCGTAGTCTGCAAACCCGTTCGAGAGCGCATGAAGCGGTTCATCATGGCCAGAAAAGCCGGGCAGCCAGGACCAATTAAAGTCATGGTACTGTGTGTGTTCCTCTTCGATGACATAGCTGTCGTCGTCGCCAGCGCCAACTTTTTTCTTGGTCCTTTTCTCTTCTGTTTTCAATGTAGCTTTAAGGAGAGCAATTGTGTATGGCCTTGATGCATCCGGCCATGTTGTAGAAGTTGCAGTCTGGCCCGCCACCATCAGGCCATGTTGCGTCAATAGCATGTTGCCACCCCCGGTGGGAAGCACCGTATGTGCCGAATCTGCGAGGCAAGTCCATCTGTTCGTCTTAATTTCAAATGCGGCCAATCCGAGGCAAACACGACCTGTGGCAGTGAGCCTTTCAAAGGAACCCATCACGTAGAGAACACCTCGTTCCTCATCTAGTTGCAAGGCTGTACCTACACCGTCTTGAGTTTGGTTCTTCATTGTTAGCCCGCCACCAGGATGAGCCACGAGATGCCCCGAATCCACATCGTATATTGCAAGTCCAGCAGGGACATTTCTGCCATCAATGGCATTAAACTTTCCTGCAACGTGTAGCTGTCTCCTTTTCGAGTCCCATGCTAAAGCCAGGACGGTGACTGTACACCATGAACAAGTGATTTGTCCCACCTTTAACGGCAACCATACCTGGTCCAAGGCATTGAAGTGTGCGATATTGAATATCTTGACAAATTCATGCCGATCTCCGTTCCATACTTGGGTCTGAAAGGACCCTGCTACAAAAACATCGTAAGGGCCGGCCAATGCCGAAGTTGTGATTTTCATTCCTTTGGACAGTGCCGAGTTGCACAAACCTTCTCCAACCTTGGATAGTTGTTTGCCATTCCATTCTCCTACGGAACAATACGTCACTTGACTGTTCCTGTAGGTGGTGTCAAATGCTCCCACTACGATAAGTTCTCCAGATCCTTCAAATTGTCGACTAGTACTGCTTGACGACGATGGTCTTCTGCAATACGGTAATTCCCAAGGGAACAGAAAAGACAATCAGCAGAGAAGAAGTGAGTATCCACGCAGGATGATTTCATCCATCGACATATCTACCTCTACTAGAGAAGGAAAAGATCTTACCGTTTCGAGGTATCGTCATCTTCTTCTTCCGAATCGGCAAAGGGTAGAAATGTGTGGTTGGCAAGAAGCGAGTAAACCTCTCCACCCGAATACGAGTTGTATAGACTGAGTTGGATTCGCTGAGTTAAGCTCCATTCTTGACTTTTGAGGTTGTATTGTGCAATGTTACAAGGTCCATCTTCCACTGTCATCTTTCCAGCTACCACTAGCTGTGGGTAATGAGAAGCTGTTGAATCTCCACTACCAGTGCTTCCCAGCAAGTGTCTCGGTATGCTGCTGCTATGTTGGAGATGATTATTTGTTCTTTGCTGCATCTTGGTAGTTGTCGGATGATTGTGTGCCATAGCTTGGTCTATTGAGGATGATGTATTGGTGGTCAGCCAGAAGATGTCCAGAAAGTCGAGTATTGCCCTCGATTGTTGTTTGGTCTTTGGGTATAGTTGGCTGATCCATGGTAGCAATATGGCCTTATCACATGACCCTTGGATATGACGGCATCTGGCCCAGTCCAACAGAACTGCTGCTGACAATGAGACAGCAAAGATACCTCCAATGAACTTGTAGCGACGTTTCCTGGTACGTTTATCCCTGGGCAAAGACCATGCTGGACCATTAGTCGTGTAGATTGTTGACACGGGTATTCTGCCTTCCTTTCTCATTTCGTCTGTACCACCATCATCGATGCTACCCAGGGACGAGCTCAGGGACGTCGTGGGCAACGTGTCTTGGTCCTGTTGCTGCTGTTCACTGTTCTGACGCATTGCTTGGCAGTACATGGGAGAGTCTAATCAGCAACAACGCATCCATAAAGACCAACCGAGAATTTTTTCCCACTTTTATCTGCATGCGTCCTATCGTGATGATAACGGTAGCTTCAGTACTCGTAGCAACAAGCAGGCAGAAGCTTTGATGGGTTACCTTGACGACCCGTACTCTGCAAAATTGAAGGCATGCAGGGCTGCCTCTATGACATATGGCTAGCTAGCTACCAGACTCCAGAGACTGAACCAATGGGATTTCTGACAGAGGGCTGGGTAAGACTCTCGCTGTGTGACACAATGGTGTCAGTGATGTTCGTTCCTTTCGCTTTTAGATTCGCTCTGTCCTTCGTGAATCACGAATGAGGTTTTAGTTCGGGACTAAAAAGCTACACATGCTTCGTCGTTGAATCTTCGAATTTCCATGGAACCAACGTGGGAAAAAAATGCACTTGCAATAACCGCAAGTACTGGTAGTATTTGGCATCTGTTGTCCAACAACCTCCGAGCTTTTGTCCTCATCACTGCAATCACTGATGATGTGAGAGGTGCTGGTACATGTACTAGTAGCTACAGATGCCATCTTGTCACCACCCGAGAAGCATTATTAGCCAGCCATCAATGCTTTCTTCACAGCAGTAGTAATTGAAAAGAAGGCAGATTGGTCAGGAAATTTGCGTTGGCTAGAAGGGGAAGAGCTCCAGCTGCAAGGTCTGTAAGCTTGCGGCACGTAAGTTAGCGAAAACATGTAGCTAGCAGAATCGACACCTTTCCTGGCTGGCATTGACCCAATCCTTGCAGGCAGTGCCCGATCAGCTTGAACGGCAACTCAGTGTCCAGAAGATATCCCGGACTCTGGCTAACTACATCAACATTTTCTGGTTTCGCGGGATATTCGAGTGGTAGTAGTCAGGATAAAAACGAGTTTCAGTCTATTGGTATTCTGTGGGCAAAGTAAAGGATGAAGCCTCCGAGAGGGGTTGTTCTCCCATGTAGAGAAGTCCAGTTATTGGCATGTGATCCCACATGAGTTGCAACTTGACATCTTTGCCCCGCAATTCATCCCCTTGGTCTACCAATGCGTATTTGACAAAGACATTTTCCAGCTCGATCATCATGTCTTCTGGGTGGATTGATTCCACAATCTTGTCCCAGATCACAATCTGATTGTTGCGGTTTTTGGTGCTCTCATAGCTAGCCACGACATAGACAAAGAGTTGCTTGATATTCCAATGGAACGCCGGGGTCATATCGGCCTTCAGATCAAACGACAACAAGGCTCGATCTACTCCTCCATGAGACTTCAGTGAGCGCAAAGACTTCAATTCCAACTTTTCTATCACTGAAATCAATGGCAAAAGCAAAAGCAAAAGAGAGATAACGAGTCAGCAATGCGACAACAGCGTCAAGGCGACCATACCCACAGATGTACTATCTACATCACTAGATCAACGCAAACACACCTGGTGCATGGGAGCTGGTGTGGCCGATCTTAGAAATGGCGGCCAAACAGGAGAGACACAACAGAACAGTCAATCCAAAGAATACCACACCGTTTAATCGAACCCAAACTGTATGCATGGTGATGTATGCTTATAATGTTCCAGAAGAGACTAATAATGGAGGTACTGGTAAGGTAGCAGCTCTCTTGTTTGGCGGCAGCAACGACTGACCACCCGCCATGGTGGCTGCTTCCACCCAGCTCCAGGTGTTGAAAGTTGCCTAAAAAACGGTTGAACATCAGACGCATTACGGATCATTAGGGTTGGAGCTTCGAAAGTTGCCGTCTGTGTTTGGAGAGGTCGGGGGAGCCATTCACGCATGACGCAATGAAGACGTCATGATTCGACGTGACTAAGCTTTACACCGGTTTGAGCCTGGATATCTTGCAGGGATCTCTCTCTCTGCTTTTATGGGCTGAAGGGCTGATCCATTCCTGAAGAGTTGAAATTAACTTTTTAGAAGGTAGATGGCACGGGTATCGGTACCGGTAGGTAGCTAGGTAGCTACCGGTATGATAGCTAGAAGACATGTAAACAATTGCTTCATACACTTGTATCTTTCCAAAGGTAAGATCTGGTGCTGGAAAAGGCTTGATGTGCTTTTGATGGTCTGCTGCTCCTGGCCGTGGATGCGTGTCATCCTCATGCTCGATGCGTGTCTTCCTCGTGCGTCTCTTCCTCGTACACTGTACGTGTCTTCCCCTGGCCCTGTTTCAGGTTGAAATCGGTGATATGACGCCTCGATGGCTTATTTTTACCGGTTCTTTTACACTGACTTGCGTCTACCTTTTTCTGCGAGCGTCCGTGTCAAAACGGGCAGCAGCACAAAGACGCTGAAACTTCCAAGCTTCCTCCCGTGACAATTACGCCCACCCCTCACTTTTCCCCTTGTCCAAAAAGATTGAATTCTGTTTGGTCAAGTTAAAATCTTGCTGATCTTGTTGTTGGTGCTTCCACTTTGCTTTGCCTTTTCCTAATTATCCGTAAGACCATGCAATACTACGAAGAAAACCCGTTTGATACCGATGACGTGAGAGCGCCTACCCAAGTTCAGTGGCAAGAGTTCGACCCTGCAAACGGCAACACTCGAAAGTGTGGTCTCTGTTTTCAGGTCAAGAAAGTCTCTGACTTTCCCATGTCGTTCTCGACTCGAAAGTCACCCAACTGCCGCGTCTGTGTGTTGATCAAGAAGAGAGGTCTGAAGTGTATGCCGACCGACGCGACGACTGAATCGGCCGACACTGTCAGCAATGAAGACGACTACCAGAACGAAGACACGGTCAGCGAGGGCTCTGGCTCTGCTACCTTCGAGGCTGCTTCAGCTCCGTTTTCGATTGGAGATACTACCAGTAACCAATCCACTCCCAGGACAATGGCCAAGAAGTTCCGCAAGCGACTTTCCTGGACTTCTTCTACCGGTACCTCGTCGTCCGATGCCAAAACCGCTCCTTTTGCACCCATGATGTGCTGAGCATGCATGCAATCAAATCAACAGACAAGACGATGATGGAATAGATTTTATGAAAAGGCGAGGAAGGAACGATACACCAAAACAGTTTTGGTGACAGTGACGGATAGGAGGTACAATTTTTTATATGACTTTGGATGCTTGTACCCGAGGCGGCAGATTGTGGATAAGCAAGTTAACTACTACTAGCTAGGATTGACTTGAGAAGGACTTATTTTTAAGCTACTAGAATTGTTCTGTAGGCTTGCTCCAAGCAGCCAACCTGCTATCAACGAGAGACATTGGCTCCTTCGGATGGGCACAGCATGCTACCTGAACCTGGTACCGGCATCGCAGCCAGGAACCAGAACAAACGCAATACATTTTTTTCATAGGCAGGGTGGTATCGTAAAGCCCTAGCAAGCGCTACCTTACGCAGTGGCCCTCAAATGTCACTTGACATTGACAGAAGCCCACCTTTCCGTAGCTAATTACCAAGCGGAATTTGCAAAGAAGAAGACAACTTCGCCCTTTTGTAAGTAAGCCTCGCATCCGTGTAAGTAAATCTGTACTAGTAGCACTGTGATGCTACCCACACCACCATTACCCGTATGTGTCTAACTATGCATAGCTACCGTGAGAGCCACATGTAATCTATCAACAACGGCCTTTTTGGCTAGCTGCTGCCAACTAGTCTTCCAACTGCACACTAACTGCTGGAAGGTGCTTTTGGCGATAGTCTGGTGTCCCGTAACACCGTTGGTTTGGCGTTGGCTCAAGCACATAACTCGGGACACGGCGACAGTTGGATCGGATGCAGTGCCTATCTTGGGCCCGGGAGCTGAGCGTTCCGCTTTATGACGTCGCATCGGATTTCGCATGAATGAATGAATGAATAAGGGAGCTGAGGTCAGTGGCAAGATCTTGTTGTCGACTTATTGACGTTTGTTGTCAAAAGGGACAACATCTCTTGATCTCTTGTGCCATCACAAGCAAGAGGTTATAAACCAAATTGCTAAAAGTGAAGAATGAAGAATCTTTGTCTTGTCACTGTGAATTCGCTTCTTTTGCTGGCCCTGCTACGTGAAGCAGCTGGCCTTCAGGGATTGGGCCCCTCATCCTCGATGACAATCGGCTCGACGACGCCTACAATGGCATCCTCTGGAGGCTCCCTCTTGACATCTTCCTCGTCATCTCGTCGCTCAGTTCTCTTGGGCGCAGGCTTTCTCGGAGGTATATTGGGTGGCGGCGATTCGGTTCGGGCTGCAGGCAGCAAGGCGTACAAAAGCAAGGGCCCCACTGGTGAAGTGATCAAAATCGTCAATGGCATCAAGCACAGACGTCTCGGCGGTTCCGATATAATCGTATCCGAGTTGGGCTTGGGTACGCAACGCTGGGTTTCGGATGACTTTAATGCTCCCGATCAAGACGCATGTTTTGCGTTTATGGATCAGGCCATTCTGAACGGGGGTGTCAATCTCATTGATACTGCCGAGCAATACCCCATTCCATCCGATCCAGTAAGATCGCCTGAAGGGGCTACTGAAGAGGTCATCGGAAAGTGGATGAAAGATAGAAAGATCTCCAGAGACAAGCTTGTCTTGGCAACCAAAATAACAGGCGGGAGAAATGTAACTCCAAAAAACATTAAGAAGGATTGTGAAGGTAGGTGATGCAAGGTGCTTGTGGGTCGAAAGGATTGATATTCAAAAAAGATTGAACCTGACTTGTTTGCCAAATGTGCCAAAACATCAGGAAGCCTGAAACGCCTTGGTACCGATTACATTGATGTCTACCAGCTACATTGGCCAGCCCGCTACTCGCCCCAATCAAACTGGGGACAATCACTTCAATATCGGCAAGAAATCGATGAGTCATCCTACTGGAGAGGATTTGGCGGTCCCACCTCATTTGAAGACTTGTGTCTTGCGATGGAGGGATTGGTCCAGGAAGGAAAGATTCGTGGATGGGGAATGTGCAATGACAATACCTACGGCTTGACTGCCTGCACTCGAACCGCCAAAATGCTGGGGACAACGCCTCCCTGTAATCTACAAGGAGACTTCTCCATTATCGACCGCAAGGTGAGTTGTTGTTGACTTATGTATGTTCTATAATTCATGGTCCTCGTTGGTGGCGCTGACTCGAGTCGACGCCCTCCTATGTGTGACTTTCACAGAGCGAAGAAAATGGTGTAGCCGAAGCGGCGTCACCGTTCAATGAAAACGTGGGGTTCATGGCTTACAATGCATTGGCGGGAGGCGTCTTGACAGGTAAGTACATGGACATCCCGGCTGCTTTGGACGACCGAGATCGAGACCGTGCTCGGAAAACGTTGCAGAATCCCAGAGGCAGAATGGATGAGTTTGGTTGGGGACGTACACTGTACAGATATCGAACGGATGCTGCATTGTCAGCCGTGCAGGAGTACTCTGATATAGCCAAAAAGGCCAAGATGTCATTGACCGAGTTGAGCCTGAGATGGTGCAGGCAACGAAGTCTGATTACAACCACCCTAGTGGGACACACCAATCAAAAACAGCTTCAAGAGAGTTTGAGGATCTTCAAAATCAAAGAACCTCTCGATGACGACATCATGTGGAAAATTGATAGGATTCACATGCGAAATCGACTTCCCCTCTTTTCCTCAAACAAAGTAGGGGTTGATTGGAATGGAGAAGGAGAAATCGGTGAACCCATTCCTTGAAAGGTTTTCTTGGTTAAGATAGACATGCTAGCTACACGGTCTGCTGCCAAAGTTAGCTGTCAAATGTAATGTAGACATTTCAATGGCAGCGAAAGCACCGGGTTCTCAATAGCTGCCGTCTCTTCATTGCTGTAGTCAGCACGGGGATGGTCAGTTCCTTGCAAAACAGTTCAAGGTTGGGAATCTGTGGTTGCAGAACCTGTGTTAGTTGAGATACAGATTGTCCAGTCTACCACACCAGAAATGAGGAGGTGCAAAGACCAGAGTTTGAGCATGGTTTTGGGTTGATCTGCGTCATCCAGCGCGCTATCTAGCTAGACCCCACAAAAAACAAGAAAAAAGGTCTCCCAGTTCCAATCTATTTTAAGACCTATCACCACAACTTCACCCAACAATTGCCATTCTCTTTTTACCAACCTGAGAAGGAACAGGCCTTGCATACAAAGGAGATCATCCAATATGCCACAAGGAGTGACGCAATGAACTAGCAGGCCTAGGTGGCATGATGCGGACGGTGCTTGTATTAGCAAGATGCAGACAGTGTAATGTGCACCCTGGCACTGCCAGTGATTCTGCACCATGGCATCCAGATGTGGTGATGTTTGTGTGCCAGTGCTTGTGGAGCTTATGGCCACGCAGGACGTCATGGGCTTTGCTGCAGAAAAGAGACAACATCTGCGAGTGAAAGTTGGGATGATGTCTTGTTGAAATACAGTAGTGGATGTGTAAACAATTGAAAAGATCATTACAAATGCCAAAATGTGGAAATAGTCCCTGCCTATCGCTGTGGGGTTGTGTATTAGCTATCCGGAGCCAGGACTCTGATTGTTGTTGTTCTTTCATGAATTCCCGTTCAAGAGGCATGGATCTTTCGTTTTGCTTTGATCACTCTTCTTGCTGGCTATCATCTGCTGTTGCCTCCTTTGCTGCCTGTTCAAAGACACCTCGTAGTGGTCCAACCGTGGCCACAACGGAATCAATTTCTGCTTGTTGTACTCCCAATCCTTGCAATGTCCCGACCAAATGTCCTGCTACCAGATCGAAATGCGATTCGTTCAATCCTTCTTTTCGCAAGAGTCTGGCATGAGCATCGCTGATATACGCCACAACGTCAAGATCCTCTGGTATTTTGGTAAAGGCAATTTCCATGAATTGATACTGATGATCCCTCAATGCGTCCACATCGACCCCTTTGAAGAATCGCTCGAGTTCTGGATCGGCCACAACGCGATCGTAGAAAATGGAGACAGCAGCTTCCAAAGCCGGTGGGCCTCCCAGTCGATCTAGCAACAGAGACTCCTTTTCTTCTTCTTGATCTTCTTCTTTGGCTGCAGCAGCAGTCGAGTCGGATTCTCCTTGTTCCGTCGCGGTCATCCAATGAGTGCCACTGATACTTTTTCTGGAGGTAGAAGATGGGAGCAAGAATCCCTGCGCTACCACCAGTAGCCCCACCAGAACTGATACCGAAAAGGGGAGCCGCAACATCTTGATCAACAGAAGTTGTTTTTTGTCTTGATCAGTCTAGCTAGTGGAGGAGATGATTGTGTCCTCTTTACCAGAAAGTGAACGTCTTGAAGGATCTTTAGAAGCTTTGATTTGATGGTTCTATCTATCTTAGTAATACCATCGACCACAGTCACTCTCACTGTAGACTAGTTGTGGGAAGTCAAGGTCACATAATATTCTCGCATCAATCTGGTGGTGGCACCTGGCACAACGAAAGCCTCCAAAAAAGTGCGTCAGTCTGACCTTTCGAAGTGTCACTGTCAGCTCTAATGGCTTAAATAAACTCAAGAAGCTCCAACAACCACCGACGAAGAAGGAAGAAGGCTCCAAATCCCAAACAACAAGCTAGCTATATAGCTCAGAAAGAAATGACAATCCGTTGCAGCTCCCCAAAAGAAAGTGTATAGCATCTACATTGATTGAGATCACAGAAGATGACATCTACATCTACTACTACTAGTGGACAAGGAAGTGACAAAGAAAACGACTCTGCAGTCTTTGATACCCTCAAGGACTGGATTGAGAAAGGTGGGGGGACGGTTCATGCAGGTCTTTTTCTAGGGAGACAAAAACAGGGATCTTTGGCTCATGGGATGCGTGGGATTTTTACCCAGACGGCCATTCCCAAGGGCGAACTGCTGTTGAAGGTTCCTTCCAAGCTGGTGCTGAGTGGAGAAAAGCTTCCCCGCAAGTTCAAGGATCGAATTGCCAGTCCTTGGTTGCGTTGCTTGGCGTGTATCTACAGTGCTCAACAGGGAGACAGGGAACCGTACCTGGCGTCGCTTCCTGCCTCGTACGAAACACTGTGGCAATGGCACGATGACCAAGTTCAATATCTAGAGGGAACCACGTTGGGAGAGACACTCAAAGCGGATCGAACCGACGGATCTCTGGAGCAACGATACGAGGAATATGTCAAACCGTACCTGAGGTTTCTCAAGATTATTGGCAAAAAGAAAGAACAGGACAATCCCATGCAAGCCTTTCGACAAGCATCCATGTGCATCTCCACCAGGGGTTTTCACATGAAACCAGAGGAAGCCGATATTGGAAAGGAAACCTACATGGGACCCTTTCTTCTGCCACTGATTGATTTGCTCAACCACAATCCAGCCAACAAGGCGACAACCTTGCAGAGAGACGCAGGTGGTTTTTACATGGTGGCAGAAAGGGATATTGACAAGGGAGAAGAAATTGTGCATTCCTATGGAGACACACTCACTGCGGCACAAGTGTTGCAAACCTTTGGATTCGTACCAGAGTCCATGATTCGACAAGCCACGGGAGAATTGGCAGTAGCATCAGCATCTGCTAGTACTAGTACGACAATCACTCCCGCCATCTTTTCCAAAGAAGAACTGGTCGCTGCCTGTATGTCCGTCAAGAACTCGTCCTCTCCCAAACAACTCCAGCAGGCCATGAAAGACAATGAAATAGAGGGGGAAGTCTGGGACCTACCCAAGGATGCCGAAAAGAGAGACATGTCCTTGATACCAGATCAGCTTCTTGTGGTGCCATCCGAAAGCAGTAATAATAGCTTTATCAGTGACGAAATGGTCACTCTGTGTGCCATTCAAATGCTACCAAAGGATGTCTACGACGAAATATTCAATGAGGACGAAGATCCCAAACTACTCGGCCAAGAAATTCTGGAAGATTACTTTCTTGGAAAGCTGGCACTCATGGCGATACTCACTGCCACAAAGACAAAACTAGCAACGTACACTCCGCTTTCCAATGTCCCTGGAATTACTGATAAAGCCAAAAAGGAAGAAGACGATGATGACAAGCATATTCTCAAAGAGCTGTTGCAACTGGAAACATACAGTGCGTCTGCGTTGCGAGCCCTATATGGGATCACAATCCGCTTGGAGGAAAAGGCGACACTGCACGAGTTGCAAACGGAAGCGGTTTCGCTCATGGCGGCGTTGGACGACGAAGATGGTGACGATGATGACGACGACGACAGACCCGCAAAGAAAATGAAAAGTGCCAGTGAGTAGATGAAACTGTGTAATAGTAGTCACCTAGCTAGATTGTTTCCCAAAGAAAAAGTCTACTAGTACCGTATGCGCAAATGATGCAGCCTTGAGGGGCACCCCGTAAAGTCTGTCAAAACTCGAAACTCTTAACTACTTGATCTCTAGTAGCGCAAGCTCGTAGCTCCAGGCTTAGAATCGAACCCTAAGTTTAAAAGTGGTTCGATTTTTGCCAGTTTTGTCCAGGTTTGCCGACGGTGGCTTGACTGGGCTCTGTGGCAAACACAGTCTGCATGCGGGCTGTCAACATTTGAGGTCGGCTGCGCTTGAGTCTACATTCTTGACCCGATAGCGCACTCGAGTCGACTCATGGAGCGTGGAGCTGCGGGTACCGATACCAGTACCGGCATGAATGATCAATCGATCCAACACTGATACCGGCATGAATGACGAATCCATCCAACAACAAAAGTTGCAACGAGCACAGTCAGCTGTACCAGTACTCAGGTCTCCAGCAGAGACTTGGGGATTGATCTCGACAGGACACTCGTTCGTTTTCACGTTTGCTCATTGGCGATACAGTTTCCTTTGGTATTCTAAACTGAACGCCTCACTGTCATGGGCATGATCTCTGTAGCTGTCTTGCTCGGCAGCTGCATCGAGGATCATCTGCTGCTCTGGTTGGGTTATATTTTGCAAGTTTTCATTCACAACGTTGTCGTCTTCTTTGTCCGTGTCTGAATAGGAGACACAGATGCAAATGGCGAATGCTGAAAGAACCCAGACCCAGACCGGTACGTTTTGAAACGCGGTTTTGTGCTCTTCCTCGTCATCCGTTTCCGGGGGCAAGGTCATCAATGGTACACTGGCTGGTGCTGCCTGAGGCGCAACAGTGGCCTGAGGTGCAACAGTGACATTCGAAGCAACGGTGGCATTCGAAGCAACCGTGTTTGAAGGGGATGTGGTATTCAACGAAGTGCTGTTTGCAGATTGTGGAGTCGTCGATGGTGCAATTGTAGTGCTTGTCTGATTGAGATTCGCCGCGGACGACGTGTTGGCGTTCGGGTCGATTGACGTACCGGTAGGAACACTGGTTGCTACCGGAAGTGGATCGCCGGTAAAGCCGGCCTCGCCAATCGAAGAAGGCAAAGCTGATGGTTCGTTTGTCATTGCCAATGTGGGCATAGTCGATGCCCGGCTAGGCTGGTCTGTTGTCGGCAATTCGGAAGGCACCGGCGATGGTTCTGCAGCTGTCGGGCTAAGTGTCGGGGTAAGCGTCGGTGTAGTTGTTGTGGGAGTGAGTGTGGGAGTGAGTGTTGGAGTCTCCGTTGTTGGAAGCGGTGTGGGCCGCCTAGTAAGTTGTGGTGAGGCTGTGATTGCTGGCAATGTAGCTAGGTTCAACGATTCACTCAGAAGAGCGACTCCGTTCACTCGGGATATTGTTGCTGCAATGGCTCCACTATTCATAACGTGCCATATCGCCCTTCTCATGATACCCTGAACTACCTCACTGTCCATCCCCTCAGTGTAGGCTGTCATGGTCCCGCTGATTACAAAGCACGGTTCGGTGGTTTTATCCGTACAGTCGACTGAGCGTCCACAAAGATTCGCAATCGGTGAGTAAATGCGTCATGAAAACAAAAGAAACGATGTCAAGTAAGTGTCATTCAAACTTACATCCCCTGAGCACGAAATCGGCTGGTTTGGCGCTGAGCCCCACAAATTCCCCCGCATTGCTCCCCTGCCTGGCTGTTGTCGATGGTGACGTCCTGCAACTAGTAAAACATACTGGAATGAGGAAATCGAGCAATGTGATTTCGAGATCGTCCAGAATAACTCCATTCATTTGCGTTTCTGTGGTTCCCGGCGATGCTTCCACTTGATAAAAGAAGAAAACACCGGTTTGATCCCCACTATTCACGTCGCCAAAATGTCCATCTTCGTCCGACAGACAATCCAAGCTGGACGTCGCTTCGTTGGTTGATTGTGTTGTCGCTGCTGTGGCTGTGATGCTCTCAACCGGCATCGGTGACCCAATCATCACGGGTGTGAAAGTCTTCACGTCCGGCTGTTGAACTGCAGGCGCTGTCCTCCCACTGTTACTGTTGGGTCTAGCAAAAGGGGAAGCAGCCGGTGGTCTGGAAGGCGCTGGTCGCACCATTGGAGTCCACGATGGTCGCGACTGTGGGTTTGCTGTACGATTGATTCAAAGACGAAACAGTCCAGGGGAAAGGATAAGTTCACAGAATCGAAAGCGCATAAACAAATTTTGGTTACAATCCATGCAATAAACATACCTCCTTGATCACCAGGGAGTCTTCGTTGTAGAACTGGATCACTACGTGTCCCTTTGCGAAAGCCTTTCTCGTGTTGAGTTGTAGTATTCTCAGATTGCTTTGCCAAACCTTGCTGATTGTTCGTAATTGTTGTTGCGTTTCTGGTGATGTGATCAGTTGTGTATTGGAATGGAAACTTCTGCTTGGATTCCTCTTGTTTCGCAAATGACGGTGTCCAAGGGAGTTCAGACTGCCAGCTTGCTGAACGAACAAGTGGATAGATGAAACATAATAGATGATCAGACACCTGCACAAACGCGCACAAATTCCACAACAAAGTCAATCAATCAACCCTGTGAACCACCTACCTGCTTCCAAGGTATCCCCACCATCACGTTGTTGCCGTTTCCCTCGACCATTCTCCACGTCCCTAAGAAACTGGTTGTTGCTGATGATTGCCGGAACTTCTTCCCGCGACCCTGCTACCGCCTCATGGTTGTGGGTTCGCAGTCTTGGTCTTATGCCTCTGTTTTTGTCGCTTCCATGGAAACCTGCATCAGTTTCTTCTTTTGATATTCGACTGGAATGAACCTTCCCCTTCCCAGAACTACCACGGTGGTTGTTCTCTGGTAGCTGATCAGCAGGACTCGGTACATCGAGTGATATAAGCAGCGAAGTCGCATGGGTATCCTTCCCATTGGATAATCGGCGGGATAGCGATGGCATTACGTTGCCACGGCACCCTTTTAGTTCGGGGTCTTGGCCCAATCCCATAAGCAGCAGCACCGCTACCAACATCATGGTCCACAACAGCATCCTCAGGACACGACACTCTTCCAGCGCCGTCCTTTGGGAGCGACCTTTGATCCCTGACGAACTCTCCTCCAAGTCGACAACGATTGGCGAGAAGGATGGAGCGTACTCTTGGTCTAATGAACCCAATAAACGAGATTAATCTGGGGCTACCACCATCGTCAACAAGACAAGATCAGGAATTGGTGGATGTATTGTCCCAAATACCAGTGGCTCCAATCAATGGGAAACGAACTTGGCTGCATGCGCTGCTGGGACGGCCTTGCCTCAAGAGGCCACGTTCCCTCCAAAAAGGATTTAAATGACAATGGTCAAGAAATAGAGGCCCTCTCTAAAAGACTCATGATTTATGATTTATCCCAGCAAAATTTACCCAAATTTTAGCCTCTCACTTTTTGCGTCAGTTTTAAAGTTGATAGAGATCGCAACCTGGCCAGACCTATGAGCCATAGCTAGTAGCAGCTAGCTAGAGCTAGACTAGCCAGAGCAATACATGTAGCTGTGGTAGCTTTCACCGCCTTAGCCCTCCGGTAACGATAGCTTCTAAAGACGTAACCCAGTAGCAAAGATCATAGATCTACGCTAGCGTTCCCCAACACCATCTGAAATCCCCGTCCTTCACTTGGCTCAGCGCAACCCTTTCTTTCACGACTTTCTTCCTTTCCGCTCCCTCGCTTTCCTGTCTGGATCATCGTCCATGTGATTCCGGAGTTCTTTCACCAGATTTGCTGGGTCTCTCCTCGATGTACGTCGACGACTGGGATGAAACGTTTGCGGATGATGGGAAGATGACTTGAGAAATTTCAACTCTGAGCTTTTTTTATGAAGAGCAATAGTCCATGGGTGGCTTTTACCAAAGACACGTTCTCGAATCCCACAAGCTTTCTCGATAAGATCTTCGGCATGCTTGAAGTCTCCCATAGCCTGACTTAGGGGCGCTATCAAAACAAACGACTCAGCCAGCAACGGGTGGTCTCGTTCAAAGATAGCTTCCCTGATCGCAAGGGCCCTCTTGTGCATACTCATTGCTTCGTCAAAGCGAGGCGGACCTCGAGCGAAAAGCAGCGAGCCAAGGCTATGCAAAGACAAAGACACAGTTGGATGAATCTTCCCCAGAACAGTCTCCTCCATGTCAAGGCACCGGGTCATGAACCCTTCCGCCGAGTCGAATTTCCCCATAGCACAGAGCACAGAACCCATACTTCCGTAGATTGCAGCTTTTCGGAGGTCTTTTCCCTCGGATGTTGCTTCGTGAGACAGCTTGAGTGCTTCTTCAAACTCAGAGAGGGCTGAGGAGTATACGCCTTTTTCATGTAGCAGAATGCCAATGCATCTCTTTGAGTCTGCAACGTCGGGATGGTGCGAGCCGAACCGAGATACTCGGATTTCTTTACCCTTCAGCAATGCCGTCATTGCGGAATCAAAGTCACCCTTGGCTTGCAGAGCCAATCCCATTTTATGGTAGCCAACTGCAGTATCCGGATGCTCGTCACCAAGAATAGACTCAATAGTATCAAGAGCCTCTTGATACTCACGTATCCCATCCTCAAAGGACCCTTTCTCCAAAAGAACATCGCCTCGAGCCTGAAGAATGGATGCCTTCTCCAGCCCATTCGTACCGGCGACACTTTTGTTCAATGTCGCAGCAGCCAACTGAAGCGTCGAGAGAGCTTCATCGAATTTGCCAGTTGCCTGATGAACCCGTGCAATGTTCTTGAGTGATATAGTGGTTTCAACTGAACTTTGCTGACTGGCATTGCTTTGGCGGATCCGAAGCGAGGAGCGATATTCCTCAAACGCACCCCTGTATTCTGCTTTGTGAAAAAGTGCACTTCCAATGTTGTCATGTTCAGTTGCGACGTCCAAGCTAGGAGACTTCTTGCTTTTTTTGTAAATTGCGAGAGCTTTGCGATGGAACTTCAAAGCCAAATCATAGTTTCCTTGGATACAAAGTAGCACACCAAAGGAAGTGTAGACCGTCGCGGCTTGGAGATGGTCCTTGTCAAGTGAAGAATGAACAATCGAGAGAGACTTCTCGAATTCTGATGCAGCCTCCTTGTACTTGCCCATGGACTTCAAAACACAGCCGAGGTGGCAATGCGATTCTGCTGTGGCGGACGACCTTTTTCCCAAGACTGATTCTCTCACTGTCAAAGATTTTGTTTGCATGTTAAGTGCAGACTCGTGCTCTCCATTGCGTTCGAACAGAAGTCCAATGTCGGTACAAAACGTAGCATAGGCTAGTCGATCGTTGCGCTTCTTGTCTCCCTGACCAAGCATCGAGTAGAGCACGTCGCGATGTCGAACGTGGCCAACCTGTTGCCATGTAGCCACCGTCTCGGCTATGGCACCTCCAAGCCACTGGCGCATGAGTTCGTTGACGAAACGATTGATGACAGCGTAACCCGGGCGCTCTCCAATCATTTCCAGAATTGCCGCGCGATCTTTGTCGACAGAAGCCTGCGCATTTTGTACTCTGGTTTTACTCAGCACGTCATAAAATGCATCAAGGTTTCCCGATTCTTTCTTACCGAACAAGGCGTGCTCAAGAGAGTTCCGCTGCGACGGCGGCATGACCAATGATACGTTGCAGCCAATTCGATGCGCAGTAAAGATCTCGAAAATGCACCAGATGCGTTCGAGATAAGTTGGTCTGTACCAGGGAGTCATCATGGCCAGGATGTGACCAATGGAAGCAACCCGGTCGCCAAAGATTGTGAAGAAGTCAGCAGTGTCCAGCGTCCCTGAGAGCTCGAGCTCCGACTGCTTCACGACGCGCCATTGATTCACGCAGAGGAAGCAGATCCAAACATATGTACGTTTCGGATTCTTCTTGTTTGCTTTGCAAAATGAGTCCAAAGTGTCAATAATATCACCAACCGAGTACCTGTAAAAGCGCGTGACACTTTGAGAACATTGCAGCCGACCAAGCAAACAACAGTATTTTTTCTTACTTCCACGAATATGATAGCATATAGTTGGCAGAGCCTACATTGTCAGCACCCCCTTTACAAGCGTGAACGTAGGATGAACCAAGCTCACCCGAAAGGGGGCAAACTGTGCCCTCTCCTTTCTGACGAATGAATCCGGGAGGACCACGAAGGTCTTCTATTTCGTAAATTGAGTTTGACTTTCCATAGCCAGCTGCGCAAAGGTCTTTAATGAAAGCAGTCTTCAGGTGGTAGACACTCACTGCCATCGTGCTCAGTTTCTTTACACGGGCTTGGGTTTCCTCGACCTTTGATTCAATTTCACTCAACATGACATCATCTTTTCCGTAGATATCTTTTCGTACCTCTTTGCATTGCTGCAGATTGCTTAGAACCATATCGGGTTTCCCCTGTGATTCATGTTTTGCTGCCAAGGCGTATAAGGCACTAGCTTTGAGCAACCTCGCCTCGTCGTGAAGATGCCGTTTCTCTGCAACAATCTCTTGGAATTCAGTGATTCGGCAAGTCGGCAGGTTTTCGCATGTTTGTAGGGCCGACAACGTGCTGCGAATACCCATCAAGGTCTTGTGTGCAGCTTCAAGGCTTGCTTGTGATGTGTGTGGACCTGGTGCCCCATAGTCATGATATCCGAGACATTTCCTGTACTCGTCCAGGAGCCAGAAATGCTTCTTGTCGGCAAGACTAAACCAAGATGGAATGTGATGTGCTTTGTTTTCAAGACAGTTCTCATGCCTGGCACACTTCAATAGTAGTTCCGTGGACTGAACGAAGGGATGACAGCGCCCCAGAAGCTTGGTTTGAACCTCGACAATACTCTGGTGATCCGCCTGAGCATGTGCCTCGGATCCCTTCAACCATTCAAGAATCACTATCTGAGTCCAAACAATTGTCGTGACTAGGTGGTCCAAACCCATCACCTCTTTGAAATGCCTGAGACACCGTCGATGTTCCAACAGCGCACTATCGAAGTCTTGTTCCAAAAAGCGGTTCAATCCGAGTGCATAGACCTTGCCGGCCTTATCAAGTGCCTTGGTCTTTTCTCCTTCATATTCTTGAACCAGTCCATATTTGAAGGGTACGTACATTTGCTCCGCCTCTTCGAATCGTCCTCGGTTAAAGAGGCAGCACGCCGATCGAAATGATGCCAGTTCCTGTTCGTTCTTCCTTGGTTCCACCGAGGCGTTATCAGTACTCACGGCGGTGCTTACATGTGATCCTCGATTGTTGTAATTTTTGACTAGATTGGAAATGTTGCTCTGCAGCGCCTGCAAGTGTCGAGCTTCTCTGAGGCTTGGCGAATGTCTAGCTGTCGTGTGGTGTTTCCTATGGCGACGTGTGTGCATTTGCTGTGCTTTGTCCAAGATCTTCTGACAGAGATCCTGACATACCAAGGAAAGAACGCCCAGGTCTTCCAGATTCAGTTCTTGCTGCTTCCTTTCAAGCAACCGTTTTGTCATGACCACGCAGATCCTTGCACTGGCCACGGCAGCAACATCATGCTGGTGTTCTAGTCCTAGTGCTGCGCAAAAACCCTGCCGCAACCGCAAAAACTCGTTTGAGGAAAGTGCCCCGCTGTGGTGATCGTGGACGATGGAGAACAGGGCACACAATTTGCTGGCGCATGCATTGGCTGTTGCGGCACACTGCTGGCTGCAGAGAAAAAAATTGCAGATCAGGCAGCAAAAGCCTTGGTGTTGCTTTTCTGAATCCTGCCTATGGAGGCCATATTTCCTCTTGACCTTATCTGTTGGCATCATTGTGCGCATGCACATCCAGCAAAAGTGAAACTCGGAATAGAGTCCATCGAGCATTGCTAAGGACTTGATGGTTCGTTTGCTACAAGGAAGAAGCACGTGCGGTCCCAGGGGGCAACATTTGGTTGAATTCGTATCTTCTTCTGTAGTGGGAAGTTGTGTCGATTCGACTGATGCGGAATTGTATTCAGTGTATAGTTCCTCCATTTTCCTGCAAACTCCCGCCAAAAGTTCAGAGTGGCCTGGTCCCAGAAAAGGAAAGATGTGATTCACCCAGATGTCTCGCCTCTGGAAGAGAAGCGGATCAGGTGAGGTAGAGTAGTTTGTTGTGGGTTGTTTGGAATCTTCATCGTCATTATCAATCAAAGCTAGCAGGTCATTTAGAATGCTAACCTGGTTCATCTGACTCTCGACAAGCTTTCGAATGTCAGCTTTCAGGCTATGGACGACGAAGGCCGGATCATCACGATTGGTGACAAAGGAAAATACATTTCCAACATTCGCAGCGATCAGCTCGTTGGCAGCAACAGCCTTTTGCATCGAAGCGACCACATCGTCTGTGCACGTGATTGGATCGACGTCTGCCATAGTAGCGTCTAGCTAGCTCTAGATCATCATCTAACATTAATGGATGGAAGCTGTGAAGTGATGCATGATATATTCAGTTGGTTTTCTGTCGATTGTGCTTTTGTGGGGTTGTGGGAAAAGATTCGAAAGTCGCAAAGAACCAGTGGACGAGTGTGTAACTTTAGATAGTGACGTGACACTCTATGCGGTAATGGTGCGGAAAGTGTGTGAGGCTCCAAGGAGATCTCAGCCAGCTGAGTTATTAATAGTAGTCTAGCTAGCTAGCTGAAGGAAAAGCAAAGCAGTTTGATGCCAATTAGACATTTTTGCTGTACAGTGTACTAGCTAGCTGGCTAGAGACTACTAGCTACTAGCTATCTACTTACATGTACCACACGTAGCTAGTCTACTGGTCGGTACCCTTGCTCCAACTAGTACCTGTATATTATTGGTCCAGCTAGAATGATTACCTCATTGCGCAATGGCATGTGCACAAGGACAAGCCAGAATGTTCAACAACAACATGCAAGAAGATAAACAGAGGAACGCAACTACCACGGCAGCAGAGAGGCAACAAAAATCATGGGGATTTAAGAATGCCGTGGTTGGGGGGGGAATAGTTGGAGGGTATATTCGGGTACTAAAATTCTAACAGACATCACCAAACTCTTCTCACTCTTCAATAAAAGCTGGTGCACGAGCAAACTGCACAATGAAGATTAACAGCTTCGATCGGTGGATCCAGCAATCGTTGACTATTACAAGGTAAGCGGCCTATTATCAAAACAAAGATTGGCGGAAATGGCCCGTATCCTACATTCACGAGTATCCAACCAACCTTGCATATATCTGAGGTATGTTTATCAAACCTAGAGCGATGGCTCCTATTGATCGATCAATATGGTCTCTTCTAATGAATGCATCTGAGACCTGAATGTAAGATACGAATCTATAAGGTACCTTATCAAACCTGAGGGTAAGGTTAACCCTACAATACAGATCCGTAACCACCCTTCACTCTCTGCAAGGTAACCTTGTGGATTGACATCAAAGAGTGAAACAAACCTGGACCTAGCTCTGCTATTGATTCATAAGTTGTCTATCTAATGGAAGGAATGATCTATTGGTTGGTATCGGCTTTCTATTATCTTACTAGTTTAGTTACATCTATCTTTCGAAAGAGGTCGGTCGTCGACTTGTCAACTTAGCCAATCCACCAAGTCCTTGACGACCGACTTGTGCATGCAGGAAAATTGATACCGACAGAGGAATCACCACCAAAACACTAGGAAATAACACTGGAGGGATGAATCCAGTAGTAGGATCCACTCTCTTGTGTGTTGTTGGCTCGCTCATGTTCCCTTTTCAATGACTTGACGACAATCTACTCCGTTCAGACTGTTGCTAGGGCTGGAGTTAACAGTCTCCTCTGTATCGGTAGCCTCTCTTCTCGTTGTTATCCGGAGCGATCGTTCATTCGAAAATGACTCGACAATGGATTTCCTTGGCCGTCAGCAGTGATAGAATAGAAAATAAGGAATAGATATAGTTTTCTCTTCTATTCTGATACTACAGACGACCGGAGACTTACCCTTGTTTTTCAAATTGCATCAACTTGGCCGCCATGAGCTGAGAACTGACTGTCATCCCATGGTCCATAGGATTCAATGAGAGATGGCTTTTGAATCTGCACCGGAGAAGGACGGCTTGAGTGATGCTTGATAGAAAAGGTGCAGCGATTCGACTCGAATAATTAAAACAACTCACCTGTTGACGGCCGAGAACTGAATGCCTGCCCATGGCTGGTCCATAGAATGAATGAGGGATGGCTTTCGAATCTACACCTTCAACAAACACTCTTGATACTAGGCTTACCTCGATTCAATAGATCGATTTAACTAAGGCCGATTGGAGTGCATGAGGATAAAGCACTCACCATTGTTGTCAGTCAAGCTGATATTTCTCTCCTGTTTACCATAGGAATTCAATGAGGGAGAGAATTCAGTGCTGCGCCTTCAATAATAACACACTTGATAATAGACTTACCCGTAATAGTAGTAATAGTAGTAGTACTAGTAGCGATCAGCCGCTCCTCCACTCCACCATTGTGTTGCTATTGTTGTGGTGGATGAGTGAGGGGGCGGGCTGCTTTGGAGTGTGCGTCTTGTCAACTGTCCTGATAGGGATGACATCACATTCAACCAACTTTCTTTGTCCTATTTTCTGTCTTGTGGTTGCTTCAATTAGGAAAGCATCTATCCCTTCAGCTGTCTCTTCAGTGGTGCTTTTTTTCCGTGGGGAATATGGTTGGTCCCTAAAATGGTACTATTAATAGTACGTCTGCAGCACTGTAAAGTTTTCAATGGAACCTCCAATTCCGTTACCAGATGTAGATCACCCCATAGCTTTTTCTTCCCATAGCTTTTTCACATCGGATCCCATGCTATTTGTCATGTCTACTTGAATCTGTGTAAGCAGCAATAGGCGTGGGCTTTACCATGGCTGTGCCAACCAGTTCAAAAGCCTCCGTATACCTGATTGAAAAATTGGTCCTGCCACTGATGTTTTGATAGTGGAGCTCTGCCAAAAAATGTTTTAACTAGCCCCCTTTGAAACCCCCATCATTAAGTCGCGAGGAAACCTCACGGATTACCAGAGAGGTCCGGTACGGTAAAGGTACCACTACCTGGTACCGTACAGTACTGTACGGTTTCCTCACCAAAATGATCGAGACCATGCAAAATCCACACTGGGCATGAACGGTGCCATTCCGTCCGCCTCTGCTACAAGCTCAATGACTGCAAAAACTGGACCGCCTCCGACGGACAACTATGCATACAATCGAATCAATCTAACCCACTTGGAGCGCGTTCAGAGTAGAAGCTGCCCAAGTCACCCGCAAGGATTCGATTCGCCAACCGCCAGCAAGTTCTTCAAGAATTCCTGACCTTTCAGGCAACAGTGAAGCCCTAACCAAACTAACTACCCACGGGAGCCATTGAGGAAACTTTAAATTCAAGGCCTAAAGATGACATTTCGTTTTCGCCCAGCTTTCACCTATTGACCAATGGGCAATCTCCATAGTACTGATTTCTATCCCCTTTCTGCAAAGTTCTGGCTGCTCTCGTATGTCCACTCTTCTAGGTATCAATCCAGGTTTTGAAATTCTCCTTCCCTCTCTTTGAAACTTCCCTGAAATTGTAACTGATGAGCATTTCCATATAGCATATCGGAAGCACCCAACCTCAAGTGCATCCATCAGTGTTGCCCCAAACTTCTTGTTGGGAGCTTTCACAGGGCTGATGGTGCAGTGTGGTGATGGATCTCCTTCTGATAAAGAACCGGATATCGATACCTAGACTACCGTACCGGTGCAGTGTACGATGTATGCATATTAATTTTTTAAAAATACAGTACTAGTACTGGTACACACGTCAGCAGCGGCCCATGCCCAACACCAGATAATAAATAGTGCAAGCATGGCAAGCTAAGACGGTCCCCCGGTGTCTTAGTAATTAGGACCGTCGCAAAGTGGCTCATTTTTTCCAATCCACCCAACTAACTTTGTTCTTCCAAAAAATGGAATTTTGTGGACCAGGGCAGCATTTTCAATGCGAGCATGTCCATTCCACATGGCTTTCATGGTGGATAGCTTTGTCAGAACAAAAGGCGGCATGGCATGAATCCATTGCATCGGTCGTTTCACATCAAACTCTTGCTATAGAGCGTCATCTGTTCATCACCATGAGACCGCTCGAAGCAGTGCTGTTATTGCTATGCGCATCTCATTCCATGCTAGGCATAGATGCAAGAGGCCACAGAATCAGATTGAATACCTATGATACCAACAGAGGGAATGAGATCCAAAACAACGGTGGTGATTCCAGGGCATCCAGCAAAAAACCGATTCGGGGTGTTCCTATCAGGGGCAGGAACAATGTCTTTGGAGATGTGGACGAAGGAGAGGGCAGCTATGAACCAGATGCTCTCAATGGGTATTATTCATGGGATGAGACATCTACAAGGAACATCGATGCAACAAGGGGGAAACAGAAGAACCGAAAGCCAAAAAGGGGTAGAATGGAAAAAGACCGATCAAGACAAGACTATGATAACGTTGTTCTCGTAGAAGAATCTTCAGAGGATCCGGGATTTGTTGGGGAACAAGGCACGGGATTTTCAACAAAGACACCATCGGCACCAGCTCAGAGACCTACAGACAAACCGACGCCGCGTCCCTCACGAGAGCCTACGCCTGAGCCTACTAATGTTGCAACTCCGAGACCGACAAATAGACCGACTCCGAATCCAACCCCAGAAATCACTGAAGCTCCAACCTTCTACCCCAGTCAGAAGCCCGTTGAGACCCCAAGACCAACCATAATAACGAGGCCCCCAACAGAGCGACCAACACCGAATCCAACACAACCTCCAGAACCAGAGCCACAGCCCACCGGGACGGATGTTCCGATACCCCCAGCACCTTCTACAGCGTTTTGTCGAAGTGACGCCGACGGTGCTTTTGGATCTATGAACGGAAAGAGCACAGAAGTCGATTATCTTTATCAAATCGAACTATTCTTAGGGCTCTCCATCCAGGATGCAACAGCACAAGTGGAACAAGAACTAGTTGACTTGCTGCTTCCTAAAATGTTCCCACAGCAATGCAGGTTAAGGCGAAAACTTCAGGCTGCCAAGGCTGCCTATGTCGGAATAAGCACAATGCCATCGGATTCCCATATTCCAGGATGTAAGTGACCAAAGAAAAAGTTTGGTTGTTATTTGAATTGGTCCGCTCACACTTGATGTATTTCAAACCATAGTTGCTTGTGTTGGCAACTTTGTCGAGCCATGTTTTGTGGTGAGGGGCTGGGTTACAGTGTATTCGGTCAACATACCTCCTGACACCGTCGCAACTGAAGTATCGGGTTACATTTATGATATCTTGGAAAGTGGACAGATAGAGGAGGAAATAATGGATGTTCACAGAATTAGATCTCTTCGGGCGCCCAGCATGATGGAATCACCCAACAACCCTGAGAAAGTACCAGTCGCAAGTGCGGCGGTGTCAAACTCGGCGGGGACTCAGTCGTCTCCATCATCAAACCGCCTACCTCCTGCCAGCAACAACCCTCTGCAAGCGGGTATAGTTGATTCCCCTCTTTCCTCAATGACGTCGACAAACCCCCCATTACAAACAAATGAACCCTCTGAGAACACATCGTTCCTTCTAAGAATACCATGGTGGTTATGGCTTCTCATGCTTCTGTTCATATTGGTGCTCTGGGCTTTGATGGCTGCCGTCGAGAAGAAACTAGAGTTACGAAAAGAATCAGAATCAGAGGAGAAAGCACTTGCCCTTGAGAAGAAAGCCCTCGCACTTGCGAATCCAGCCGAATGAACGAGAGCTGCGAATAGAAAAGGCTAATTTCCCCCCCAAAATGAGTTTGTCTACCAGCTAGCCACTAGCGACCTTAGTAGGATTCAATCGATACAAAAGCATGGGTTTTGCTTTGCAACTCTGTAGACAAGTACCCAACTTTTCGTAGCAGGGGATTCTTCTAGCTAGCTGGTGCGTACAACCAGATAGCTATACGGGAAGTAGTGCATCAGCATTGGTGCCGTTTTCTGTAAAGCTTGGTGGAGTAAGGCTGTGGACTCAAAAACCAGCTGATAGAAAAAGATGTGCCTACTGTTCTTATGCTGTTACAATGTACACTGTGCGCATCTTCACAGATGCTATTGTGTGATCAACGTGTCCCAAAAGCTTTGCCGTTCGTCCAGGAAAGCCTTTGTTGGATCATGGTGCAGGTACGGTAGCTGGAAACCTGGTGGCTTCCCAATCCGAGAGCACGTCAAGTGCTCGGCTGCTCAAAGCCCCGTTCCAAGTTTCCTTGTGAACGTTTGTTGCTTTCGAAGCCTCCGTTTCAGCACTATGGTATATCCTATCCCAAGAATTACCCCCACCAAAAACGAATCAGTGAATTGTTCTGCAAGCCGCATCACTCGACACACTGTTCGACAAATTCGCTCGGAACTTGGATTTCGTTTAGTGCATTGTCTAGTTCGCTTTGGAGGTCGCTGCCATCTCCTGAGGGCTGCCCGAAGAAACCACTGACATCTGGTGGGAAGAATCCGTTTGTGGGTGCGCAGGTTGGCTTGTCTGTAATGACTGGGGTAACCGTGGGTGCATCTGTCTCTGGAATAGTGACTTGGGGTGTTGGTACATACGTTGGAGATGGGGTGTAAACAATGACGGACATGGCCATCATTCCCTTGGATCTACTAGTACTTGCTACCGGTGACCGTCCTTTGCCCTTGCCTTTGGATTTGCGCGATTTGGAAGCACTCTTGCTCTTTCCCTTTCCTCCTTTGCCCTTTCGGCTCTTGCTCCTTGAAGATGCGTAATAGACGTGCTCTTCCATCATGATTTCTTCCATGGCAACTTCTGTGGGAGCTTCGTGTCCATCTCGGCCCTGTCGGTTGGTTTTGCGGAAATCCCTGTCAAGTTGTATGGTGGAATGGGTGGCTCTAGAAGGTATGCTAATGACACGGGGTTCATCTCGAAAAGGGTCCTCGTATGCCTTTCGCTTCCTTGCTAGCTCTTTCCTCAATTCTGCGGCCTCGAATATATTGATGAGCGAGCGACGCTTAAAGGCTCCTCCTTCTTCTAGTTCACCCCTCATCTTGGCTTCGACGGAGAGCAACAACAGAAAAAGCCACAACACTCTCCGTGGTCCGTTCATGGTTTGATCTGATCTCTTCTTTACTTTGAGCGAGGTATCTTCTTTCTCTTCTCTGTAAGCTTCTTCTTTGACACAGCTGCAGCTAATACGACGACAAGTATAATATCCTCAAGGCGACTGAATATTCCGCGTACCAAACCGAATTTGGGTATCTGCTGGGTTCAATTGAGTCAGTCCAATTGATGACTTGCTCTAAAAATGTGACTGGACGAACCAGAAATTTGAGACTCTGTAATTAGTCCAGGATACTTAGGGAAGTACGAAACTCTTTTGGCTAAATACATAACAAAAAGTCTGGAGAAGCTGTCACGGTCCAGCTTCCTCACAATTTGGTTTCAATGGTCCCATCATTGCCCAATGCCATCGAGGACGTAAGGGAGTTCACAAAGCTGAGCCACTGTTGGACGAAGGATTTGATCGTACTGAAGACAGCTTCGGATGAACTCTTTGGCCATATCCGAGATACTTCGCTCTTGGGGGAAATTCACTTCTTTAGCGTTCAACATGGTATGATCTGACAACAGTCGATCTTGAGTCATCCCGTGGCCAAAGGGTCGCTTCCCATAGAGCATTTGGTAGAAAATCACTCCAATCGACCAGGTGTCCACTTTGTTGCTAATGCGGACTGTCACATCCTCTTCCATGATGAAACATTCTGGAGGAAGATACCAGTAAGTTCCTGCGCCTTGACTCGTCAGCTCCATGCTTTGGCCTACAAGATGAATGAGAAAATGGAAAGGTGAGCGTACTAGTATGCTGCCATCATGGCGGGGTAGTCATGGGCGTGTCACTTGCCTGGGTCATGGTGTTCCACAATCTTGCTCAACCCAAAGTCAGTAATCTTGGCGTCTCCTTGGGCATCAAACAGAATATTGCCTAAAAGATGAAGGAGAAAAGGGATGTGTTAGCCATGGCAATTGCGCAAGATTTGTTTCCGTCTCATTCGTTCATTCACGCGCACCTGGCTTGAGATCGTAATGTATAATGCCTTGTCGCCTTCCATCTGCAGAAGGGTGAGCGAGGTAGTTCATTCCGGAAAGAATCTGCAATAGAATCGCTCTAGCAGCTTTCTCTGGCAGTTTCCCTTGTTGCTTCAGTATCGTTTCCAGGTCAGTCCCGCCACAGAGCTCCAGAACAGTGCAGAACGAATTGGCGTCGACTTCAAAGACGTCTAGCAATGACACAACTCGAGGGTGGCGCACACTGCGGTGGATATCGTACTCTCGAGACACGTGCTTAGTATAGTTTTCCTTCTTCTCGTCCGACCAGCGAGGATCCAGTTCATGGATCTTGACAGCCACTTCTTGCAATGCTTCCACATCGAAGGCACGCCAAACTTCACTGAAGCCGCCTTTTCCCAACAGTGACATCAAGACGTAGCGATCGTTGAGCTGATTAAATATCAGTTGGAATAGACGAATAGACCGAATAGAGTGTCAGCAACACATCTTTCAGGCAAGCTTATGGGCGTGAACAATCAAGATAAGGGAAGTACCCATTCCGTACCTTGCGACGATCCCGAAATCTCGAGGCATCTTCGCTGTTAAGCCGCTTCCATGCTCGTACATGTTCGACCTTTTCTTCCTTGAGCTGCTGTTCTTCGGCTTGCAGATCTTGTAGCTTTTTCGTAACCGTGTCAAGATGAAACCGTGCCGATTCTGGGAGGAACGCGATATGTGAGTGGCATGCTGCCATGGCCTCGTCTCGTCTCGTGACAGTGCGACACCCAATAGCCGTCTTACCTAAAGCCTCTATGGCATCTAACTTGGACTGGATCCTCCTTCCTTCCCCCGCCAATGTGCCTTTGTCCTTCTTGGCTGCTTCCTTGTTTTCCTTGTCCGCATCCTGATGATTGGACGCATTCTTCTGTGCATTGGCATGTCGTTCTTCTAGCTGCTGCTTTTGCTCCAAGAGATCGTTTCGCCGTTCCTTCAATCTTCGCGTTGCAATACCATCCTCCCAATTCTCGACAATCCTCATCCCAACACGGGCATAGATTATTCGTCCGAGCCGGGTCGCATCGGCAGCCAACCGTTCTCGAGTGGCCTGGGCTTGGTCGAATGCCTGTTGTCGCATCAAGTCTTCAATCACCGATCCCACTTGGCCGCGATAGGAAGCAGTCTTTTGCTTTTCCAAGACCAACTCTTGCTTGGCCTGTTGGAGTGCTGATTGCGTGGCTGTTTGGAGGATGGTCCGATTGTTAGAGACGGCCTTCAACTGGGCCTCCTTTTCTTGACACAATTGTTCCATTTGACGGCATTTTTGTTGGAGCTGCGCTACTTGTTGATTGGGACTGGGAGTTGCAGCTAGATTGCTAAACTTTCCAGTGGCGCCTAGAGAGGGCCGACGAGGCGTAGTAGGTTGTTGTTCGGTGACTCCCTGAGAAGATGCCTTGTTCTTGGCCGTGGTTCCCTTGGTATTGTCCGATGCGCTCACTGCCGAGAAGAAATCGCGAATGAGGCGGTTGTTTTTGGGTGGCTTGTGTTTGGTACTACCACTGGTGCTGGTCCTGACAGGCGTCTGGTTGGAACGTGAGTTTGTATTGGCACTTGCCAAGGTCCCAGCAGCCTGAGCGGTAGAAGAGGATTCTTTTGCACTGGCGTGATTCTGAATATTTCCTTCGGATGATGAATGATTGCTCTTGGTATGAGTATCGGTGCCTGAGAATTGCAATTTTGTGCGCTTGCTTTCACCGTCATTGTTGTCTTTGTTGTTTGTGGTGGAGGAAGACTGTCGACGGGTTTGTTTCTTGCTCTTGGAGGGTTCCAGCTTGACCGGGGTGGACTTGCGCTTGGAAGAAGTCCTTTGATGGTTGTTGTTACTGGCAGTGGTCCTGTCCATGTTCAAAGCACGGGGGCTGCCTTTGGATTTTTTGGCGCCAGGTTGCTCCAGCAGTTCGGGAGGAGACTCTTTGACAATCTTCGCTGTTTGCTGACTTTGATGCGATCTCTTGACGGTCTGATAAGACGAGTTGGAAAAGGCTGGTTGGCTGTTGCTGTCGGTAGTGGCCAAGTCTTGCTGTGCAATTTTCCGCATGTGTTCCTCCGCAGCTCGACTGACTGCTTCCAATGTGGCAGATGGAAATCCTTTTTGCGTGGACTGATTCTCTCTTCTGAGAGCATTAGCAAAATCAGGGGACGATGCCGAAAGCGTGGGTGCATCAAATTGAAACGATTGCTGTGAAACTGCGGGAGACGAGAGTGGGTCCAACAGAGATGCGTCCAATGATAAGGGCGGTATACCCTTCAATTCAGGTTGCGGCGGATTGGGATGAGTTGGCATTCGAAGCCGTGCTTCCAACAGATCCAGACGATCAGCCAGGTTGGCATGGGCTCCTGGTGTACCGGTAGACGCTGTGCGCCTCTCCTCCTTATTAGACATGGCTCTCTTGTTTGTTATCTATCTTTGGGTATATTGGTATCTGGAAGCTAATGATGATGGATGAATGATAATCTGGATGATGGGCAGCCACAGCATTGCATGGCGCCTTTTTTCGCCGGCCCTGACCTCTTCGCGCCATCAGCAGACCATTTTAATAAGCCAGTCAGGTCACTAAATGATTCCTGTCCCGAAACCTTCTTGAAAACTGTGGGAAGACAGAAGGTGCATTGAATGAAACCTAGCTTGGCTCGTACATTTACTCGTACATGTACCGGTACATGTACTGGGCTTGATGCCAATGCTAGCTAGCTAGCTAGCTGGTAGGTAATAGTATGGTCTAGCTAGAAGGAGGCTTTTAGCTTGGGGTAATTGAAGATCGACTATTCTGTCTGCTGGGTAGAGTGAGGGGCTACTTGGAACGATTGAAGGGAGACTAAACTAGAAGGTCAATTGGTCGGAACGGATCATGCTTGGCAGAGATCCATCCAGGATCCAAACCAAAGAGACACTATAGGTTTCCTGGGCAGCTGAAAGCTTGTGGAAGGTTTGGTTGTTTTAGGTAAAGAACAGACAGCCGTAGGCTAGTGCCCTCAACTAGCATTTATCTAAAGGCAAAGGTTTCATTTTTTGTCTGTTTCTTAAAGGCAAGGCTAATCAGTCGCTTTGATAGCTTTAATCTTACTAGGGGAAACCGCACCATATGTACGTGTTCGCTTTGATAGCCTTAATCTTACTAGGGAAACCGCACCCTATGTACGTGTTCGCTTTGATAGCCTTAATCTTACTAGGGAAACCGCACCATATGTACGCGACACACACACACACACACACACCACAACACACACACACAACACACACACAAGATAAAGTTCAAAAGGCCCTCAGCTTGCTAGCTGGTAGTTGAGGGCAAAAGGCCCGCTTTTGGTTATTGTTGCCTCCCATGCCAGGAACATGAAGGCATCGGTATACGCGGTACCGGTGGCCATGGTTTTCCGAAGTGATCCAGAGCGTCGATAGTCGCCGTTTTTAACTAAGAAAAATGAGACAGCCGGGTCGTTTCTGGCCAAAAAATGGAGTGCTCTATCCAAACTCCTTGCTTCCTTTTGTTGTGGAACTTTGCATGGCCGTGCTGCATGCATCAGAAAGAGCAATCAGACGAAGTTTTCATCCAAGCGATCCAGCTTCTACAGAACTGTCATCCCTCCAGTGTTTTCACATGGTGATGTGACAATGCGGATACCAAGGGTTGTGCTGTTCCTGCTAATCTTTGTTCTTGGGGCGTGCAGTGGATTGGGTGCGACGCGGCGGCGTGGCAGCAACATTTTCAATGGACGGACGCATCATCGATCAGGAGGCAAGGGGAATGGGGGCAAGGGGCACTATACCGACACGGCTGCCGAAGGTGACGAAGAGCTTCCAATGCTGATTCTGGCATCCAGTACTAGTAGTAGGCGAAGTAAGGGAAAGGGGTACACCAGTGCGAACGTGGCTCTAGTTGAGGAAGAAGACGAAGACCTACCAATGTTGTATCTGGCAGGTAGCAGCAGCCGAAGCAAGGGAAAGGGTGGCAAAGGCAAGGGGAGTTACTATTCCATGTACTCCTACCGGCATTCCAAGAGCCGCAAAAGTAGCAGGAGTTACGTCGTGGAGGAGGAGGAAGTACCACCGGACGAAGTACCGATAGTAGTAGCCACCGACGAACCAACCATCATACCCGCCAATACCATCCTTCCAACCCTTGCCCCTACAGTTTTGGTCGACCTGGACGCTGATATTCCTGCCAGAAACGGCAAGCGATGCACAGTTGATACAACCCAAGGAACGTTTGGGTCCTTGCGAGGAGATCCAACTGTGGCAACTTATATCTACCAAGTTGAGACACAACCAGAAATAACACGACAACAATTTCAAACTGAAATCATCCCTCAAATCGAGCTAGCCACGGCCGATGGAATGGTTCCGTACATCTTTGGGCAACTTTGCAACTTGTTTCGGCGGGAGCTCCAACAAGCCAATTCCATGTACCTGGGAATCAATATCAGGCCCTCGGATGAGGTTCTTGACGACAGTAAGTTCACACTCATTCAATAGATCTGGACGAAAAACCAATGTTCTGCCAACTCAGACTGTCTACACTTTCTCTTTCATTCAGCTGACTGCAGCGGTGCGTTCTTTCAGCGTCCATGTTATGTCGTCAATGGACTCATGACACTCTACACTGTGGGTAAAACGTCAGAGAAAGTCCAGGCAGAAACAATCTGGATAATCAAGAATCTAGACGAGAAATCTATTGCCAGCACAGTTCCAGGAGTCAACAAGATTGTAATACGGGGATCGCCAGCTGTCATTGCACCCGAAACTGCAAGCCCAACAATGCCCATGGTAGCCCCTGATTTGACACCCATGCCACCACCCAGCCCAGCAACGCCCATGGTAGTCCCCGATTTGACACCCATACCAACCGTTACCGTGACAGCACCTCCCACGCCAGCAATGACAACCACGATGGAACCAACAGTTGCATCCACGACAATTGCTCCCAGTCAAAATGCTCAACCACTGGTCCAAGAACCCAAATCACCCGAAGAAGGAGAAGACGAAAGTGGTTTGGCATGGTGGAGATGGTTTTTGTTTGCAATCATTCTTGTCCTTACAATCGTGGCAATTGTCGTTGTTTACAAGAAATGCGACAACAAAGAAGTGCAGAATGGGCATTCGACATTTGATCATGAAGAGGAAGAAATAATGTAGTCTCGATTCTGAACCGATTGAGTCATTCCAATAGTCAGAGTCCGTCCTTGCTTTTGAAGCAGTCTGCATTTGAGGGTACCAGTATCTTGCATCATCAACAAGTGAAACAACGCTCAACTACACGAGATTGCTGGAAGAATCGAATCGTCTTTTTTGCGACGATGCAAGAATAACTGTACATGTATAACTATTGTAACAACACAGAAAGAAAACTCGTTTAAGCTGGGCTACAGTGCTAGCTAGTACTAGTAGTTGATTCGAAACCAGTACTTCTTTCCATCAATACCTAGACTACCGTATCATCGTGTTACATAGTCTACATGGTGCGGTTCGGAAGCAACGAGCCGTGGGCCACGATCAAGCCGCGCTACTGAAAATGTGAGGAGCTCAATGGGTGGCCAGTTCGGAACGCGACTTAGACATCTTGCGCACTTAAAATTCATATTGTCTAACTATTGGAAGTCACCGTGGACATTAATGGCATCCGAATGCCCTATGTAACCAAATCTCAGTAAGAACCTTGTGCTTCATCTTTTCGACAGAGTGTTGGCATCAACACGGAATGAAATGCAATGAAACGATGAAGGGACTGACCTCGCAATGGTGCTAAGCATTACGACCACGAAGCCAAAGCTCATCAAGCCGTTACTATAACTCAACCATGAGGTATATCTTTTTCCTATTACTGCTGCTGTACATACCAGCGAGTGATTCCAAAGGCACCCAAACACGCTACAAACGGCGGAAACTGCAAAGTCATGGAGGTGTCCGAGGGCAGAACAATGATGTGAGGATACTCAACTCGGGTAACAACATCTTCAATATGAGAAGAGAACCATACAAAGATCCATTTGCTGGTGAACCAAGGTACTCTGGGGTCATGGAGATCACCTTTTATCAAGCCCGCATGATGGCGAAACCAAAAGTTGCTGGGACAATGGGGGATACTACGAGCAGCACGACTGCTGCAGCAGGCCAAGACGACCTACCGATACTTGACATTACGCTGCCAACCAAGGCGTTGATGATCAGGAAAATGGGAATGAGACCAAACAAGGGGTATGCATCGCCCACCAGGGCACCTTCCGTGTCTCAAGAAGATTCGGAAGAGGAACTACTACCGCCATTTGAGATTGTAGAAGAATCATTGGATGAACTGATACTGGTGCTGGAAGAATCGACGACAAGCTCGTCAAGAAAATCATACTCTTACAAAAAGGGAACCATGGGAAAAGGTGGCATGATGCAGAGGCCGCCATCATATAGCGTGGATGTGGAACCAACAATGATGCCAGTCCAGGCCAAGCATAGCAGCACCTCAAAATCAATAAGCACAGAAACAATCTCCCAAAAGTCCAAGAGATCCAAGTCAAGAAAGAAAGGCATGGGGATGATGGACATGTTCACTGAGCAACCAACAATAGCACCCACTCCCATGCCGGTGCCACCGCATCCCATGACGGTTCCACCCCAAACTCCAAAACCAACCACGCCGCCGTTTTCTTGCATGGTCGATGCGTCCGGCAATGCTGGAGCAACTCTCGGGGATACCACGCTTTATGATTTCTTTTATCAGCTGGAAGTGTCGCCTGGAATGACTGCTGAGCAAGTCGACGACAACCTGCTGGGTGATGTGGAAGTAGCCATGGCAAATGCTCTCATCCCGGATCTCTTTCCCAAAGAATGCGGTGACACTAGCCGACGGTTGCAATTGCAACTGAATGCAGTGTTTGCCACCACTGGACGTTATGCTGGCATAAGTACAACGCCCCCCGACTTTGTTCTCGATGGATGTACGTAGTCAGATCTTGGCGAAACGTATACTGCCAGTTTCAACCTCTGTTCACCTAACACTCTTGCGTGCTTGCTTTGTCGCGACAGTTTCGTGCAGTGGTAGTTACATTGAGCCATGCTATGTGGTCGCGGGCGCATTGACAATCTACTCGTTGGGGCTATCAGAAGAGCAAATAACAGTGGATGTAGGCTTGGGCATTCAACAGCTTTTCTTCAGCAATCGACTGGCAGACATTTCCGAAGACATTGTCGGCAGCACCTTACTGGACAATGATCTCAATCCCGTCACTCCTCCTCCCATGCCAACCACGCCACAACCTACAATGATTGCAACACAGGAACCCACAGCGGAACCAACTCAAGTCCCCACGGCACAACCCACACCTGAGCCTGTTCCACCAACAATTACACCAACTGTGGCCACTAGTCCTCCAACAATATCACCCACACAAGGGACAAACCCTCCTACCTTATTTCCAACTTCAGTCCCAGACACACAGGAGCCAACACCGGTAATAGACCCACAAGCGCCGACTCTACAACCTACTTTGTCCAACTTCCCAACCATGGGCACACCGGCGCCATCTGTCATCGGAACTCCACAACCAAGTATTACGAGCACACAACTTCCAACGTCTGGTGGAACATCAGTTCCAACGTCTGGTGGAACATCAGTTCCAACGACGCTTCCGACACCTCCAGTGCCAACAACACCTGTTCCGACTTTGACACCGACAACCTCCTTTTCACCCACGATGTCGCCGGCACCGACGACAAACAGCACTGAGGTTCCAACCGCAGTCCCAACGATCGCGACAATGGTACCCAGTGCAGGGGAATCTGAAGAAGATGGGGGCACTCCAGTCTTCCCCTTGTGGGCTTGGATTGTGCTCGGCGTTGGTCTTGCAGTGCTTTGTATGATTTGCCTCTTCCTTAATCGTGCGCAGGGCCATGTCGTTCTGGATGAAGGCGGCGGTAAGGATGACAAACTCGGCGGATATCAACAAACACAGTCTCAATTCTCCAACGATGATTTAGAACCCGCCTATGAACCGCCATCGTACCCCGTTACGCAACCCATGCAACCGACACCACCTGCCGAGCAGCCGAACCCGTATCTTCAGGGAACGTACAATACAATCCCACCTACTACGACAATTCAACCGGTCCAAACCGAAACGTACAGCGACTCTGAGGCTGACAACGACGAAGGCAAGGACGGCGATATTCCACCAGACATTGCACTCGACCCCGAACAAGGGAGCCTTGTTGACAATGAAGAATACGAAAACGAGGAGTACGAAGAGGAAGACGACGAAGAAGAAGGTACGTAGGTTTTGCGAGAATTCGACAATTGGAGAGCGCATTCGAGTTTCTAAGCTATGCTCACTCGGTTGACCCGATCTTGAACCCAACAGAAGAAGAAGAAGAAGAGGATGACGAGGAGGAGGAGGAGGAGGAGGAGGAGGACGAGGAGGAGGAGGAAGATGACGAGGAAGAAGAGGAGGGGGGGGAGGAAGAAGAAGAAAGCGAGGATGAAGGCGGAACGTACGTATTGCATGTGTCGTGAAGTTGTTTTGCATCGCACGGCGCCCTCACTCAATCTCAAACGTCTCCTTGTGAAACTGTAGAATCCTCGGTGAATTCCAGGTCGTTGAGGTTGCTGGATTTCAAACTGAAGACGACGACGACGACGACGAAGAAGAAGAAGAAGAAGAAGAGAGTGAAGAAGCAAGTGGAGAAGTCGAAAGTGGCGACGAAGAGGAATACGAGGAGGGGGAGGAAGAAGAGGGTAAGTGGTGTCATGCAATTTGAAATGTGTTTCAATGACATGCTATAGTCTCAACCAATCAACTGTATTCTCAAAACCTCTAGAAGAATATGAGGAGGAAGAAGGAGAAGGTAGGTTTGAAAAGTTTCGTACTAGTGGTTGCAATGATGTATACAATCTCTCACAACTTGGCCCTAAATTCAGAAGAGGAGGAGGAGGAGGAAGAAGAAGAAGAGGAGGAGGAAGAAGAAGAGGAGGAGGAGGAGGAGGAAGAGGAGGAGGAAGAAGAAACAGAAGCAGAAGGGGAAGAAGTGGAGGGAGAGGAGGGAGAGGAGGAAGATGAAACAGAAGCTGAAGAGGGGGCAGCGGAAGAAGCCGTAGAAGAAGAGGAAGTCGATGAAGACGATGAGGGCTCCAGCGATTACGACGAGGTGAGTGGCTTGCCTCGACAATGTCAAGAGTTCTACCATTTCAAGATAGCACTCTACCCTTTCGAGAGCATTCTGTTTCTAACCGTTCCTATCTGGGGTGTTTTCTGCTTCAATAGGAGACCTACATTGAAGAGGGAGAAGAAAGTTCCTACGACGAGGTGAGTGCGGTCAACGCGTCTCATCTGATCTGTTGCATCGCAAAGGGTCAAAGATCGCGTTTTTCTGGGTTGGATCTCATCCGTCATTTCTTGTTTGCCTGTTAAAACGTTTAGGAATCCTATGGCGAGGCAAGCTACGAAGAAGAGATTATCGAAGACGACGACGAAGAGGGCGAGCAGTCCTGGTTGCAAGAACTTCAGGAAGCACAGGCAGGAAACTATCCAAAGTAGATGTCACCGCCATGAATGATCTCCAAGCGAACATGCCGCAAGACTTTGGCACCCCGGTTTTGACCTGCCTCAGCAAGCAGACTGCTGAACTGTCCTGTTTCACCTCGGTCTCAACCGTATCAATCGACAATCTATCCCAAGTGCCACGCAGCACTCGAGCCGCGGCCCAGTGGCCCAGTTCTGTTCGCCTCGATGTAGTACTTGCACTACTGGTACAACTACTAGCTACATGATGTATGTACCAATGAATCAATCCCTTTGGTGACCGGGGCTGCGGTGCAAACAATTGTCTTTGCTGCAAAGGCCCGCAGCTTGCACAGGTGGCCTGGAGATGCGGACATAGGCCTGAGGGCCAGGTCTTTCAGACCAGAATGAAGACGGTCCCCGGCTTATATTCAGCTAGCTAGCTGGCGAATGGACTCGATGAGTCCAATGCCACTCGAGCTCGCACGGTACTGAGGTACCGTTGGCTACTCCGGCACTAGGTTCCACGATGTGCTGAAAATTAGCAGAGTAACTATCTACCCGGGTATCCAGCTAGCTCAACATTGCATTTTTAAAGTCGTCCAATAGAGTACTTCAATGACAACACAAGTAGCTATAGGGTACATGTCAGCAACTCCTACTGCTAGCTAGACAACGCTCTGAAATCTATCAGGAAACCTCATCCGATCGCGGTTTCCCAAAGAGCGCAGATAAAATATACCCTATCCTTAACAGACACAAATTACCCTTGTCTCTATCATCCTGCTGCCAGACAGGTCAGATGCAAATTTCATTAAGCTCCTCATGTCTGAATGATGCATAAATATTTACTTAGACATCTGCATCCAACTATTGTCGCAGAGTGGAAATTGGGCGAGTAGGTCACACAATTAATTAGTCCGCGAAATGTTGTCACCACATTTGTATGCAGCAGTTTTTGCTGCCATCCTCCCATCGACGACGACAGCAGGGAGCACCTTCCTCATGAACTCGCGGTCTTACTTGCGACATTCATAGTGGCAACACTCCCACCAACAAAGCAAGAAGGACGAAGATAACAAAAGACCAACAATTGCTCCTACTAGAGAGTATCGGCAGCTGCATAGGTTAGCTGGTTGTTAGTTGAGGTTTTGTATGTTAGCTAGGGTATCAAGTTGTTCCGTTTCTGTGAAATCTGTCGCTCCATTACCATCCGCCTTCCAACCAATCTTGAGTTCGAGTCGACGGTCATTTCTATCATCTACCAACCAGACAGCTTCAGACGTATATCTTAGCTTAGCTTAGCCTAGCTTAGACGGACAGCAGCAAGCCACCACCAAACAATCAAATTCATCGAAGATGGTCCCTGATCCGTACAAAGCGCTGGGCCTCGCCCACGATGCTACGCAGAAAGAAATCAAATGCGCCTATCGTAAGCTGGCACTTAGTCTACACCCTGATAGACTAACGAGACAGAACGCCACAGAGACAGAGATGGACCGGGCCACCGCTGAGTTCGCCAAGGTATCAGCTGCCTATTCCTTGCTCACGGATTTGGCGAGAAAGCGAGAATACGATCACATTTACAAGTATGGAGGGTACGACGACGATGAGGTGGACAACATTCTAGGACAAGGGGGCAATCTCAATCGAGGAACCAAACGACAACAACAACAGCAAGGATCTTCCTCTTCCTTTGCATCCTCACCGGATCCTTGTGACCCGCAGATGAAGAAATCCGCAAGAGGCATTGGATACAGGTGTACAGATCACTTTGCCTACATTCTTTCTCAAGGACGGAGAGCCTCCACCTCTGTGGCCGGAATAGAGATACCCGCCCGACTGCACATGTCCAGACCTCCCTCAGGCACAGGTGGATTCAGGCTCTCCTTTAGCTCGGGACAGTTCACAACCACACCCAATGGCGCGAAGAAATACACGTCCAAAACGACGCAGTTTGTTGCCGGCAAGAAATTCACAAGAGTCGAAACCACCGTCGTTCATCCGGACGGACGCAAGGAAATCCTTATCGAAGGCGACGACTATGTAGAACGGCGCACAACCCCGCCAACACGAACGATACCTGGGAATGTGACCCAAAAACACGGAGCCGACGGCGACCTGCCATGGTATATGGAAGCCTGGCATGGAATCAAAGACAAGCTCTCCGCCTGTTACAGTCCCTGTATTCCCGTACAATGAAACAGTTACTATATCATTAAAGGAACCGGGCATTACTAGTTCTTGTAAAACATATAGAAGCATCCATATTATTATTGATGGTATTCGCTTTCTCTTCCTTTCCATTCCCTAAAATCAGCATGGTCAGATAGATACCCTTCGCTGGCGGTTCCACCACGAGCTGCATATACAGTAATGGACCGAACTTTTCCTTGCCTCATAATCAGCTCTCCCAGATGGCGCTGCAGTACAAATACAGAAGGACTTGGAACTAGAAGAACTTAGGGTCTGGGCCTTCCGGCGTCTTGCCAAGGGGTCTCTTCTTTTCAGCCCGAAGTTGCCTGCGGCGTTTCTTCACTGCTGGGTTCATCTTGGCGTGTGTTGCTTGATCACCATAAGTCAAACCTTGGTTGCTTGCCCAGGCCATTTGCCCCGTCATACTCAAATCCGACAGCCCTTGCATTATGCTCCCAGCCGCATCGAATGTTTCTCTCTGTTTCTTGACGTCACGGCAGACCTTTTTGTGTCTGATCTTCCAATCTTTGCCTTGGCACTGCTTGCAACAGTAATACGCTAGCTTACATTCCACGCAGAACGACAGTTTTGCCTCAGCCGTGTCCGTTTGATAGCAACCTCGGCGTCCCATGGTTGTTGTACAGAATTTGTACCACTCTGGCACAGGAGCTGGGACTACTGAGTCCTTTTCTGCCTTTAAGATGCTTAACAGCTCTTCTGTTGTGGATGCTCCAGGGCAGGGAATCAACTGCCGGAGCATCACACTTCTAAGTAGTCCGAAGCGGGCGCCGCTGCACAGGAGGAAGGTTAGCTTCGTGCAGTCGAATCGTTTCCAACAGTTCATCGGAAACCCCTAGCGCAGGAGGGCGCCGTTCAAATGCACGACGCGTAGCAGCTTCTGGTGAAGGCCTTCTAAGATCCAGTAGAAAGCTGCGCATTTCTGGTGTCAAGGTTGGAATAGCCTCCAGTGGATCATGGTGGTAGTTTTCCATTAACTTAGGAATTACAAAGTCCCCAGCTCCTTGGGTGTCAGGAGACCTTGCTCTTCGTAGAGGCCATCAAGGTCCATGGTGGACAAGTTTATGATAGAAACAAAGCAGAAACAAATGACCTAGCTACTAGAAGATAAGTGTCCAATGGCTGGCTCCGATGAAGTGTGCCTAATTGAGTATGAGTCGAGTCCACGCTAGAGCTTATTCCACGCTATCTAGAGTTAGAATTATATCATCAAATGAATGATCGAATTGATTCGATTCGATTCATTCAATTGATGGATTCGATGCTATACGATACCATTCGATCAACGAGCGCCGACAAGCGGCGCTCGCCTAGAGCAGCACTGCACGACTAGTTGAGTAGAGTAGGGTGGTGGAGAGACTCGGCCATTTACTGAGCCGACCGTCTCCGCTACCCAGGGGTGCCGCTCGTGATTGCTAGAATCCCGGGCGGGAACCAAGGCACGATGAGGCAGTCCCGCGGGAGTGAGTCCCGCGTGATTGTACGACATTCGGACAACCCAGGGAGGGAGAGGTGGGTTAATCTATTCTAGTTCTTGCTTGCAGCTCGGCTGAAAGAAGAATTGTGAGCAGAGAAGGAGACAACCTTCTTGCATCGACTGTTCAATGGCTGACGAGAGTTGGACCGGTCTTGATGTTGTGTTCATTCAAGTTGCTATCTGGTGAGCGATCTTCGAGGGTGCTAAGAACGTGCTATTCCTTAGAGCCGATCTTGCGAATGGAGGCAGACATAGCGACATGTATGTGGGTATCCATTTCAGGAACGCAGGTGATGACCTGAGAGATGTAGAGATGTACTTGATGTGTAGGAGCGAAGTGTGGGAATCGATTTTGTGTTTTGTGAGATGTACAGTTTGGCAACTGTGAGTCGAGTCATCTCGTCGAAGAACCATGAGGGTTCAGGTTTGCGCGGAAGGATAGGGATCAGGATCTTGTCCTCTTTGCGTGCGGCTGCTCGACAACGAGCGCCGACAAGCCGGCGCTCGCCTAGAGCAGCACTGCACGACTAGTTAGTAGAGTAGGGTGGTGGAGAGACTCGGCCATTTACTACCGACCGTCTCCGCACCCAGGGGTGCCGCTCGTGATTGCTAGAATCCCGAGCGGGAACCAGGCACGAATGAGGCAGTCCGCGGGATGTGAGTCCCGGGTGATTGTCGACATTCGGCCAACCCAAAGCCAAAGGCAGAACAGGGTGGGAGCGTAGCGGGGTGGGAAGAGTTTGGAGAGACCGAGAGAGGCAAGGTCTCTCTGGGAAATTGGACTAAGGGAGGTTAGTCCTCGTAGAGTTCGCGTGAAGGAGGATCTCTGCGATAGAGCAGGCGCTGAGCAGGCGGGAGGAATTGTCGTAGGATCCCGCCTGGAAGGTGTAGGCACCATGGGCCACATTTTCTGGATAGTGTGCGTGATATGGCGCCTGGATTCGAAGTAGCGCAACTGGCGTTGACTTCCATCGACGAGGAGGCGGATGGCATCGGAGTCAACATGGGCGCAGAGAGAGCAGTGGCGCCGCCGGACGGAGGGAGCGAGCGGGACTCTTTCATGTGGAATTCCGGTGTCGTTCGAGCCGCTTTGCGCAGCAGAAGGCAATCGTGATGAACTTGGCTTGACGTTGTCCATTCTACGCGGTATTGTAGTGTTGTATATGGACGGCGCGAGCCTCCAGGGAGTGTTGAGATGATGTGTGCAGACGGAGTGACGACAGAGGCGAGGATTGACAAGCCAAAGCAGGGTCAGCGGTAGCCCCGTGACCCACGACTCGCCTTTGACGGTTCTGTTGGTCAGTGAATGTCAGAACAGCCGCGGTGAGGCGATGGGGTCAGACACGTCATTCAAAGAGATCTTGTCAGCGGCTGGACTTGGAGGCGACCGGCGAGGTGAAGGTGATGCTCAAGGAGAAGGCCTGTCTTCGGGCCTCAGGTTCACGGTGTCGAGGTATTCGGCGGGCGGAGAAGCCAGAAGAAGGGCAGATGCAGAGGTCCCGCGTGTGTTGGTTGACGTGCCCCGGACGGGGTCAACGTCAGTCGAGAGCGGAAGCATTTCTTGGAGGATGAGATGTTGAGGGTAGGCGGTCGGGGAGTCCATCTGTCATGGAGGCCTTTGTAGTAACCAGTGAGTATGGATGGAGTTTCCGTCGGAGCGAGGTCGGGGTCAGGCTGGTCCAAGTTGGATATCCCCTCGCCGACGGTCGTGAAGGGCTTTGTACCACTGTGTCAGCTCGGGCATCGTTCGACACGCAGTGGTTGTGGGCGAAGGCAAGGAGGTAGAAGATACGGACCTCGGGCTCAAAGGATATCACGGAGGGTTGCGTGGACCTTGTTGCGATCGCAGAATCACACCAGCGCACCGAAGGTGCGGGTTCGGGCTCTGGCGGTCTTGGAGACGGTGCTTTGGAGGCAACTTGTAGCGAAGCGCGGAGGAGTAAAGCTGGAAAGTGATCTCGGGTGGGCAGCAACACCCTTCCAGGAGC